GCTGAGTGCCTATATAAAGTGTGGCTTCTCGGGTGTTTATGGTACGCCAGGAAGGTTGCACGCCGCTTCTGCAAATCTCAAAGCTTAGACGCCCACGTCCTTGTCAATCGGTCAGCATGCGCCTCTCTCTCAATGCTGCGCTCGCAGTAGCGCTGGGTCTTGCCTCGTCTTCAGATGCACTCAAGATCCTCATGGGTAACGATGATGGATTTGGAAGCGGAAATCTGAGAGAGCTGTACAAGTTGTTGGTCGATGCAGGCCACGAAGGTAATTCCTTTCATCAATTCCAGCCCTGTGATGCCCGATGCTAAATCCGCGCCAGTTCTTGTCGTCGCTCCGGCGCAACAGCAGTCCGGTAAAGGCAGCACCGTCATCTGGGCCGAGTCAGCAAACCTCACTACCCCATCCCAATACAACATCATTCCTGCAGGCGCACCAGCAGTCGGCCGTGATCCAAACGATGACAACATCTGGTACTACGATGGTACACCTGCTGCGTGCACCTTCGTGGCGCTCGACTACGTGCTTCCACGTTACTACCCCGACTGGCATCAGACAGCTGATCTCTTCGTTGCTGGGCCAAACTACGGCACGAACCTTGGTCCCTTTGTGATGGGCCTGAGTGGAACTGTAGGCGCAACGTTTGCCGCTGTATCGCGCTCAATCCCTGGAATTGCCACAAGCGCGAGCAACAAGGCGGTGCCCTACTTCAACGTGACAAGCGCCTCAGATCCCGCTGCTTTGGCAGCCAAAGTCTCCTTCGAAGTCGTCAATGAGTTCATCAAGAACACACCAGAGGGGCAAAAGGTTCTTCCTTTGGGTTATGGCGTAAATGTAAATATACCCGAGCTTTTCAATAGCACCATGCCCCCGGTGATCAAGACCAGGCTCACAGGTGAGGCCAACACAGATGTGGCAGTTTTCAACGAGACGAGTGGCCTGTTCACGTGGGACAACGTCGACCCTCTAGCTGCTGGCATCAACGCCGCGTACAACGGAGACACAAGTCTGCCTGGCGAGACGTTCGTAGTCGCTGGAGGCGGCATTAGTGTTAGTGTCTTCACTATGGACTTCTCTGCGCCGAGCATTGAGTACACCGAAGCAGTGTATGGCAAGGCTGAGAGCTTGTTCAGCGCTAATTCTAATGTGAACGCTACTGGTTACAGTAAGAGGATGGTGCAAGAGCGTATGCGCAAGAGGGGCGCCATGCTGAGCGGACGCGACGGCGGAGCATAGAAATTTCGCGTTGTTCTAGCAATAGTTATGTCATCAATAAATCATGCTACTGTAACAACGGAAGCCATCTGTCAGTGCCCCACACAAGCCGTTCCTATCAACATCACGAACCACACTCAAACCTGAACATAAGTAATCATCTCTTGTCTGAACACCAAGACTCGCTGGCGCATCGCGAGCGCCATACTGTATTTGGCAACGCGACAGGCACCTAACAGGCCAAGCTTTCGCCAAGCTCATGCATACCGGTGCCACAGTAGCAGCTTCTGACATCCGGAGGGTTTCACAGCCTTGTCGTTCAGGAACAACATCCAGCTCAGGCCATGCAGGATTGCGCGATCCATTCTCTGGCGACGCATAACGTTTGCAACTCCAGGCAGAATTTTCCTACTCGTGGGAACTCTTTCAACAGTCGCCGAGTTGAAGTGCTCGTGCGCTTTGCGCATAGAGCCTGACACTCCAGGTCATGTATGAGACGGCGCCTTGGGAGGCGCTCTGGCGGGATAGCTCGGCAAGAACGAAACCTCAGGATCGGAGCTCTTGCTTCGGGTGTGTCTAGCCTACAACAGCGCTGTGCAGAAGATATGTATAAGAACGCATTGCAAACCTCCCTCTTAAGTTTCTTATTATCATCAAGCGTTTTCAATCATCTCCTTTTAACTACTAAACATATCCAGCTTGACGCTGTGACTTCAATTCTTACCTTCTTTACCTCTATCATCAGCTGTGCTGTTCCTACGAATTACTCTTTTTTATCTTGAATATTCACTCGCCACATTTTCACCATGTACTTCCAATCCTTCGCCATTCTCTCGCTCGCCGCCCTCTCTGTCGCTGCACCCACATCTAGCAAGCGCGCAGTGTTGGCCCGTCAAAGTGGACCAGTCCTTGCCGACACAACCTACAACGACATCTCCATCTCAGGTGGACAGGCTGGAGATGCCCAAGCCGAGGCCATGGCGGTCTTCTCGGCGCTGGACCTACAGAACCCTGAAAACATCGATCCCGCAGATCTTACCTTTTTGAATGAAGTCAACCAAGTCGCCAATGATGCAGAAAAGGAGGCTTTTAATCCTGCAGTGGAAGCTGCTACCGGTGATGAGGCCGACCAGATCCAGGTATGTGACTTTTCATGACCGCGACGTAGCAAAAGCTGACAAGTCGGCAGAACGGAAAGATCAAGAACAAGGTCCTGAAGCTCATGGCCACTGTCATCAAGCTTCAGGCTCAGCAAGCTCAGGGTGACGATTCCGTTGCCGACAAGCTTGCGGAGGAGATGACGAAGCTCAACAACAACATCAAGCAAGACACGGCGGCTGCCGGCCAAGTATCCATTGCTGAGCCTTTTGACGCCACCATCTCTGGCGGAGGCAACTAAGAAGCGGGGGTGAAGACGAGGATAATCCAATAGTCGTACCATCAAGGTTGGGAGCACCATAGTACGAAACGAGATCCTTCTGCGCTTCGCAAGCGTAACTAACTGTCTAAATTACCATTGCAACCTGTAACACCTGTCACCAGTTATAAATATATCTACGTCATGTCCAAATTCTCACTCTTGCGCTGACAATGTCAAGACAACGTTGAATCTCAATTGTCGTGAACTATGCAAGACTCGAGGTCTCGATAACGCTGTCATCAGAGCCACGAGGCTGATCCGGCGATGTTGACGTTGAGTACCGTTAGCCGTTCCATGGTGTCTGGCAGACTGCACTTTCCCCACTTATAGCGTGGCCTGATGGCCGGAACTTGAAGAACTGCCGAACATGGAGCCTCGGAACGGCGTCGGCCTCGCGTCATCGTATGTTGGTCGACTTTAAATACTCCCGCCTCTATAACAGCACTAAGCAGCTCTATACCAATTAACATTGACGTTGACATTGTTGTTGCATTTGTTGCTTCTGTAGTAGTTGTCATCAGTTGATTTTTGTTATCGTGGTCCTCGCGCTCGCATTGGCGTCACCATGTCGAAGCTATCACCAACACTCAAGTCGCTCATCAACGCCGCGCATTCGCGCCCAGGCCCCGTACCAGCGCCACCAAGGATACAGGCTGTATACAAGCGGATAGAGCAAGAGGCTACAGATCGCAAGCTTGGGCGACCATCATGGCTCGGCATTTCTACAGCCGCGACCATGACGATGAACTCGCCCGAGTCGATGATGGCCCTATACAACAGCTCAGCTACCGCCAGACCAGAGAGTGAAGGTGTCGCGATAGCGGAATTCATGCGCGAGATCGGTCTGAAGTGCATCGGCTTCAATGGCGTAAGCATTTGACCTGACGCGTGAGAAAAGGCCATGTACTCATACTCGTTGCAGATACCGCGCACCATCAACATGTTGAACGCCTTTCGCGCCGAACTCCCCTCGTCAATCGCGTCCTCCCTAAACACCAAACCTACGCGCTTCCCAGACCCCTCTAACATCGAACACATAAACAAACGCGGACGCGCTCTCTGGGATGCCATCTATCGCCCCCTAGAAACAAAACTCGAACACAAGCTCGGCGACGCGCATCCCGATCTGCCCGTCTTCATCATCAACAACGAATACGGTGGCCTCTTCACCGACCCTCCCCGCAGAGAAGGAGCCACCGTGGGCCGCATAACAACCAGCTTAATCGCCATCACATGCTTGAGGGCGCAACAAGGAGTCGGACCCCAAGTGCTCAGCCACGTCTTTGGCCTAAGGAAGGCTTGGGAAGATGGCACCTGGAAGCAAGAGCCTGAAGCTGGCGAAGAGGAGGGCATCAAATGGCTGGTTAGCGACGAAGGGTGTACATGGATCCTGGAGAAGGTCGATGAGCTTGTTGAAGCTCTTGGGGGAGGACAGGGAAGCACCTTTGCGCCCATCAAGTCTAAACTTTAAGAGCAATATCTCGATGCCATCACGAGATGATAAACAGAACAAGTCAGCCATGGTGATACCTCAGTCTTTTTTACCATTCGAGCCATAAGTTTCTTCGCAAGCGCCATCTTGCAAAATATCAGAAAATGCTGAGGCAGGTAAGAATGACTAAGGAATAACGAATCATGATGAACTACTCAACAATGGCGAGGAGCTATGTAACTTGAGAAAGCGGTCTCTATCAGCTGTATCCTGAGCGACTTTCTAAATTAGTGGCGCCATCTCGACGCAAGTATATGATGCAAAAATAGATGTAAAAGGAGTTTGTATCCAGTGGGCTGGAAGCCCAAGACTAGCTATGGTATCTCATGAGCCTGCAAAAGCCTCCATCTCGGTTAATTCCAAGTACGTAATCCTAGTCGTGTACCTTCCAGATGGCCCATGCTCGACCGAGCATCCGAATTGTTTCGATCATACCAACCGCCTGGTAGCAATCCACCGGTTAATATCTCCATGTTTCCTGGTAGTTCAGCCGGGCAACGCTTATCTCCAGGCTTTACCCCGCTAAACATCCCGTAAAGCTTGATTTGAGCCCCACTTCTCCGACGTTGTGGGCTAGCGCATAGCGCTACTTGAGGACTGGCATCCAAAGATCCGATGGGTACTCACGTCACTCCGTGAAAACGATACGCTAGAGGTTGTGATATCGGTAGCCAGTTTATCCTAGATCCGTACGTGCTGGATAATTGAGGTGTGCCGCAAATCGTCGTGTCGTCATCCATGAGAACGCGATTCAATATGTCTCGTTCCGTGTTAGGGGTTTCTGGTTGGCAAGACGTGAAAAAGTCATAAGAGGGGTCACCAGACAGGACTTCTTCCAAGCAAGATAAGTATATTGATGCAGAGATGGCAAAGATGACTGCGATATCACTTCTTCCACTGCTTTATGCAAGTGGGATCTGCGCTCAATATGTTCCTGTGCCATGGGCATACACACAAGACGAGCCTCCCGTGAAGGTTACCGTTGATGCTACGGTACGACATCAAACCATGATTGGGGGTGGCTGTTCGGGAGCTTTCGGCGTCGCCTGCGATCAGACCGGATCCCAAGGGCTTTCGCCCTCGAACCAACAACTCGTCAGCGATTACCTTTTTAGCGAAAACCTTGGAGGCCTTTCCGTTCTACGCAACCGAGTCGGTTCGAGCCCTACCGATGGTATTCTTGGTAGCTGTCCATTGACACCTTCAGCACCGGCCAACTATTCAGGCCTAGGAATGAACGATTCCACAGCCGACAGTTGCCAACTCAAACTCACACAGCAAGCTATGAACGCCAATCCGGACCTTTTTATCTACGCCGACGCCTGGTCTGCTCCGGGTTGCTTCAAAACCGATTCCACTGACATCAATGGGGGGCTGATCTGCGGTGTGCGCGGAACCAATTGTACGCATGATTGGCGACAGGCATATGCTGACTACCTTGTGGAATACGTCAGGCTGTATGAGGAAAAGGGTATCAATGTTAGCTTGATAGGCGCTTACAACGAGTAAGTTCCCCTCCACGAACCGCTCGCAGCACATACACTGACTTCGTACACCTACATCTAGACCGGATTTCAATCCCGTCACTTACGCTAGCATGGACTCCGACGGATATCAGGCTGCAGACTTTCTGGAGGTACTCTATCCTACCGTCAAGAAGTATCGCAAGAACTTGCAGGTATCTTGCTGCGATGCTACTGGTGCTCGTCAAGAACGTAATCTCCTCTACGAGTTGGACCAAGCTGGTGGCGGTAAGAATTACGATATAGCGACATGGCACAACTACCAAAGCATGCCAGAGCGGCCCTTCAATACGCAAGGTCAGCCCAATATGGAGACGGAGTGGTCAGACGGCAGCGGCTCCTTCAATACGACTTGGGATACGACAGGTCAGCTTGCAGAGGGTTTACAATGGGCCATCTATATGTAAGCAATATATATGAGCCAACGCTAAAGTCAAGTCGATGCTAATCTTGTGAACAGGCACCAAGCCTTCGTCTTTAGTGACACGTCCGGATACCTCCACTGGTGGTGTGCGCAAGACAACCCGGGAAATACCACTGGTAGCGATGCCATTCTCGTTCGCCTGGATGGCGATACCTTTGAGGTCTCTCGCCGTCTCTGGGCTTTCGCCGGCTACTTCCGTTTCGCACGCCCAGGATCGGTTCGCATCGATGCTATCAGTCCCGCGGAGAACCTCAAGGTCACGGCGTTCGAGAACACGAATGGCACGCTGGCTATCCCTGTTATCAACGAGGCGCACTTTGAGAGGCAGGTAGAGGTAAGTATCGGGGGCTGTCAATTAGCTCTGGGTATTGCGACTGCATATCTAGCAGACAATGAACACAACAATACGCTGGTTGGGACTTATGGAGTCAATGGGTCAACGTTCCTGGCTAGTATTCCGCCGAGGAGTATGACCACTTTTTTCCTGGAGTGAATGTTGTTAGTGAGAGTTTCAACACTTACTCCTTGGCTACAGGATATTTCGATTCCATTTGATGGAACGTATTTTATAGAAATAATCACCCAACGAAGTGTTCAGGTGTATTCACGGAAGATGGCAATAAGCCTTTCGCTCATGCTCTTATTTACTGTGCTTCGGGAGCTAATCGTACACCAAGATTCGCGAGTTATTGTCCCAAGCACAGCCACTCTCAATCACGGCCAGATTGGTCTTCAGATTCTTTCTTTTTGCTTCAAAGTGATTCTAGAAATGTATTCACCGCTGTCAAAGCCCTTCTAGTGACATGCGTGTAATGGCAGACCAAGGAGGTGAAACAAGTATCGTATCTGTAGACGTTGAGACCTTTTTGCAAACTGATAGTCTAGATATGCTGTGAACTCTACGTACGCGTGGAAGTAGCTGGGGAAAATGGTTCATGTACCTAGGGTGAATAGAGAGTAGCTATTATGTGGTTGTAGGACTGAACGCGTAACTGACGCGATACAACACCTTGTCTCCCGTGCTCCAAAATCACCATTCATCTCCACCAGTGCGCCTTTCATCGCTCACTGAGGCACTTGACCACTATTCGGCTCTCTCACTACTGTCTAACTGTTTGCGGGAATTTGTTCGCTTGCGGCATCAGCAACCATACCCCCAACCAACCCTGCCTGCCGCTCGCTCATCAATCTTGACTCTCCGTGCAGTAGCTTCAGGACCACACGCCACATATATGCAGTCAGATACGATAGAAGCCGCTGATTCAGCGATGAAAAGCCCCAATCTTCCTCTGCAACCTCATCCGGAACCTACGCAGATCCCGAATCCAGGACACAGTCAGATGATGGTGCCTACGGGTTTCGCAGCGCAGCTGCGAGCAGTACAAGACATACAGCAAGAGCAGGCAGAGCGTATTTCCAGATTGGAGCAAGAGAACGCGAATCTCAGGAATTTTGAACGAAGCGTCATCGACGTCGCCGATCGCGTCCGAGCACTTGAGCAGCACAAAGCCTATATTGCCGCGAAACGTAGGGAGGCAGTCGGCCAACTTCTCAACATGCGAACCCTACACCAAGAAGCCGACAACGCGTTTCAGCTGCGTACATCAGACATGCAACCAGATGATCTCGAAGGCATATTGGGAGTGTACGGCACCATGTTGACCACCACAATGAACCACCATCAGCGTGTGCTTGCACAAACGCGTGCAAACGGCCACTTCCCCACCTATGCAACACCGATTTCACAGACTCAGCAGTTGACTGCACCAATGCAGTATCGCCACGCGTATCCAGCTGCGTACTCCGAACATGGGTACTGCTATGCCCATAACATGCCTTACCACTGTCGTGTTTGCAGTAAGTGACCGTCGCTCCGTCTCGGTTGCCAGCTATTGACGACATCCTGCGAATATATCAGGCAATCGTCATACTGACGTTGATGCTCTACGCATCGATCATGGCCCTGAATTGAGGAGCCACTCCTCTTGAATAATGTATAGCAAGGTGTTGAGTTGGATTGGAAGTCGGCAGGGTTGGCGTACGCGTGGTATGGTTCAGACGTTTCTGCGCGATATTGATTGAACCACCGGTACAGGAGGCTCCGGCTAGTTGATTGTTTCAGATTCCTGTTACGCGTCATTCATTTGGACGCTGGATCACACACCACGGACAAAAATGAGAAGATAATGGCCTCGAGAACAGCATTGCCAATCTTGTGCACTTGTCTGGCTGTACCTTTTTACCTTCTCAGGTCTGATGGAGTAATGACATGGTCGGTGGATGAAGACACTCGATATCAGCGACAAACTTTACATGCGTCCAAGATTGAGACTCTTTGCAGGACACGCGCGCAAGAAGGTGGCTGTACACAGGTATCTGGATATGGTTACCATCAAAACAGATGAGTATAGCAGAATGACGACATGACGCTATCATGTGGCGACGCGCTACGACACGCTCCTCAGGTTCGCTAACGCGAATGATGCTAAGCCTTGCCGGACTTGATTCTGCGTGTGCCAGCCTTCCTCGCGTTCTATCCATCGCAACTCCGGAGCCTTCCCATCAGCGGTACTCCGCCATGATGATCTCCGCTGCCCTCTCTGCGATGCCATAGATTGCTGTCTGGATGTGTGCAGAGATGATCATCGGAATTACGCTCGCGTCCACAACCCGGAGATTCCCCACGCCATAAACTCTCAGTTTTGGGTCAACCACGCCACCGTCTTTCTTCGGCAACATCGCACAAGTACCTAGTGGATGGTAGAATGTAAATACGTTATCCCTGATGTACGTCTCCCAGTCTGCGTTTGTTTCGGTGTCCATACCAGGGTCGAATTCGGAAACCCAGACGTTCTTGAAAGGAGCAGTCTTAGCCATTCTTCGCGTATACTTTGCTGCTAATATCAAAGCCTCCAGATCATAGGATGTACTTAGATATCTCGGGTTCACTAGGGGCTTGTTCAGAGGGTCAGATCCATTGATGTGTACCGATCCTCTGGCGAATGGGTGCTGGACACCAGCAAGAAGTGTCACATACTGCTTGCCGTAGCCAGTTGTACCGTTCTTTGGATATCCAGTCGTTCCAATATAACCATCGCTGAATACGACCTCGATATCTGGCGCTCCAGATCCATGGCCAGTGAGCAGCTCAAGCTTCTTCCGGTCCACAGGGTTTGACATATTCGCTGATTGCATCGCCAGTTGGACGAGCTTGCTGTCGTCGCCAAGAGCCTGTTTCCACTTCAGAAAGCCATAACAGCTACCAGCGTATTGGTACAAAGATGGCTGGCCACGTTTCCAACGTTCCAACTCAATAGCTGCCAATGTCGTGTTGTATTTCAGAACATCTACCCCAAGTACGTCAGGTTTGAGTTCGTATGTTGTTTGGATTCGGAGATGATCCTGTAAGTTCTCGCCAACCCCAGGGAGTTCGATAACTTGCTTGATACCAGCGTCGTTCAACGCGGTTCTCTGACCTATTCCGGAAAGTTCCAGTATCTTTGGGGAAAGTAAGCTCCCGGCTGCGACAATTACTTCCCTCCTGGCTTTCACTAATGTGCCGTTCATGAGCACGACACCAGTCGCCTTCGACCCCTTCGTGTTGAGCTGCACTTTATGAACGGTAGTGTTAAACATGAAAGCCAGGTTATCGCCAGCTTCTGGAATATAATCAACTGAGTAGGACCGTGTGTGATTGGACGCGCGATACGTGGCCGGCTGGTACATGACACCAAGGTTGTTGCCATTCAACGAGTCAAGGTTCTCTTGCAGTCCAAGACTGGTCAGAGTTGGGATACAAGCTTGGAGTTGGGGCGGTGGATTTTCGGTCAGAGCGACTTGGATCGGGCCGCCATATCCAACACCGTCGACGCCGTACTGTGCGGTGCCATTTTGGCGTTGAAAGTTCTGCAGATGCGAAAGTGCGAACTTAGTGAATGTTTGACATACGTTTTGTACGACTATGACTTACTTCGGTTTTCAGCATACTTGGATACATATTCTGCCACCCCCACCCCGGGTTCCCAAGCTCTTCCCATGCATCGTATTCCTTGACAGTGGCACGGTTCCAGACAAGCAGATTCAGGGCCGAGGTGCCCCCTAGGACCTTACCACGGTTGTGACCTATAGTCCGATTGTTTGCTGCAGCCTGTGGCACAGTTGGGAGACTCCAATCATAAGAGGAGCCAAAGGTCGAACCTCTTAACCCGGGTATATAAATTCGTTGCTCGTGGCGTCCGTCCGGGCCAGCTTCGATTACCAAAACACAATGACTTGGCAGAGCCTTGCTGAGTCGGGAGGCCAGTGCAAGGCCAGCTGTTCCACCTCCGATGATTATCTTGACAAAGGCTCAGCTTAGTCTTGGGTATGCAGTCATGTTTGGGAAAAGACATACGAAGTCGAAGCCGACATCAAGCACCTGACATGGTGTCGCACTGGCCGCAGATACAAGACCCAGCACAGCTGTGAGAAAAAGATTCAAGATGAGCCGCATGGACGATTGAATTTCAGGATACGAGGAGCGTAGTTGCAATGAGCCTCCTGTGTGGTGGTTGTGTTGAAATAGAAGACCTTAACAACGGGAAGTTCTTTGTCGTGCTAAGGTTATCTCTAGAAGGTGCTCGACGTCGGCGTTTTAGATTACAGGGCATCTTGTACAGCGAGTAATGATGATCCAAGAGGATGATCCTGGTCCTTTTATTGGCCAGCATCATGCATCAGTATAGCCGACGGCACGTATCTGCATATCGCTCATGCAGGTAGGGTTCCTTACCAGCGGAACCAAGGCGCTGACCGGAAAAACTGCCAAAGTACATCCATATTTCATCCTCGCCCTGAGATCCCCTTGGCTTTCGTGGGTGAACTACGTCGACTATACTCCTCTTGATAGCTTATTCATTGTGCTCATGATACTTCTAGTACACGCTTCTTTCTTTTGACAATTCTATTTACCAGATGACACCAAATCACGAACCTATTGTCCTCCTCATGAACACCTGGCAAGCACGGTGAGATCGCGGGTTGGCTAATTTGTACAGTTCAGTGGGATCCGCAAGCGGGCCAAGCGTGAGTGCTGTGGAGTCGCAGCTGCAAGCGGCACGTAGCGGATCAGCAAGGACAAGCCCTCCGGTTCGACCCAATGCGGCAGAACAAGTACTCACCTCAGCCATGGAATGCAGACAAGTATACGCCCGACGAGTTTCTTTACGCGAATGGGCTCATATTAGTGATACAATGATGTTTCAAAACGGCGTACAAGTCCACGGAGGTCTATCTTCACCACAGTGCCATGGTTCTGTGACATCGAAACACTCAGTCGATGCTTCTAACGTGGCCAATGTACTATTGTGAATTGGACAAACACTCTTATACCATCCTTTCAATTATTACGCAAAAAGTCACCTATCACCAGCCCTACTCGCTGGAGTATCACTACCATCTCACTAACAGGCGTACCCACAGCATTTTCAATATCAACAACCTGTGTATCGATGTCAGACTTGACCCTTCCTCACTCTTCCTCATGTTAATGCTTCTCCATCTCTAGACCCATTGAGTTGAACGAGATTTGCACAGCTTCACCAATCCTAGCACCCTTGTGAGCTTGAACTTATGAGCGGTGATTCTACGTCGCGACAGCTTTGGACATCCACCATTGGCGGGGGAGCTGTTTTATTGGTTCCGTTCAACAAGGGCGACCTTGGACTTTCGAAGAGCGACGGTGTCACGCTGCCACTGTCGTAGCCTGCGCAATCCATTTCAGCGCCTAGATTATGTGGAATGCTGGGTGAGGATTGTGGTGGCGTGATGATAGAAGCTGGTGATGGTGCCTGAGATGGCTCGCTGTGACGGCTTTGAACGGTGTCAGACACTGTATCTTGACTGTCAACACTGTTGCGCTCAATGTTATCACCGCGCAGGATATACAGCCACTCTTTCGCGTCGAAGGTCTTTCGAACTTCTCGTTTGCCGTCATTCAGTTTCAGTCTCTTCTTGATAGCAATGATCTCTTCTTCAGTGAGAACGACTTCTTCATCGAGGATGGGCGCAGATTTGCCCAAGAGAAGTTGATCGAGCGCTGACCGCTTCCCGGTTGTCGACTTCTCCCTTGAGCGATGAACCATGTTTTCATAATAGGGCATCCAAGATGATTCCGTAGGCGCTCCGACGCCAGACTCTCCGATGTGGCCGGAGTCCTCTTCCCGCGTATGAGCAGTCTTACACGCATCTTTTCTTTTCTGGGTACATAAGTCATAGTGGCGTGTTGCACTTCGCAGAAGGAAATTAGCATCATGCTTCTTGAATCTCAGCGCACTTCTCTGCCGACGCATACGGTTACGTGGTTTGCTGTTCGGTACATGCAGCTTCAGAGCAGCTGCGAAATGGCTTATAGCGGACTCCCAATCGCCTAAACCAGCACATCCTCGTCCATACCAGTATTTGGAGCGTGCTTGTAAGTCGTGGTTGGATATTGCTTCAGCCAGACGTTGCGCGTACCTGGCACACTTCAGAATATCGCGATAGTGGTTGGGTGTGGATAAATTTGGACAATGAGTCCAAGGTTTTGGTTCGACAGCATTAGCTCTAGACTGTAAGACCTCGCAACGCAACAGGTATAGTTGGCATTGAACCATTCGCATGCGATTCCTGTATCCATCATGCTCTGTAAATTCGGTAGGAATACCGTCAAGGGTGGACTTTTCCGTTGTGCCATCGATGCCAATAACGTCTTCATTTTCTTGAAAAGACAAACTCGATGGTGACGCGCGATCCCAAGATCGACTTCGCACTTCCGGGAAAGGCAAATCGCTGATGAATGCGCGAACATCCTCAATGCGAGATTCGTTGTGCTGGGGAAGCTCATCAGGAGAGGGACACACGCCCGGCGATAGTATAGCATGTATAGACATTTCGAACTCATCAGTCGGGAGACGAAATTGCAAGACTTCCTAATAATTTGGTGTTGTGACACATTACTGGCGAAGCAGTTTAGATAAGATAAGTACGTTATTTGAGTGCGCAGTCGCCTGGTCCAACACACGCTAAGACGTCTTTGTTCGTGGTATGCAGCCTTGCGCGACATAGGGCAATTGCGACAAAGACTGCCGGGATACCCAACGCAATGGTTGAAAACATTCGATGTACGAACAATGAGATGCACCTCACCAAAGGAGCCCTGGTGGTGAAGCTCACCACACGCCTAGCTAATCGTGGCGTCTACCTTGCCTTCTCGTCGTGATAGACTAGTACGATTATAGGACGTTACTCTCGGTGAGGTCCATCGCTCGTTGACTTAACCCAGCGGTAGGGTAAAGACACTCGTCTCGCTTTTGCGGCGGCGCGCTGCCTAAGTTGCGCACTCGTACGTCTGCGTTTATTCTAGGGAAGATCAGCGTGCCGAAAGTCTATTAATTCTATGGCCCTGAAACCTCTGCATTCTTATCTTCCAGTTGAGCGAGCAAGCCTTCCATAGTGCGACTCTCATCAAAACCCGACCGACGCTTGGTACAGCGCAGCAGATGCTGGTCATCATCGCAAGACTTTGAAAGCTCGCCGGCTTTAGCAGGAAGTAGTTCGTTGTCACTGATGGTACTGAAGGCTTCTCGGTCTTGCTGCAGTAGACGTAGCTCGTAACATAATAGGCTGCGCTGAAATCGTATCCTAGGTAAGAAGTCCTGGAGTTCGGAGAGACGATCGCATAGATCTACGGCTTCGCTACACGTAGCTAGCGCATCGAGGAGCGCATCGGGTCCTGAAGCGCGTAGGATGTTGCTCTTTAGGAGCAAGCCTTCGGCGCGGGCTTTGCAGCTAAGCGGGCCGCGCAAAAGACGCTCGACCTCGACCAAAGCAGTGCCGTAGTTCCGCTGGGTAGTGCACTCCTGCACGCGTTCGAACAAAGGGTTGGTGCAGTCCTCTGAAGACAAACGTAGTTGGCGATGCTCAGTCCTGATTGGTGCATACACTGCAGCTGTACCAGAAGTGAAATTAACTTCAAGATCTTCAACACCATCGAGGGATGTAGGGTGGTGGTTGTCGCGCCCATCAGAAACTGCCCGAAGTCGTTGACGTTGAGCGCACTCGTTCTCTAGTTCAGCTTGCGCGGCAAAACATACGTCCTGTAATTGTTGCAGGCGGTTTGATTGCGTCTCGAAAGCCTCTTTGTATTGGAGCGCCACGGCCTGCCAAGTGTCTCGGTTAACCTTGAGGTCATGGACGATTCGTTCCATGTCGGCAATGCTGTCCATGATGTCGGAGGGTCTCGTAGTAATGCACAAATCAATATGCTGTTCTGTGTTTGCAGTGTTGTGTGAGGTGACGGAGTTCTCGATCGATTCCAGGCGATAACATACTTGAGTTGTGTTTGAAGCAAGCGCGGCCTGCGAACCGCAGCTGTGGGTGAGAATCCTCCACTCGTGCCTTCCTCATGGTGCAGCCCGCAGCCTATGTGAACAACAACATGCAGTGACAGAACAAAGACTTGCCAATGACATCTGCCAGAAAAGCAGGTTGTGCATTAAAGGCCGCCTCAGATGTTGAAGCCGCCATGCCTCGATGCTTCGACAAACCTCCAAAGGCCAGCTTCTTCAGCGGCTTTCTTGACTGAAGCTACCTCATTCAAGTCTACAGGACGAGTGATGTCTGAATATCTAACGTCTTTTTTGGTCGAAGCCGATGCTTCAGCACCGCCTGGCTCAACGACATCTTGACCTGCACGGCCACGCCGCTCCTTACCCACATGGGCTCTCGGGAAATACTGTTCCATAATGTGGACCATGATGTCTTTGCTCACATTTTCCGCAAGCCATTTCATGATCTCCCTACCCTCGTCCTCTTTCCCCGGCATGACCAGATGGCGCACAAGCACTCCCTTCTTGGCAATACCGTCTGCGGTGAAGCAGAGGTCGCCGACCTGGTCGTGCATAGCCTTGATGCTTTGCATAGCCACCTTTGTGTAGCCGTCGGCCTTGAGCAACCGCCTGCTTGTCTTGTCACTCCAGACCTTAAAGTCGGGAAGGTAAATGTCAACCAGGCCATCCATTAACTGGATGCTCTCCAGCGAATCAAACGACGACGTGTTGTAAATGATGGGTATGTGCAGACCGAGCTCACGCGCGTGCAGGATGGCCAAGCAAACCTGGGGTGCGACATGCTCGGGTGTAACGAGGTTGATGTTGTGTACCCGGCCCACGTCCTGCAGCTTCATGAACCACTCGGCAAGCTCCTCGGGCGTAAGATCGAAACCATTGCGCTGGTGGGCTATGTCGTGGTTCTAGATATAAATTTAGCGCACATGTGACCATGGAATAAGAGGCGTTTACCTGGCAGAAGACGCATCTCAGGTTGCACCCAGAGAAAAAAACTGATCCAGATCCGTTGTGTCCCTGGAAACAGGGCTCCTCTGGTTCACGTTAGCGCGCGCGATCCCGGGCTTCAACAGCTTCGACCTACCGCCAAAATGAGGAGCGATGGTATTCACCTTCACAGTCTCGGCTCCTATCAGGCATACACCCGTCGTCTTATAGCGGTTGACACCGCAAAGCCGAGGACACAGGTTACATTCGCGCAAATGCGCGTAGGCCAGGGATCGTTTCTTCGCGGCGTCTACCGAGGACAACAGTTGGTAACGCGGTATGTAGTCGTCGAGCAGGTATGGCGGCGCGAGGTAGAGGCTTCGTCGGAAAGGGACGTGTTGGACATGAGGGGCGGCGAGTCTGGCCGCACCGCGTTTCAAGGCGGGTCGCAATCTCGAGAAGGATGCCATGCTGGCAAGCTCAAAGCCGTCATCGAGTTGGTGAGATTACCACGTGTACAGTTGGCTGTTGAGTGCGATGCTCAGGCTACATGTGCGATGCCATAACGCTGAGGAATGACGACGGCGTCATTGGCCGAGACCCCAAAGCCGCTGCATCGCCGGACCACTACGTCACCCCCAACCTCTCCACTTCCCAATGCTTTCACCTTTCCTCTTGAACGTGGTCGGATCCAAACACAAATTCAATGTGTAACATGTAGCCTTATACGCGAGCAGCTACTTGCTTCTGGCTTTCTCCTCTTCGTATCACGTTACCATCTTACCAATATCTCACGTATCCAAGGCACTCTATGTAATAGCTCCACAACGAGCCGCTGGTTATCAGAGGCTGGCTACTACTGTGACGATCACACTAGGTCATAATCTTCTTCAGCTGTATATCTTCCGAAAATAGTGGGGCTGGCCCCAGACAAGCTGGTCGGTCCCGAATACTCTGATCCTTTGTCGATAGCACTTTTCAGATCCGATGCTTGTGGGCGCAGGCAATACTCACTTATCATCTTGTGTAGGCATAACACGTGTTTGTACGCGTCGACACAGTTCTTCTTCAGTTCTACAACTTGTGGCATGCTCGGTGGAGCTTTGGCTATACATCCTCATCCAAGGATAGCGCCAAAAAAAGGGTTATGCTAGTACACAAGCTACACACATCTTGTTGCGATCGAGAACATGACTTCAAACACATCATTCCAAAGTCACAACTCGACTACAGTCTCAACGCCGCCAAACCTTAAGACACAGTGGTGTGATGAAAGTTTAGGAGTTGTGTCATGAGCACTGACATCCACATCACGCGCTTTTACGTCATCGCATTCCGTTGTTGTTCCTGACATTTGGCCTCAGGTAGCACGGCTTATTTGATACTTGGAGAAGACTGGACGTATCGTGATACCAAACTTCACAGTTGTTCACAACAAGGCAGAGTGTATGCCTAGCCGCTGATGCTCCGCAACATAGTACATGACTTGTTTTATCACAAAACCTGAGTTTGCTTGTTGAAATTTTGAGCAGAAGCTAATTAATTCGAAAAATTATTAAATGAGTCATGCGATTCCTGCAACTACCCGTTTGGTACCTTAGAACTACCTGTACTTTGGCTCTCAATCCTAGCGCACTGTACCGATACGCGAATGACAGCTGCATCACACCTTGTTTTCTTGGAAAAAGTTGATTCATCGCTGCATTGTTGAGCACATTGAGCATGTATTTGTGTTACCGGGACTTGTATTGACCGTTGTATCATTGATCATTCGCCGTATCAAAGTTGGTCGTTGTGACGCTGTTCGCTGCTTCCTTGGCTGCAGCGAGTGCAAGTTCCGTTCTATTTGTAGACATTTGCTTACATCTTACAAGAACCTAGTCAAGGGCGTCACGACCTTGATGTTGACTTCTGGATCGCCAGGCAAGTGTTACAACGCGAGCCTTGTTGTGCTTCACTGTCAGATATAAGAACACCAACAGTGAAGCATCCATATCTCAGTATCAGCAGCTCCAACTCCAACAAAGCAACAGCATTCATCACTTCTCATATATCCAACATGCGTGTCTCCGCTCTCCTTCTTGTCGTGTTTGGCCTACCAGCTTTTGCGATTCTGCTTGATACGCAATTCCCGCACATGCTTCTGCCTCTCAAGAAGTCTCAGCCAGATACCGCTTTTCCGACCCAGAACAACGCGAGCGTCAGCTACGACGTACGTGTTAACAACAATACACACACACGCAATCGTCTGGATCATACTTACCTCTACTAGGACAGATCCCTTGATGAGCAATGGACAGCAGTCAACTACGATGTCCCCGATAATGCCGCAAATATCTGTCGCCTCCGATTCCTCATCAACACTGACACCTTTAAGAATGCTCCGTTCAGCCTCAAAGGTGAAGCACCTTTCGCCATCAACATCTCACGCATCGAACCCAAGCTTGTCAACGGCGGCACTACCTGGAACAACAAGCCAGCCATAACCGAGCACTACGATACATACGTGCTGTCTATGAACGGCGCAATGGAGGTTGTCAGCAAGTGGTTCTTGTGCCCCAAAGGAAATGTAGCGCAATTCGTAATTCATCCTGCTAGCAAGAGATATTTGGACGTCTACTGGTTCGAGCTAAACTACGGTGCTGAGGATGGAGGCCCACACGGCGTCGTGCTGGAAATGCACACCTGAGCTGCAAGAAACCATATGGTGAATGATTTGATGATTGGTACCAAATTGTAGTTGGAGGAAGACGAAGGGCGTGTGAATGGAGTTGTCAGTGATATTTTGGGCTATCCTCAACATAAAAGAACCAACGCGTTCCATAAGCTGCGCTCCTTTTCATACCAATATCTCGTCCCGACCACGATCAAAGGTCACCGCGAGAACATTACGCCAATATGCAACTTACGTCTATCCATCCTTAGTAGGCTGGCAATTTGATTTATGCATCTCTTGATAGCCCCTTCCTCAACGTTAACCAGCTCACAGCGAGAGTCCTTGAGCAATCAACCATATCTCAGCTTCCAGTTTTGGATTATTTCTCGTCGCCTGTTTAATGACCGCGGGTACAGTCAAATAGCCGAGCGTGTCTGTTTCTGTTGAGTTGGTCATGAGTGTAGAGTAACCGAAGGTGACTGCTGAATAGTATTGCAGCGGCAACGTTGACGCAACGTAACGATGCGTCGTGCATGTGGCTCTAACGCCACTATCAGGCCATTGGTCTTGGGTGCTCTGTTTCTTCCTCAAGTCATCTGTCATCTTCATCTCTTGCCAGTGCGTCAACAATCCTCCCCAAAGCTCTCTCCATCAACCCAGCTCTCCCTGTTCTTTGCACAACACCAGTAAGCTCAACCTTTGTGACTGCAGTGGGCTTGGGGTCTATGAAGTGAGCATTTCGATGCGTGAGATCCGTTTCTTCGAAAACTTCAATGCCTTGTTCGTCGAGCGTCTTGATGACAACGATGCCAGGCGGGTAACGATGAGGGTAGGCGGGTGTGAGGGTGCGGAGTTCGATAGCGCTGTCCATAATGGGGAATGCTTCGGAGGGTTTGGACGGTCTGGAATCTGTTGGGCGGATTCCATGACAGGTGCTGGGCTCAGTATGGATGGTATCTAAGAAGGTTTGCATGGTAGAGGTTGAGTAGGTTGATGACGCGTATGCTGAGGTAGTATATGGCGATTTTGGTTGCAAATTTGGTGTTGTTTGTGTCTCTTTATCAGCATATACGTGTCTTCGAGGCGCTCCTCTGACGCTTTGTAATGGTTTGGGTGCTGTGCGATTCTCGCTGGGTATCCCCGTGCGGCTGAAGGTTTGATCGTCATCAGATGTGACGAAAGGATAGTCGCTTCTGGAATCTTCTTCTTCGCTTATTTGATGGTAAACGTATTCATGATTGCCGTATAGATGTCGAGGTGATAGGTCCATACCCGCGCAGTGCGAAGAAGAAATGCGAAAGACCGACACCAGTACATGAGTGTACAAGGGGTCGCTATTCGTGAACTCATATATCCCTCAAGCGCGGCATTGAGGAATCCTTCGACGATACCTAGGTAGTGTTGTGTTGTAGAGAAATACCGCACGCTAATCCCAAATAGTTGCTACATCCAGGATACCATATGAGGAGTAGCAGTAAGTGGCGTTCGGCAACGAATAATCTTTGAGCCAATAAGGACATTGACCTTCTTATTTACCGGAAAACATATGGCTGTGAGTACTGGCCATATGCATTGGCTTTTTGTCCCGGGTTTGTAGCTTGAATGGTGTTCTTTGGCTTTTTGCAAAAAGCTTGGAATGTCTTTTTTGCCAATCCCTTCAATTTCTTGGAGATCGCTCGTTCAAGATCGCCGCACTTGGGGGCTGATTTATCCACCGTATTGGCGTGTTTCCCTTCAATACGCTGGATGTACGTATCGTCACTCTCTTTGGTGGGTGATTGGCGAGATGTGCGATTAGAGATCCTTTCGGAGCTTTGAAGCCCAATCGTGATGTCGTTACGGCGGCTTTCGGTTATGCGAGAATATGCGTTTCCTTGAACAGGGAAGGGATATGCGAAGTATCTCATAGCTGTTGTTGTTGTTGCTGTTGTCGTCGTCGTCGTGGGTACGGTGTCTTGTGAGAAAAGGTATCTTTGACAAGATACCTATATAGTCTGACTTTGTTCTCATTGAACGTTCATGTTAGATGTGAATAGAGAGAGACAGCGCGCGATAGCAAAGTTCTCGGTTTTTGTACCCAGAACCTTTGGATGCTGTATAGGCCTTTATGGTCAATTCGCGCAAGCGAACCGGCTGTACCATGTTTTGTCGACCACTTCATCACTGGTGTTGAAATGGTACAGAGCAGACGAGCCACTCATAATTCCGACAGAGCATATTATATCTAATACAGAAACTGCCCACGAACCAGAAGTGCTGTAAACATAGTGAGTTCGCTGTACCATGGTAGCTGGACTGCGCCAATCTCGCAGGATGCAATACAGTAGGTTGTAATGGGGAACAAAGCAATGCGGTAGCATTACATGTGCTAAAGCCTTCTTCACTCTGAAGACGACCGTCGGATTACAGAAACATAAATATAGCTATTTTTATGCATTTTTTTCTTGGTCTGTAATGATTCATGTGATCAAAGACTGCCCAGGTGAGGATCTAACCCCAATGTGGAAATATTTGCTAGCGCGTTCATCTACCACAAGCATTTGTAATGTTGGACGCACATATGAACACCGCAAACGGGTATAAATTGCAGCACGAGGGAGTTGAGATACATGAAAACATATCCACTCGATCCTACCTCCTTGATCATCACTTGTTGCTCTTTGTGCTTCGCGCAGCGTCCACTCTTAATATTATCTTACGATGTCTACACACTCTGCAGTTGCGACAGTAGCCAAGAAAGCACGTCTTGGCATAATCCAAGTTCCTACTGCTACTCCAGTAGAGCAGCAAGTCCGTGTCCGTGTCGAGTGGACAGCTTCTACGCCCTTGGACCTTCATCAGAACGATGGCGCTTTGCTCGTGAAGCATCCCCAAGTTCTTGGTGACAGTGTAGCTGGTACAGTAGTCGAATTGGGGCCAGATGCTAAGAGACTACAAGTTGGGGATAAGGTCTTCGGCTTCACCTGGAGGACTCAAGTAGAAAAGGCTCATCAAGAATTCTGCACAACAGACGAATGGCTCTTGGCGAAGGTAGATAGTGTTGAGTCTCCCGGTTGATCAGGCTGATGCTGACATATTGTAGTTACCAGACGGTTTCACTCTGGCCGAAGCTGTAACGTTACCCAACAACTTCGTGACAGTATTCCATTCCTTCACAGCCGATCTGGCTCTCGAAATGCCCTGGCCAAAGAACGAGTCTTATGTGCCAGGTAATATTGATGTACCGATATTAATCTGGGGTGGCTCCTCGTCCGTCGGCCAGTTCGCCATTCAGATTTTGCACTACTACGGCTATAGGAACATCCTGACAACGGCGTCTCGAAAGCACCACGAGAAACTACGCAACCTTGGTGCAACCCAAGTATTCGATTACAATAGTGCAGATGTTGTTGCATGTATTTCAAACGCTGGTGGTGACGAGGGCATTCCTTTGATTTATGACTGCATCGGCAGCCAGAGCGGTAGCATCGCACCAATCGCCAAGATCGCGAAACCTAGATCGAAGGTTGCAATACTGCTACCGGTGATATTGCGCGATTCAACCGAGACGCAGGATCCAGAATATGAGATGGATGTGGGTAAAGTGGCAGAGTGGAGCGATGGTGTCGACGTCAGGGGCGTGCGAACGCACTTCTACCTAAACGTGAGTATAGCTGGTCCGTTGCTCAGGAGCGCACTGCTAACAGCACACAGAATGAGTACTTCAAGCACCATCTTCAGCCCGACATCATGCCCGCTATGTTGAAGGCCGGTGTCGTGACACCACAGAAGCAAAGGATGATAGATGGTGCGACACTACTGGAGAGAGCACAAAATGCGATGGACATGCTGAGACGTAAAGACGTGAGTATGGAACGCCTTGTGTGGCGCGTCAGTGAGACGTAATCATAGGCGTGATATCGACACTGGCCGCAGGTGTCGTGATCCTGCAGGTCAAAATTAGAGGTGTAGAAGTGGAGAAGGCAAAAAAGACTCGGGACGCTGAGCACTTGCGCGTGCCTCACCGAAGCGATGCGCTGAGGCGCTTAGCACACTACAGGCATGAACACCAGCCATGATCGTCCGTAACTGTAGCGAACCAATCCTCTGTTCATTGAACATCATGACATTTGAAACTATAACACGACGAGCCGCCTGCCGGCTATAGTACCTTGAACAGTAGCCAGCCGCATTGTCACGAGCTTTTTGACTGCATCTATCCCACACCCATTACTCTTCCTTGATCACACCTCTTGGCCTCGCCTTGATCACCATACTCAGGTCGCATACAGGCAGGTCCGGCACCGGCAACTCCATGATCGCAATAATCAGAGCCAGCAAGAAGTAGAAGCCTAGCACGCTAGCCGCAAAGAAGCAAGCACCTGTACCCGTAGCCAACCTCGTTCCAACCACAGCATTTCCATTGGAAAGGTTGAAGAAGGCCCCAGCGCCGAGACCAAACCCGATTGTCGCAAACATAAAAATTAGGACAAACACGACGTTGACGCGTAACGAGCCGAGGAGGAATATGAAGGATAGAATGCACATGACGATGAGGTAGAACGCTGTTGGGTGCCAGATCAGTTTCACACACCGCCTTGGAAACCTGCGCTCACTTACCATAACTTGCTAGAAATACTGATGTCTGGTTCGACGTGCCAGGACTGCCAGTGCCGCTTCCATCCGGGTTGAAGTATCCAATCGAGTTGAAAGCGGGAACGAATGTTGTTGCGTAAGCAAAGAAATGCGCACCATATCCGAGGAATACCATCATTGGGAATGTGTTCCCAAGTAGGAACTCCCCAATACCTGCGAGGATAAGGAGCATACCGCCGAAGAATATGTTCACTGTACCGGTCGCGACGCTGAGACCGCCCGAGCCCTGCCAGCCCACTATGGTTGTTGTCAGACACATGGAAGCAAGACGCGAGGGTGTTGAGATGATGATAGACGTACTGAAGGCACACGCAAGTGGCATAACGGCAATCGAGAAGCCCAACACACCCACTGGCGTTGGGTTTCCAAACCGTGAACGAAGGTCCCCCGATACTCGCGTCTTCGGATTTAGAAACAAGCGCTCATAGAGTTCTGGAGTGAGCGTAACCGTCTTGGCAAGCTCATAACGCAGCTTCTCTTCGGAATCATAATGCGCATCTTGATGTCGGTTCACGGTAGTTGAAGAGTAGTCGTGACTGGTCATCGTAAAGAGCACTGTGGATGTTTGTAGCGATAAGGAATGAGATTGCGCACATCATATAGCGACAGCTCTTGCTCAGTATTTAATCAACCCAACAAGTTGGAGTTGCATATGGTATAGCCGCGGCTAACATGTCTCGTGAGTTGAATGCCGGGTTGATTCCGTCTTCGATACATGTCTCTGTCGACTCCGCATTCAATCGAGACCACGGTATGGCGACATTCCCGTTCTCCGGCCACTAGCGTGATGCTACCAATGAACGTTTCATAGTAGAACTAAGAGGTTTGACAGAGTCTATGTGATGGTCATGAGTAGCAATATACATGTGTTTTTCATGTGTACATAGGCATAACCACTTCCTTGGTCACCACTGTGTTCCCAAAAGGATCCTCCAAACAATACCCCATGAAGAGCTTATGTCCCTGTGACTACAAATCTAGATCTCTCGTGATAGACTAGTACTAAAGACGGAAGCGACTTCAGCTGCATGGTTGATCGCTAGGCGGCTTACATTCCGATGGGACTTGATGGTGTAAACATGGGCTTGAGGCTATTATAGGGTACAGTTAAGCTTCCTTAGCATCGATTTTCCCCGCATCTCTCAAGAAACTACCCGTAGACAAGCGCTTGCACATCTTCAACAAGTACTATAGTTGGCAGACAGAGCCGTCCGGATGCAGAGGGGCAGCATCCGGTTGGATGGTACAGAAGCGGCAGCCATCGAGCCTTCCCTTGAACAAAGCTGCGCGTTCTGTAACCACTCTCCACATTTGTCGCATCGGCTGAAGATGAGTTCAGCGTTCTTGTTCAACTGTGTGGCGAAGCAACCTCGGAGATGAACGCGTTGTGTTGACGAAGGATGGCGTTGACTCAGCATCGTCACATGCGAGATTGAGCGACCCCACCAATCTCCGATGGGCTAGAGCTGGTTGGTGACCCCTTCCGATCCAGCTCACAGCAACTTCTGCAGCCCTCATCAACCGCAAAGAGGATATCTTCAACGCCTCATATGGCGCTTGATGCATCGCCAAAAAGGTAGCGCGCGGTACTGCTGTGTATGACGCAGTTGAAGCTCCTGCAATACGGCCAACCAGGTTGGTGGGGACACGCCACAATCTCGTTTCCGTTCCTTGCATTAAGCCTCGGGACACCTGAAACCCACCGCACGTTCGCGACCGTTTCAACCCGGGATCATGGGCGCTTCAACCAGGTAAGCCGGCTCGTCTATACTGCTGTCTCGAGCTAGACAATTACGAGAACCGGATGGTGTCCTGTCAACAGGCATGGTGGCCGCTGTCGTGGGAACATGTTTGCTTGGCCCGCAGTATCGAACAGCACCCTGCCATCTTAGCTGCGCTCAGGCTTCTTATGACTGGTGGAGTAACGATTCAAGCATGACAAGAAGACCCACGCCACGTCTGGCATCTCAGGAACAGGCAGGGCATCGGAGTCGTTTTGAATCGGGGGCACAGTCAAGCGTTGTTCGAGGCTGCAATCCATCGGGGACTTGTTTCGCATGTTTAATGACACGGCCCACAGATTGAGTTGTGAAGAGGAATAGTGCCATGTCGTCGTATTGTATATAGCTCTCTTGGTACTCTCGGTTTCCTTCCCATCAAACAACAGTTTCTTCACTTCCAACTACAGCTTCTTTGTGCATCTTAGGTCTGAGACCTCACATTCGTTCTTTCAACACACACTCATTCATTACACTCGTTCACAGAAGCCAGGCTTCAGTCAATCTTTACAGCAACTCTCACTCTTCTCAACCAACCCATCAACCATCACAATGAAGTCCTACACCGTCGCCGCCGCCATTGCCGGCTTTGCCTCTTCCGTCGCAGGCCACGGCTTCATCAGCGAGCCTGCTCCCCGTATGCCCGGCGATGGCCTCAAGGCTGCCTGTGGTGACCAGGTCTACAACACCCAGTCCTCGGACCACTACGGAAACGTTCAGGGTGCTCTCCAGAACCTTCAGGGTGACCACCCTGACTGCCGCATGTGGCAGTGCAAGGGTGTTCCCTTCTCTGACGCTGGTGAGATCTTCGAGTACACCGCTGGTCAGGTCATCCCCATGAAGGTCGAAATCCGCGCGCCCCACGACGGTGTTGCCAACGTTTCCATCGTCAACATCGCCACCGACAAAGTCATCGGCAAGCCCCTCATCAGCTGGGACGAGTATGCCCTTACCTCCTCTCCCATGTCTCAGCACCCTGACTGGACCTCTTTCGACATCACCATGCCCGATGTCAGCACCGAGTGCGCCAACAAGGGTGACTGTGTCATTCAGTGGTTCTGGGACGCTCCCTCAATCGACCAGACCTACGAGTCCTGCATCGACTTCACCATGGGCGGTGGCTCCGGTTCTGGCAGCGGATCGTCTCCCGCTCCCTCAGCTTCTGCTAAGCCCAGCGCTTCTGCTTCCCCCGTCGCTTCTTCCGCTCCTGCTGCCAGTTCTGCTGCCCCCTCCAGCACGGTTCCTGAGGCTACCCCCACCCCTACTGCCGCTGAGGAGGCCGCCACCCCTGTGGCCACTGGTGGTTCCGACTCTGGCTCCGACTCCAGCCTCCCTGAGTCTTTCACCATCGACACCTTCATCACCTGGCTCCGCGCCAACGCCGGCACTGGTGTCGCCGACAAGGTCCGCCGCATGGTAGCCGCTCAGCGCGCCCACCCCCGTGCTTTCCGCGTCTAGATGATCTTGACATATGTTCTGTAAGACAAGTACGATAGACAAAATTCCCGTATTGGGCGAGAAGATGGTTGGAGTTACTGTTCGATTCTGTTGTAAATATACAATTCAATGATGCACATTATTTGCTCGCTTGGGCGAGGCTGTAAAATCTTCAATTGCGCCTTGCCTGGAATGTCCTCGGGTAGTACATAGCCACTAACTTCGTGAAAATTGATTTTATTCAATGTGATTGAATTGATGTCTTCTGCTTCCACGGTGTGGGTTATCACCGGTTGTCGTCCACGATATGTATTCGGCCGATCTCATCGACCAAATATGGTTGGGAAGCTGCTTGAGACCGGAATAGTTGCATAGAACAAGAAATAGCTCTCGCGTGTGCAAGCTTGTCTGGCTTTTCGATGTGTTTTGGTCGCTAAATTTGCTGAGTCCATTCCCGGTGTGGTATTGGAACCATATTGGCGTGCTTGTTCTGTCAGTCACGATGATGAAAGACCGAGAGATATGGAAGCTGTAAAGCGCGCGGCTTTGCGCTCATATTAATGACGTCATCGACGCCGAACGATGCGTCCCGTTCGAATTTACTTGGCGACCAGCGAAACCATGGGTACCATATATGGGGTCCATTACAATACATGCTAACAATAAGTTATAACATAAGAATAGAGCTTCCACGCCCCCGCGGATGATGTCCGCTCCATCATCATCCACACGACTATTCAACGCCGCTGAAGCTCCCCTGACTCCATCATCAGATGAACATCGACTGAGAATCGCATTCATACAGAAAAACAACCACTATTATATACCACATCAACGTATACCTAACAACAAACGATCGATACAAGTGACCACACTATCCAGGTGGTCAACGTACTGTGGTACAAGAAAAACAGGGAAGCACGTTAGAAATCCAGATGCACTTTCTAGCGTTTGCGAATACCGGGATGTATGGCTGCTGGGTCCAATGGCAGTACTTGCTCCTAAGCCTTAAGACTGATTCTGGCGGTGGCTTGGAGCATTTGTCATTTTTTGCACATCGTCTTGGTGCTGCCAGAAACTAAAGACGTCCTCCCCCGCAGCATCGCCCAACGCGTATGTCGGTGAAAGCTCCATGTCGGCGAGACATATGCCCATCTCAGGATGTTGTGCGAAAAGATTTGCATTGCTGAGTGCGTCTTCTGTGGGAAACGGTTGCACATTATGCTGCCAGTGCTCGATCCCCGGAAACTCTGAAATACCAGTTTGGTCGGTGTATGCGAAATTGCTGGGCGGAGCTAAACCTGGGGATTCACCATGATTCCAAGGACTGAGGCATGAGTTCATATTCATGTTTGTTGGCTTCGTATCGTCAGGGCTGACCGACACTATGGAGCGATTCAGTGGCTGCGATGGGGGCAGGAAGGGCGATTGGTGGCCTGGCGAGACAGAAAGTCTTCGCGAGATGTGCTGGGAGTGATATTTATATGGCTGCGCCCGCAGTGGTGGTGTGGACGGCAACGCCGCAGATGTGTTGTGGGCATGGAGGGATCGAGGTGAGGGATGCATCGACGGTGCCTGAGGTGCCAGAAAAGTAGGTAGGGGGCTCAATGCAACGCGCTGCATCGTCTGCGAGGTCAAGTACGGAAGTCCTGATGATTCGAAAGCCTGCTGTGGCGTGGTATCACGAGACAATTGCGTCTCAGAGGCTGCTGACGAGTAATTTCGCGTATGTCTTCTCCGTGAAGTAGCGACGGTCCGGGACCTCTTCGATGCCCGGAGGTTATCTCCCACTACACAGTTACCCTTGGCGTTCGGCCTCTTGCTGTTGCCCACCCGGTTCTGGTCCTTGCGCTTAGAGTATGCCTTGGGCGCGTTGACAAACATGCGGATTTGCCAAGCTGAGCACATGACGTTCTCGCAAATCGTCTTCTCTAGCCGGAGAGCTTCGACGATATTATCCAAACGGCCAGCGCAGTTGGTGTTCTTGTCTTCGTCCTCACCCTTGCGTTCATCGTTAACGTAGTCATTCTGCTGCCACCCGCGGAAGCCCATCTTCACCTGCTCGATTAAACAATCGAACACCTTGTGGGCGTAAGCTTCTACTAAATCCGACTGGTAGTGTGGTTCTTCAACCCATCTCTTGAGTGCGGTGGATCCAGCATTATCTCTGGCGTAATCTCCGCAGATCATGGCGTTGTAGATGCGCTCTACGTTAATGTTACGATTGCGCTCGACATGCTCGATGGTTGGATCGTTAGCAGGTTCCCTCCACGGTTCACGGTTGAACCGCATTTTCTTACGACGGTATTCCTTCGCTTCCCCGGAATTTTGGAAGTAACCACGGAATGGCCTATAATGCTGACCTGCCGCCTGCGGTGGTGCGCTGCTGTTCCTGGACAATGGCATAGGTGCGAGCGAGGGAACTTCTGCGGAATCAGACCGGTGGTGCATTGTATATGCAGAAGGGGAATCTTTTGTTCTAACTTCGCCTTTTCGATAGTTTGGGCTCGTCATTTCAACATAGTTCTCGACGCCACATTGAAGCCGGAGGTTATTATCGCTGTGAATATTGCTCCGTGTCTGCATCGAAGCACATGGATCATACGAGTTAAAATCTTCCGCACCAAATCCGATGTTCGGCGTGTGAAATTGGCTAAGGTCGTTTGCAGTCCCGTAATGCTGGCCGCAAGACTCACGGTAACCATGCGAGGATTCCAGGTTTCTGGGACTGTCCTCGAAGTAGCTACGATTGTTGTCTGTATTTGATGGGATATAGGAGTGCCGCTCGGCAAACATATCACCAGGATCGTGCTCGGTTTGACGAAGTGATGGCCCCGCCTGTCGCGGAGGTTCCTTCATGTGATCGCTGATGCTTCGTGTAGGGCTGATATGTTACTTGTATTGTAAGATCTGAAGATTGGGGGAAGAGAGGGAGTGTTGGTGCTAATATGTAGAGGAGTTTGATTCGAAAATGTGAAGAAGGGCTGAAGATATAGAGTAATCGTATCAAGTGCCTATACCTATCGTGAAGAGCGATGTCTCATATATTCGACGAACGCCCATGACAACCGTTGCGTCGGCCCGTTGCTCAAGATACTCATTGATTATAATGGCACTCACAGTGTCTTGTGATCAGTCTGCGTTGGGAGCTCGTGGGGTCACTGAGGCTATGGAATGCGTTCGCGACTGCAGCCTACAAACCCCCACAACGTTTGTTGCATGTACCATGCGCGGGTCAACTACGTGTTTGAACATCAGCTCCTCCTGGTAGCGCATTACACACGTGTTGCGGGCCGCGATTTGCGACAGCGATGTCGCTTTCCAGACTTGGTAAGAGGACACTCATGATTCGCTGCCATCTACCTGTCATGTGTTTATCCCGTGCTTCTCAGTATCCGCGAGGTGAGTGGGATTATGCAGCTGCAATTTTCACTTTTCCATAGCTTCTAGACGTCATGGAATTATTTCCAGGCTTCTACAGGCTTGGAGGTGGCTTAGGATGGCTGTACATTCGTAACCAACATGTTGCCTTACATGCTACGCTGGCAATCATCTGTTACAAGTTCACGGGAACATGTCGCAAGAGCTCACTAGCAATTCAAAGGCATAGGAGAAGCTTGGAGATCGCATGCAAGAGAAAAGTATGTGTTTACATCATACCTGGGTAGTGAAGGTCATCTGTATCTCTCCTAGTCTCTCAGTGTAAATCCAACAGGCATTACACGCCTCTATGGATGTGTATCAAGAGCGAAAGCCATATGTCTAAAATGAATCCTGGTTTGAAGATGGGTCTGCTCCTCGTTATCATCTAGCGTTCCAAACCGACCGAACTTATTCGGCGCACTGGGCTTACTCATGTTCCTATGAATCTCTGCCATCTTTGCCTCCCAACTTGGTGACGTCAGGCCTCATTATGTAAGAAAATCAGTATTAAACACGGATGCTCATACATCAAAGTATATCACCGTCTCATTGATATCACTAACATTCAGGTTCTTTCAGATAGGTCCTCGTTCATTCATTAAGTCAAGAAGTTGTACAATAATCAATTTTTCAACCCGACGCAGTTCAATCCGGCCTACCCCTAGAAGCCAAGGACCTTGAACCACCAATCCAATATTCCATTGACGTTGTTGCATCATGACTTCGTTTCTGAGAAGACTGGGCTTCTTGTTGACTGTGACAGACGCCGAGTTGGACTTGAATTTCGTTTGGATACCCGCGCTGATGTTGCTACGACGCTTCCAGTATGGTTATATCTCGAAGTTGATAACCCAGAAATCGTTCTTGCCATCTATTCCATCAGAGTCTCTCATTATTGGGACGGCCTCGTCGTCCTGAGGGACGAGACGGCGTTCTGGCCGAAGCATTTTCTCTTTCGCTGTATTGAAGTAAGGAAAAGGTTAGCCTTATTCGCGAATTATCGGTGAATCGATACTGAGGTGTTCGTTGAGCAATTCAACTGTGTAAGTATGTAAGTAGAACACTCCATAATAGAAGCGTATTCTACGAGAGTTATCCCTTGAGGATGACTATCAGCCAGGAGCGGCAGTGATAGAACAGAAGGCTAGAAGGCGATGCGGGGCTGACGGATTGAAGAAAAGTGGCAAGCGGTGATGACGTTGCACAACATTCGCACATCAGTGGCCCGGAGACTTGTTTCTGTATCGAATTGTGTATGTGGCAGGTTCAGCAAGCCGCTGAAGGCGTTAGCAGCACCAGAGAATGGCACAACAATGGTTCCGCGCTCTTGTTCCGCACTTTTGGCGGTCTAATTCCGCTGTCCCCAACGAACGGTGCGACTTCCCCGCATGAGCCGGCCACGCTTCACGTAAAGTCTGGGGAGCCCGTCATGGCTGAGGAATGGTAGACAAATAAAATGACCGGCCTTCCGCTAACTAAAGCGTAGATCCAACTTGTGGCTCGCAACAACCTTTCGAACATCTTGTTGTTTTCGGCAAGCGTCGCAAGGAGCCACTAGCGAGCGCCATGATTTCCATCATCCTACCACTGCTCTCGTCGCAGTTTCTGGAACACCCAGCTCGCTCGTTGTTCTTGTTGATAATATGCATTCCCACATTGTATGTTATTGGGAACGAATACGTGCGATACTCCCGACGAATCAAGGGTTTTCCCGGACCGACCAACTGGCCCTTGGTGGGCAACATTCCAGACATCAAGGTTAATGCGGCCGAGAAGTATCGTGAATGGAGCAAGACTTTTGGCGCTGTGTACCAGATACAGCTTGGAAATGAGCCGGTAATTGTGGTCAACAGCGCGGAAGCCGCGAAGAAAATCTTTGGTGGGAACAGCCAGGCGCTGAGTTCCAGACCCGTATTTTGGACTTTCCACAAGGTGAGCTGGACAGTAAGGGTGCCCCATTACTTCGCTAACTGACAGCAGGTGCTCTCAAACACAGCCGGTACGACAATCGGGACGTCGCCATTCAATGATTCGCTCAAGCGCAGGAGGAAGGGTGCTGCCTCGGCACTCAACAAACCTTCGATTGCGACATACATCGACCACCTCGACCTTGAAACGAAGGAATTTGTAAAAGACGGATTTGAGTCAGGCCATGCTGGTACTGTTGGTGTAAACCCCATGCCCATGATTGAGCGCCTTTCACTTTCGCTCGCTCTGACCCTCAACTGGGGTACAAGGATGAGTAGTCGACATGATCCAATGTTTCACGAGATCTGTGAGGTCGAAGCCGCTATCTCGAAATTTCGTAGTACGACTGGAAACTTGCAGGACTACATTCCCATCTTGAGACTCAATCCCTTCAGCTTCGGCACCAAGTCTGCGAAAGAGCACCGAAACAGACGAGATGTCTACCTAACGAAGCTGAATCGCGATTTGGACGAACGAATGAAGAAGGGTACTCACAAGACGTGTATCCAGGCAAACATTATCCAAGACAAGGAAGCCGCGTTGAACAAGGAGGAGTTAACGTCGATCAGCCTGACGATGTTGTCTGGCGGTCTAGACACCATCACTACCCTCGTTCAGTGGAGTGTGGCGCTGCTGGCTCAAAGGCCGGATATCCAAGAAAAGGCTATCAAGGAGATTCGGAAGTACTACTCGGAAGACGAGCCGCTAGCGGATGCGTACGATGACCAAAAGTGTGAGTATGTTGTCGCACTGGTTAGAGAGTGCTTACGATACTACACTGTACTACGCCTAGCGCTTCCGCGAGCGACAGTCAAGGATATCATGTATGAGGGCAAGCTCATCCCCGCAGGCAGTACAGTATATCTGAATGCATGGGCATGTAATATGGGTACGTCATCCTCCCTGGTTCCCCTACACTAGAGACAGCGATGCTGACTGCAGAATAGATGCCGAAGTTTGGAGAGATCCGGACGAGTTCCGTCCTGAGCGTTGGCTAGAGCAACCCGACGCCCCGCTGCATACATATGGCCTAGGTTACAGAATGTGTGCAGGCTCATTGTTAGCCAATCGCGAGCTGTACCTTGTCTTCCTGCGGACGCTGAACAGCTTTGAGCTAGTACAGAAATCGGAGGTGGACGTGCATCCTGTCAGGGGCAGCTCAGACCCTACCAGTTTGGTGACGATGTGCCGACCTTACGAGATTCTCTTCAAACCTCGAAACGAGCAGATTCTGCGGGAGGCTCTTAGGGCAGCAGATGAGCGATTGGCCGAGTTTGAGAAGGCGTAAGCGGGTGGGTTCGTAGATTAATGCAGTGTGGGCGTATTGATTAATCTAATTGGCATTTGGCGTGCGCAATGCTCGGCAATGGTGTTAAGTTTTTTTTGATGTGATAGCGCTGTGGCGAGCTCCGACTCAAAGGTCTAGGACCAGGCCGGAGAAGCTGTCTTGAAATATAGTCGAGATGAGGTGGTTGTTGTGAGCAACGACGAAGGCGTCGGCAGTCAGTCATAGGCGAGCGGGATGATGCGTTGCAGGGATGTGGTTCCCGGAAGGACAATCGAGGTTATCGCATCTCCAATATGGCCTCTTGCACTGCCCTTGACACGCGCTTGGCCTTTCGTCGAAGCTCTTGTCATGCTGCTTCTCTCCCCCATTTAATCGAGTTGAACCTTTGCGCCGCATTTTTTTTTTTTGGCTCCGACAGCGTGAGACGCAGAATCTCGCAAAGCTCCCGCACCGGCCGCACGTGGAACCGCACGCGACACTTGTCCCTACATCGCCATGACCGAGCACGCTGAATGGTAGCGACGAGACGCGCCACAGACAAGGGGTGGTTGCCAGATAGCTTCGTCCGGGGCAGCATGTATCGGAAGGCGATACTTCCGGGCGATGAAGAGCTGGGCAAGAAAGACGATGACCATAGATACAAACCCGCGCGGCATTCCAGCTGGTCAGGCTGGAGCCACACGTTTCGCTGGCGGCGGCGGAGGATACTGCTTGCAGTAGTGGGCTTGTTCCTGCTGTACTACTGCTTCCTCAGCGGCTCTGACGACTACGAAGAACCGGACGAGCCACGATATCGAGGACTGCCAATCACATCCACATATCAGAAGCCGAGCGCGGACGGCGACGACGAACCCACGGGAGCGCCACCGGGCGTACAGAAACCAAGGCATGGAGAGGCGGTCCCTCGTACATATGATGGACAGATACGCTTCTTCCGCCTCGCCAGCTCACTGCGCTCATCCGCCTCGGCAACGGGTGGCTATGAGAAGAAGAACAGAAACATACTATTCGCAATGTCGAGCTTGAAGAGTGCATCGACGCTTTTGCCCATGGTATGCGAGATGTCGCAATGGAACAGGAACCATGTACACGCGGCTTTCATGGGCAGGGAAGATATACCAGTAGACGATCTGCTAGAGATAAACGGGATAGACAAGGTCAAGTGTCCTGCTGTATGGCACGATGCGCGACCGGATTACATGGAGTATGTACCTCAAATTGTTCTCAAGTACTTCAGGGTTATGTTGCAGTCGCATGAGCAGCTCCAAACTTCAAAACTCGTGCATAAACGGCCATGGCTAACTAGAACGTTGCCTGCAGGTATAGTACCGATGTACGCGCTGAGACGGCCGTGATGGGTGCTATGCAGCACATCAGCAGCTTTCTCCATCCTCAAGCAGCCATCATCGACGATTCCGTCTCAGAAGACCAGTTCTTTGTCCGAGGCATGCGAACCAAAACGGGAGTGCTTAAGATGCCTCTCATTGAAGTACCAAAAGACAGATTGGAGGACTTTGCTTGGGTCTCACGGCTCGATGCTGGCTCACTAAGGCACTGGCACGATCCTACCGTAGACATTCTCATCCAAGTACCACCAGACTCTTCCAGCGTTCTGCGATTACTGAAATCAATCAAAGACGCCGATTACAGTGGTCTGAGACCGCCTCGTATCACCGTCGAGCTGCCAGCCGAGCTCGACATATCAGTAAAAGAGCACATTGAAAGCTTCAAATGGCCCCCACATAATGATAATCCCATGGCAGGGAGCGGACTCAGTATCAGACGCCGCATCTCAAACCATCGCCATAACCAGGAGGACTCTGCAATTCGCTTCTTGGAGTTATTTTACCCCACCAACACGATCAACTCACACGTATTATTACTCTCTTCGCAAGCGCAGCTGTCGCCACAGTACTTCCACTTTGTCAAATACGCCTTGTTGGAGTACAAGTACTCGACCTACGGCGCAGAGGACAATGATAATCTCATGGGTATTAGTCTAGAGTTGCCAGCGGTGCTCCTCGATGGCAAGACGAAGTTGGAACCTCCGTCGACAGGCGACATGCACACTGACCGATACAAGGAGCTGCATCAAGGTGCCAAGAGCGTGCCTTTCATGTGGCAGGCTCCAAACAGCCACGCGGCATTGTTGTTAGGAGACAAGTGGGCAGAGCTGCATTCGTTCCTCGGCAATCGTGTGGTCAAGCATCAGCAATCAGCCAAAACGACATCTCGGGGGAAGTTGGTATCCGAGACACTGCCCGCATGGACCGAGTACATGCTTGAGTTCATGCGCGCGCGCGGCTATTCGCTGCTTTATCCTGCGACGACGTCCAATGCGTTGGTCACGATTCATAACGAGTTGTACCACGTCCCCGAGGAGTTCTCTGCTGTATCGCCCAGAGACGGTCAAGAAACACCTGCCATGCCGTTGGAGACAGATGCACCATTTCTGCGCGCCGATACACCACCTCGGTCTCCTCAAACTTCCGAAACACCCGTCATTCCAGACACAATGCCGCTGCATCAGGCGCTACCTTTCAACGGCGATCTTCCCGAGATCCCTCACCTGTAAGTACTCCTGTGCAAACTGTAGGTAAGACACAGACTGACTTGGTACATCCACATTTAGACCCCAGCTTCTCTATGACGGACAACAAATTGCTCCAGCAAACATATCCACTGTGTCAAGAGAGTACGCAGACATATTCCGCAAGGAGGTTGGTGGCTGCAAGATACCCAAAGGTAAGCATAAGAAGGTTGTCGGGGGTGAAGCAAGCGACTTGTTCTGTTTTGAAGAGGACGATGATGGCGACTGGGTCGAAGATGAAAGCAGAGAGGTGGAGATGTTTGATGCGCCGATTGATGATCAATTGGAGAAGTTGATCGAGGATGCACTATCTGCTGTGGCGACGTCGACGAGGGAGCGGACCATCACCAAGCCCACCATTGTCGCGGATGAGGCATAGCGCGAAGACTAGTATTGCGAAGTTTGTAGCTGTAAAAACAAAAAAGTACTATGCTGTAGTGTTATGTAATCAGGCGAAAACGCTGCCAAGGCTAGCGATGCCTCTTCGGTGATGACGCTGGCATGGATTTGGTCGGCCAAAATTTCCATGGAGGATCTTCAACCACGAGGCAACTACACGCCCGCCCCAAGTTCTCGCTGCAACTGCACGATTTCCTCTAGTTGTCTTCTGGCGTTTACAAGTCTTGCTTTTGTTTCTCTTTGTTTGTTCGTTTGATACCCCCCATAGACTTTGTACCTGTCCGGACGCTCTTAGGAAAATGCTCTCGCGAGCCGCAGGGCGGAAACTCCGCAGAAATGCCTTCAGGACGCCCACGACCATTTCAGACCAATTAACGCTGCCATGGCTCTGCCCAGCGTTGTCACGGAGGACCTCGTACGCACCTTCCGCATCCTCGACAAACACACACGACTCGAGTCGACGGCAGCGGCAACGGCCCTCTTCACTGTCCATACGGCACGAGACACGCTCCCTCGCCACATCCGCCGAACTGCATCCCCCACCTTCCTCGCCGCTTTCCTTCGATCCCTTTGCGCAATCCTTCGGGCGCCAAGTCCAGTCTCCCGACCTCTCTCGCATGCCGCGATGGGACCCTCAGAATCCCCTCGTCGTCCGAGACTCGCTGACTGCGTTGCCTGCGTTGCGTCCCCGCGACGGCCTCGTCGGTGACCTCGTCGAGCTGCACCAGAACCTATACGCATGTCTGCGCGTCGGACGTCTGGACCGGGCCGCCATCATTATCGACCGCCTTGCCACCGTCTACAACAAGGATGCGCCAGAACTCATCGACGCACACAACGCCTACTTGCAGACGCTGCTCGACCTCGGCCAGCTCGATCCTGGTGTGGAGAGCATGAAGAAGATTGAGACCTGGTGCAATGACCACATGCTAGCCAAAGATGTCCCACCAAACGCGCAGACATTTGTTACCCTGATCCGATCGGCCATGAACTTTCTGGAAGAGGGTGACGACGAGGCCGCAGTACGAGAATACATCGCCACGGCACGGGAATACGGCGAAGACATGCTCGACCAAATCAACGCCTCGCCCGAGTTCTCCGATGAGGAGTGGGATCTGTTGATCCGCCTACAACCAGAATCCTTCCAAGAACCTCCGCCCGTCGACCAAGTTCAGCATCTCCATGTCAGCACGCCCTTGGGTCGCAAGAACCTTATCGAACACGGCCTGGTATCCCACCCATCACAGCCAATCAAACCAGTCAAGCAGAAGGGCATGGGTCTGGATTCGCTGAAACAAGCTCTTACCATTTTCGACGATGAGGCCCGCGTTCCGTACCCGCACGATATGCCAGGAACCCAGGAAGAGAAGGACCAGGCCTACGCATACGCACGCCAACTACAGATGGAACAGGATGGCATCGAGGCCGCAGTCAGGAGATGGAAAGCCGAGGACGAGAAACTACAAGAAGTGGGCGTCTATGGCGTCATGAACAGCAAGCCTATCCAGGCCATCATGTACGGCTGGTACTCCGCCCTCGTTCCGCTGTTCAAAAAGCGTATCGAACAGGCCAAGGAGGTTCTGTCCGATTCCGCCAAGTCCACGGCGCGTGACGAGGTTGCCGCCTACGGTGTCTGGCTGGAAAGGTGCAAGCCTGAGAAGCTTGCGGCAATCACCGTTGCTCGGGCTACCCAGGCCGCAGTGAAGGGCAAGGATGAAGACAATTCTGCCTACAAGATATCGGCCCTGTCTATTGCCGTTGGTAACGATATCGAGGAATACCTCGACGCTGATTCGCGGGCTCGGCGAGACGCTTTCCTGAGAAAGCAGCGCAAGCAGACTCGAATGAACTTGATCAATCAACTTTCCAAGGAGACCCGGGAGGCGCCCTCCAGCCTACCACCTTTGAAGACATCGTATCCACTCGAGAAGGCCGACATACCACTAGGGGTACGAACAAAGCTTGGAGCCTTCTGCTTGGAGCTCTTGCTTCAATCTGCAACCCTCACCGTCACCGCAAAGGATCCACGGACAGGGAAGCAGATATCCCGCAGTATGGCCGCCTTCCACCACGCAGTCGGTTATCGTAACGGCAAGAAGGTTGGCTACCTTGTGCCGCACCATGAGCTCGCTACCAAACTGCGAACCGACTCTGTTCATAGCATCCAGACTGTCAGGCTGCCAATGGTAGTCGAACCGAAACCATGGTCTAGTTACGAAGATGGCGGATACTACACTATCCCGCAAAAAGTCATTCGTCAGAAAGTCGGTGACAGTGCGCAGAAAGCCTATGCCCGGTCAGCCATAGAAAATGGTGACATGTCCAAGGTGATGGCTGGCCTCGACGTGCTTGGCAGAGTACCTTGGCAGATCAATGCCCCCGTTTTTGAAGTCATGGCTCGTGCCTGGAACTCGGGAGAGACTATTGGGGCTCTCGTTGGTGAAGATTCCATTACCAACTACACACGTCCCCAAGAACCTCCAGCCAACGCGTCAGTCCAGGAACGAGCAAAATGGAGCAAAGCTCTGAAGGAATACGAGAATCACATCGGCGGTCTTCACTCACAGCGATGTTTCCAGAATTTTCAATTGGAGACAGCGCGAGCATACCTGAACGAAAAGAAAATGTTCTTCCCTCATAGCGTCGACTTCCGAGGCCGCGCATATCCGATCCCACCCATCCTTAATCATATCGGGTCTGATCTCTCAAGGGGACTTCTCAAGTTTGCGCACGGCAAAGAGCTTGGTACTGTGGGTTTACAATGGCTGAAGATTCATCTAGCCAATCTTTACGGTTACGACAAGGCTAGCCTACGCGAACGCGAACAATTCACAATGGACAACCTGGACGAAATTCGCGATTCCGCGACGAATCCACTGGATGGTAGACGGTGGTGGGTAAAGGCGGAAGATCCTTGGCAATGTCTGGCCTGTTGCATGGAGCTGAAAAGAGCTTTCGACTTACCCGATCCGACTCGGTTTGTATCTCAGTTTCCAGTTCACCAGGATGGAACGTGTAATGGACTTCAGCATTACGCAGCCTTGGGTGGTGACTATGCTGGTGCTCGCCAGGTCAACCTTGAACCCTCCGACAGGCCGCAGGATATTTATACTGGTGTTGCTGAACTCGTAAAAGAGATGGTCGCAAAAGACGCCGCCGAAGGTCTTCCAACAGCGTCCTTTGTTGACGGCCACATTACGCGAAAAGTTGTCAAGCGAACAGTCATGACTAACGTCTACGGAGTCACCTTCATGGGAGCGAAAGAACAGGTACACGACGAGCTACGGAACTTGTTCCCTCATTTCGAGCCTACAAGCAAGGTCCGGGGACTTGGTGCCGTCGCTTTGTATGTTGCGCATAAGATCTTTGACGCGCTGGGCAAAATTTTCAATGGTGCTCAGGAGATTCAGTACTGGCTTGGGGAATGTGGCGAACGCATAACGACATCGATTACTGCCGAGCAAGTCAAAAGGATCAAAGACCGCTTCGAAGGATTGGATCCTTCGAATGCGTTGTATGACCCGAAGTTTGTGGCACCAAAGAAGATTACCGCAGCCCAGCTCAACAAGTTCAACAAAGGCATGGAGAACTTTCAGACTAGCATCATTTGGACAACGCCACTCAAGATGCCAATTGTCCAGCCATACAGGAAGGAAAGTAACCAGACCATCAAGACTAAGATTCAGAACATTACGGTGTCAAAGAGGTCTCAGCATAATGAGGTTGATAAACGCAAGCAGCTCCAAGCATTTCCCCCCAACTTCATCCACTCTCTCGACGCGAGCCATATGCTACTTTCGGCGTTGAAGGCCAGCGAGATGGGGCTCGACTTCGCCGCTGTCCACGACAGCTTTTGGACACACGCTTCTGATATCCCTAATTTGAACGTCATTCTTCGTGACGCATTCGTACGCATGCATAGCGAGGATATTGTCGACCGTCTTGCTGCCGAGTTCTCTGCGCGTTATGCAGGTGCTATGTACCGAGCGACTCTTTACAACGGAGCAGAGGTCAGCCGGAGGATCACAGAATGGAGACTAAAGCGTCGCCAGAAGAAGGGTACTACCACAAAATCAAGTGGCAAGCGATACGGAGACATCTCCTTTGAGGAAGTTGCACTGGAGGCTAAGCGACAGGAATTGCTGAAGAGTGAAGATGCCGAGGAGAGGAAACAGGGCGAGGCGATGGTCACGCCGACCAGCATCTGGCTTGCGGACCAGGACCCCAAGGCATTCCGCTCGGCCAGACTCGCTCTGCTCGGTGAGTCTAAAGACAAACAGTCTGCCGATAGGGAAACAAAGACTATCGATGAGGCATTGGGTGATGAAGTTGATGCTATCACCACCACTGAGTCAACGATCGATGTTGTGGAAGACGAGGCCCAAGATCTCGCAAAGGACCCACAAAGCGGCGGTGTAGCCAAGAAGAAGGCGCCGTCTCGCCTCGGCCACGAGAAGAGCACAATTCAAGTATGGATCCCGCTCAGCTTTCCACCTGTTCCGCAGAAAGGTGGGTGGGACGTATCCCGTCTCCGGGAATCCAAGTACTTTTTCTCTTGACTTAGCCCAGCGCTTCGGGGCGACGCTGAGCGCGAATTCTTCGCGCCAGACGAACGCGCCCCGGTAGGTATTGCAGCAACACAGAAGATTCGCCAAATTGCCCTGCAAGGAGGCTTGGGAGAATGCGGTTGGGATGTCAAAATTCGTCCAGAGGCGTGGTGGAGGGAAGATCACCCCGGCAGTTCGAAGAGAGAGGGGCGGGCGAGACAGATTGGAGAGAAGAGAGGAAGGAAGAAGAAGGGTTTTTGATTGATTGATTTACCATACCTCTGCGCTCGGCGTCATGGCGGGTTTACTGTGGGCTTTTTCATTGCTTGGTGTTTTGGTAGGATCGGATACTGGGAACCCCCCTTTATGGTAAAGCTTTGTAAGAAGGGGAATGATACCCCATGTATGTTCATGAGCTAGAGTACTTCGCCTATCAGGCTTGTTGTACTGAATGTTGACGATTACCATCCTAAGACTTTGTTGTGCTCCTATAGCGACATGTTAGGTCTATCGGGTTTGCTAAGTAGAAAAACCTCGACAATAAACCGAGGTTGACCCTAGCGTTGGGAACGCACGTGGGCAGGCAAGGGGACTTTGCGGGACGCGGTTGCCGCCGCGAGATAGCGCAACTCGTTGTTGCGACCATAAACCGCCCCCACCTAACGACTCCGGCATGTCTCCACGTCAGCCTTATCTCTTGCCTGCTTGCCTTCTTCGCTCTATCGGCAATATACTGGCGATACACGATACTAGGATTGTCTGCAGTCAGGCGAGAGCCGCAAGTCCTTTTGCCAGAAGCAGCTACCACGAAGACGTACTTCATGGGCTCAAGCCCGGCAGCCACCAATATTTTGGAGCGGCTCGTCTCGTGCAATCAAAACATGGCAGACATAGTGTAAGGCTAGACAGAGGAGCTGATAGCAGAAAGGTGAGATCGTGCAAGAGCTGACGCTGGTACTCAAAAGTTCACCGGTGAACAATGAGGCTCGGGATCCGCATTAGACCGCCTCCCATGGGGCCCTACACAATCACATTCCTATTGGACATGCGACTGGAAGGCAGCCACTGCGAGATATACGAGGTGGCGCTGCAACCTAGTGACTGTTTGTTAAAGCCGAGGCTCACCCAACCTGCCAGTTGCACGGCGAGTTCTGCCTCGCGCACCTTGCGGTCGACATGACTACCAACTTCAGAGAGTGCGCCAAGCGATTCGCAGAAAACTCAACACTCCGCGAAACATGGGGTTGGCATGGTAAGATCATCGGAATCGATTACAACTCTACGACCCAGATATCCCGTGAAGGGTGCATATACCTTTGTGGTAACGGCGCGCATTACTACCCGTGGAAAGACGTTTCAGGTGTAATCACCACCTGGATACTCCCAATCATCGGTGTTCTTTTGCAGGCACCTTTTGAGAGCAACGCAACTCAACGAACATTGTTGGCCATCACGCGGTGGGTTGGCTCGCCCATCGCATCGATATCCTACGTCCTATGGAATATCAAAGTGTCTGCCAAGGCTGCCATGATGGTTGACATGGCTGTCAAGTATGACGAGACCCCCCATCGCAAGACCGACTTCGGTAGCATGCGAGACTCTATGTATCTCTTGCTGGTTATGAATCAGTACACGCTAAAGCCTACGGTCATGTCGAAAGACCTTCAGAAAGAAGCCGAGGGCCTATTGCGCATCACGCTCTTTAGCAAAGACCTTGTGTTAACAGATACCGACAAGACGCTCCGTCAAATGAGACGCATACTGGCCCGTGAGGTGCGTGAGATGAGAAGAAGGGGGACCGTTCCGGGTATGTACTCTTTCTCCGACGTTACCACAGCCGCTAATTGATGCTCAGTCTTTATATCCATCATGTGGTTCTTATTCGCATTTGCGCTTTCCATTCAAGATGCTTTCGGTGACCTGGGAAACAACTCAACCGCTCACGATTTGGCATTGGGCTGTTTGCTGGCCTGGTTCCCAGTTCTAATTATGGGCTCTATTGTTGACCGCAATCCCATAGCAGCAGAAGCGATCCGCAAAAAGCTCAGCACCTTGGTCGATCACGTCCGTCACGCACTACGCGACAAGCAACATCGCGACGAATTCATCAAGACCTTTAGAGATCAACCAGACTACCATGAGCTGAAGTGCCGTATCGAGAGTGTGGCGGACAAGGGCGAGTACATGGAAGAATTCTTCGTGGATTTCGCCGGTCAGGCAAGAATTCGATGGCATTATGGTGCCGCACATGCAATTCTCTCTGATATAGAAGACTGCTATATTGAGAGGAAAGGCCGTAATTGGCTGGCTAATGAGCGCGAAGCACGAGCAAGTCTTGTGTTGGGGCCTGTCAATGAGGAAGGGTTGGTTTGGTTCGATGTCCGAGAGTTCTGGCAAGTGCTAAGTGCCATCATCATCGTTGCTGGAAGTTGCGGAGGTGCATTCATCTTAAGTTACTTCACACCCACCGTTGGCCTCGGTTGCCGCAGTGGAGGATACACCATCTTCTTCGCTGTTGCATTGGGGCTGCTTATCGTCGAAATGACCGTCTGGATGTTCCTTTCGCCGTACGAGTTCGATGCGCTGTGTTCGCCATGGCTGGGCAGAGTTGGAAGTCGTCTACACAGCCATGTCACCTTTAACCATTGGGAGGACGATGCACAGGCGAGCTGGGGAAGACTCAAGCGAAGAGCGTCGCGAATAGTTGACGCTACGAGCGGCCTTTTGATCGGTTGTATAGTCTCCATAGTTCTTGTAGCGCCTTGGGTGGACAGAGCAGCCACCAGGGAAAAGATTCAGGTAGCATTGGAGAGGGAAAGAACTAGTCTCCGTGAAATGCCTATCAAAAGGAGGTGGGAGCTCTTCTTTTTCCGGCCAGTAGAGACATTCAACACCATATGGTTAGTAAGTCATATCCCTGTCGACATCGCAGCAATAAGACCACTGACTGATCGCCTGTAGATATACATCGTCATGGCGCAGGTCTTTGGTTGGTACAAAACTTGCGATTGCATGACCAGTAATTGGGCTTGGGGAGGTGGATACCTTGATTTCAGTCAGCAAGGGTAAAGTAGCCATCATACGTGAAAATATGGTTGATAATAGCTAACAACTAAATAGTACGTTCTCACTTTACTACTCACCCCCTACAGAGATAAGAGAAAAGGGAGACACGGGTGCTTTTTTTCCTTCAATCTACCAAAGCAGGACAGGTTAATACGATACGTTTCATAATCTACGATACATTATTGCCTGTGTTAACCGCTTAATAGATCAGTCGAATAGCCTATGGGTCGCCTGGTGCTGGATCTCCGGGACTGTCTTGACAGCAACAGTGATGGGTTTATCCATGTTCTACATCACTGTCGAAGTAAGTTGAGCCTGTACGAGCTGCATGTGAGATATTCACTAACCTTGTATTTTCCCCTCTGCAGTGGTGTCAACAGTCCTTCCTATCGACCGAGGATTACGAAGACGCTATGAAAGGACTGAGAATGACACGAGCCTACCGGTCATGGACGCTCTTCGCTCGCCGTACCTCTCGTGTTACAATGAACCATTTAGAAAAGCTTGCTCTTGCCATTGGTTTGATCAAGAAGCGTAAAAAGACGCTCATGTGGACAAGGCATCACACATGGAATCCGCTTGTTCCTCGCCGGACTTCCTCGTCAGGAAGAGACTATTTCCGCGGAGCGCCGTCGATTGAACTGACACCTTACGACAACGATAGAGTGCCCGATGTTGTCTTCGAAACCCCAGCAATGGCTCACTCGTTGTTTCCACCAGCTATCACACCACGTCGGACACGCAACGAGAGCGACGCCTCCCTCGATCCACTTGACCTACCCGGTCGGCCCCGCACAAGCGGCGACTCTTCGACACCCCTTATACAAAGGCCGTCGCAAGTATATCAGCAGAATGAAGCAGACGGTCACGTGGTCGGCGAAGAGCGCAGAAGCTCAGAGACTCCTCTCATAGAACCAGGTCTGGTGCGTAGTAACGCACAGACAGGGCCACATATGCAGGATGCAGTGCAGAACCGGCAGGGCTATCATCGTGCACACTCGGATCAGGGATCTGCACTTCAGTCGAGAGATACTGAACACGCTGGTTTGGGGATATCGTCTTCCTCGCAAGACCATAACTACAGGTAGACCTAGACAGTCTTATTGTAAGAAGAAGTTCGCTTTGGTATAAAGGACATTTACATGAGCTGTTGAACTATTGCTCCCCTGCCTTCTCTTGCCTTACCTCGGGGATAGTGCATGTATTCTAATCAATACTTGAGATCCCCATAGTATCTGTCACCATCGTGTTAGCTTTTGTTCTTCGAATCTCTTTATTCTCGATGTGAACTTACTGGTCCTCTTGACTACCCCAATCACGAAAACTACTTCCCTGTAATGTCAGACATACACTGTAAGGCGCTCCCCTGTCCTCCAGTCTCTCTGGTGACTTCTGTTCGTTATCTGCAAGCGTGGTTTACACCTTTGCAGTGACTGTTCACTTTGATGAGCCATATCGGTTATATGTATGACCTTATGCATTGACTCTTGCCTCTGCTGCATAGACTGTACTATACACGACATCTGTGTCTATCCACCAAGCTCGCAGACTTAACATAGTCGAGCAACGACTTGGGTATCTCCCATATGAATCGAATAACAAAAGAACAAATACACCATATCCCACAAATGCTTTTGAATAGATAGATGTCCCATGATGCTCTCCGAATTACGCCGTGCCATGCGCCATCAGTGCCATGTCCGGCTATGCTAAAATGTAAAGTTATTGTTGTTACCGTACTCCATACCGGCATCGTCACCCAGATGATCTACATTCATAAATTCATCGATGGAAAATGGATCCGCCATGCTACCAGCACCCATATTCATGTCCATTCCATCGTGGGACTGCTGCTGTTGACCGATTGGTTGACTCGGAGGTTCCAGGCCCTCGACGATGCGTGTTCCCTTGGGCACGGAAGCGCCAAAGGCACCAATGCGGTCGGACTGCGCCACGCTTGCTCCCTTGCCCTTGCCCGTTGCATCGCCGCGCGAGTTCATCCAGATGCCATTACCGCCCTCGCCGTTCTTTACAGCTTTAGCAAAAGGATCCTGGAATATAAGACTCGTCTCATACCATCGACCTTTGATGTCGTCGATGTCGATCTTGTATGATGGTTGGATGAGCTTCCACCACGCCGCCGTGCGGGTTATAGGCACGAGCATTCGGTTTCGCCATACCATGTCGTGCACCATGCGCGAAGGAATGTTGGCGTTCTGCTGAGGCGGTTTTGGAGGAAGGTTGGCGTCTGGCGCGTCCAAAGTGGCGTAGCTATATATGTCACCGACTGCGATGACTTTGCTCTTGGGCTGGTTGGGCGGTGGGTTGGCATAGACTTGCTCGATGATGTCAGTGACGACCATGAGGTCAGTTCCAGTAGCGCCTATGCGCAGGCGGACGGCCTCGCCTTTCCAGATCTTCTCAGCGCCAAGGTACATGCCGTTGTATTGGCGAAGTTCGTTTCCCTTGTCGTCCTTTGACGTTTTGAGGGGCTCGAAGAGCGTATATGTTGTGTCAATGGCTTTTGCAGCTAGAATTGACGCATCCACGGACGCGATTCCCTCGCCTCCCTGTCCACTTATGAGGGCCCTCCAGTCAGTGTTGCCATATTCGAATTGCGGATTCTGTTGTAGAAAGGGGAACGTGCAGCTGGGTGCAGACCACGCGAGCCAGGGCTTGACGTGCTCATCCGTGTGAACGATTTCTTGTGGAAGCGTCTCAAAGGGGTGCGACAGTGGTTGGATCAAATATGACCTGCTCATGGGTTGTTCTTTGACAGCCCATCTTCTTACCACGAGTCCGAGACCCCAGGCTGACGTCTTGGGCCTGAAAAACCACACCACCTCTCCAGTTCGGCAGAGAAATTTGTTGTATGACAAGTCGACTTGCTGTTCAAAGGACCGCGGCTGAGGGAGAGGGGTCGATTGCAAGGTTGGAGGGGCTCTGATTTGCGGAGCACTGGGTGCAGGTGCAGGCTTAGGGGCAGAAACGGGCGTAGAGGGCTTGATGATGGGACTGGGGATAGGCGCACTGGTTGAAGGCCTTCGGGGAGGGATTTGTACTACGGGATTGCGCCCAACGACGGTGCTGTTTGGTGTAGCGCCGCCGGAGCTGTTCTCTCGCTTGAGGGCCATGGGCTGCTCTTGCTTGGCTTCAACCTTGACTTGGGGCTTCTCGACGTCTCCGGCGGGCGAGCACATCTTGCACGTGCAATTGGCCATGTCGCTGTTCTCGTCTGTGCACAGCCACAGGAGATGAGGAAAGAATTCGACGGGACTCCTGAAGCGTTTCTTGGGGCCCTTTGGGTATCCGTAGAGGTATGCATCCTGTCTATCGTGGCCGCCGCCCGAGTGGTTCTTGACCGTCTTCAGCTGTCCGTCTGCCTTGGTCTTGATGTGCTCGTAGAGGACGTAGTTTTCCGGCAACTCCCACAGGATGCATTGCTGCCACTTGTCTATCACATGTTAGTCTGCAGTCGGCCATGCGCCTCGCACCTTGCCTACCCTCTTGCTGCTTGCCGCCCACCTCGCGCAGAAGCATGCCACCCAGCTTCTTGCGCCAGTCTTGATGCTTCGGGTCGTCCTTGTCTATGAGGCGGTAGAAGTCGCGCTGGCCCTGGTCGTTGGGCGTCGTGTTGAGCTGCTCCTCGGTTGGGCCGTTTCGCAGAGGACGGCCTTTGAGGTTGACAATGTGCTGCCCATCTGACTTTGACGCGAAGATGGGGAAGAAGGGCGTCATGGGCTGTTGAGCCATGGTGTGCGACGAGTGTGCGCCGGCTGCGCGAGTACGGCGAGTGGCTTCGACAAATGTCACGTCTGAGGGTCGACGGCGTTTGACGAGCTGGTGGTAGCTCGGAATGGTTCCGGAAGGGCCCATCGCAAGTCGCGCTAGGACGCGTCTGCTAAGATTGACGTATCGCCTCCGCGTACCTGACGGCGCCGCGAGGTCTCACTTCACCGTGAAGACGCCCAGTCGTCTCAATGCCCTCGTTTGGATGCGCTGAATCGCTTGCTCTCCTCTTCATCGTCACTTGCCTCGAATAAAGTTATTTTTCTCCCTGTCTTCGTCTCTTTCCAACAACTTTCCAACAACGCGTTTCTAATTGCCATTCACCTGTACTTTCCCCTGCATTTTCAGGCTTACAACTCCGCTTCACCGCGGAACCCACTCGCCTGCACAGCAACGCATACCTGTCACAATGGCCCGGCAGCCGGTCATAACTCTGGGCTCTCCTCAGCCCATCACCCCCAAGAGACGAGGCGGCCAGCTGCAGGACCTCCTCGCGCAGTTTGGATCTCAGAGTTCAGCCCAGTCGGCAACCAAGAGAAGACGTATATCCTCGCAGCAGGAGACCAAGCAAGGCGAGACAAGCGGCAGCAAACGGAGCCTGCGACCGCAGCCAACACCAAACTACATCGCTTCCGATTCATCCGCAAACGAAGCCTCCCCGTCTACTCCCGACCACAAACAGCCCGCTGTCAAAGCCACCAGGAGCACTCGTGCCTCGACCTCAAGAGAAGCAGACGCCGATGCGGGAACCAGCGAAGACGAACTCGCCCCATCCGCCCGCCCAAACCGCAAGACTAGCGCCAGGATCTCTGCATACACTGAAGAGCTGAAGATGGAGAAGCACAGAAAGGATCGTCAGCGGACAGAGGGTCTGCGGCGAAGTGGGCGTGACAGGAAGACCACTATCTTGGAGTCGGACACCGTATCCACTCCCTCGCCACCTCGCCGAAAGGCTGCGCGACCGCCTCCTAACCTCGACACCGCTCGTGCTCGTTTGCGCGACGAGATTACTAAGAAGACCAAGGCGAAGGCGAACAGCTTTCTTGTCGCCAACAAGCATCTCTTCCTCCCGCTGCTGCCTAAGAACAACCAGGTAACCAGGTTGGTCGCCGAGGGCAATACGCAGCCTATCGTCGAATACGAGGAGCTCTCGGAGCAGCCCAAGGGTGTCACTGCTGTCATGAAGCCATACCAACTATCAGGTCTGTCATACTTGGTTCATCTTTACAACAACGGTTTCTCTGGCATACTCGGCGACGAGATGGGTCTTGGAAAGACGCTGCAGACTTTGTCGCTCTTCCAGTATCTCGAAGAGCTGGATGAGAAGAACGGCGTGACGTCAGAAGAACTTCGCCCATACCTCGTCATCTGCCCTCTTAGTGTTCTCAACTCGTGGGTCACCGAGGCCCAGAAGTGGGTACCGCAGCTAAAAGTCATGCGCTTTCATGGCGCTGTCACTGAGCGGACCCGTTTGAAGCGCGTTGCAGCTGGCATGGAGGATATGAAGGGAAACGAGACTTCACACGCCAAAAACAAGAAGGCGTCGCGCAAGGCTGGCCGAAAGGCATCCAAGCTCTCCTCGAGCAATGGAGGATCCGATGCCTACAAGATTGTCGTCACCACCTACGAGACCTTCCAGGCCGAGCAATCATGGTTCAAACACTCTTTTGCCTGGCGCTACGTCGTTCTGGATGAGGGACATAAGATCAAGAGCAGCGTCACCCAGATCTCTACTGCACTCAAGAGCATCAGCGCCGAATATCGTCTCATCCTAACTGGAACACCACTCCAGAATAACCTGGTCGAGATGTGGTCGCTTTTGACATGGCTGTACCCCAACGTCTTCGATGACAAGACTGAGACGCTATTCAAGGAATCCTTTGACCTAAGCAAGGGCAAAGCGAACAAGCAGACCATGACAGACGCCCGTCGCTTGCTTGAACTCATCATGCTACGTCGCATGAAAGATTCTCCTTCTGTCAATCTTGGACTTCCCCCCAAGGAAGAGGTGCTGCTCTACGTACCCTTGACTCCCATGCAGAAAATTTGGTACACTCGTCTGTTGACACGCATTGACGATGGCATGCTCGACGAGCTTTTTGCGGATGGCAAGCAGAAGGAGAAGGCGGCTATTGAACAAGACATTGAAGACAACAAGCTTCTTCAGAAGATGGAAAAGGTAGAGAAGGTGGTGCGCTCTGGCGATGCCGGAAGTGATTGGGATGAAACTACCAAAATCTTACAAGAAGCCGTGGCGAAGGAGCAGACTGACACAGACGCCAACAAGGGCGCTTGGAAAAAGCTCATGAACCTCGTCATGCAATTGCGCAAGTGTTGTTCACACCCATATCTGCTCCCAGGTGTCGCGCCTGATCCGTACTACCTCAGCGACCACATTATTCGCGCATCCGGCAAGTTCATTCTTCTCGAGAAGCTCCTCAAGCACACGGTCTTTAACGAGGGCAAGAAAGTCCTCATTTTCTCTGGCTTCACTCGCACACTTGATTACTGCGAAGATCTCTTATCCCTCATCAGCAACCATGGAGAGCATTTCAAGGCCCTTCGCCTGGACGGTAGCACAGCTCGAGCTCGCCGCAACCTTGATATTCGCCTCTTCAACCAAAAGGACTCAGACTACAAGGTCATGCTTCTGTCTACACGGGCAGGTGGCTTGGGTATCAATCTCACGAGCGCCCAGGACGTCATTTTCCTTGACGAAGATTGGAATCCGCAGATTACACTTCAAGCTGAAGCTCGAGCTCATCGCATTGGACAGACAAAGAAGGTGACCATATATAAGCTCTGTACCCAGGGTACCGTCGAAGAGCAGATGATGGGTCGTATTCGCAAGAAGCTTTATTTGTCGGCAAAGATCACAGAGTCGATGCAGAGCGTGCATGGCAAGCAGTCGACTATCAGCAAGAAAGCCGGACGCGTATCTGCTACCGAAGACTTACCCCAGATGGACACTACACAACTGAAGACACTTGTACGACGAGGCGCCCAGACACTGTCACATCCGGAGATTGACGTCAAAGAGATGGTGTCTTGGGATTTAGAGACAATGATGGCCAAGTGTCGCGACAATCCTGCCGACTTGACCGAAACAGCGACACACTCTGAGGCTGACGAGGATAAATGGCTTTCTACCATGGAGCGTGTCGAATGCGCTGTGTTTGAGGGCAAGCACCACCAACGCCAGCTTGACACAACCTGGAAAGCTAATACCTCAGCTGCAAATATTCTTCCAGACACCATCACGCGCGAAGATCGTCGCAAGGGAAAGAACACTACAGTCATGGTGGACGGCTTTGCTATCAACAAAGAGTCCATGGACTGTGCCGACTGGGAGGCTGTGCCGACGTATGCTGGCAAAGATCCTCGTCTTGCTGAGCCGGTACGTGAAAAGCGGCGCCAATTTGGCCATGAGGACCATTGTCTAAGCTGTTTCGACGATGCGGATGCTGGACACATGGTCGAGTGTAAGGGTTGCCCTCGTGCTTACCATATCGACTGTCTTGATCCCAAGTACAAGGCAAAGGTAAAGGGCTTCAGTGGCTTACAGTGCCCACAGCACAACTGCGTAGAGTGTGGGAAATCGACCTCGGATGCTGGAGGCCTCATGTTCCGCTGCCGTTGGTGTCCACAAGGCTTCTGTGAGGATTGCCTCGACTGGGACAAGACTGAGCTTATTGGCGAAAACCTTCCCGAGTTTGAGGTCATGGGCGAGGATTCCACAACTGGTGGTTTCTACATCAAGTGTCCCACTTGTGTCGATGAGAGTGAGGAACAGAAAGCGTGGGTGGAGAACAAGGAGAAGGAGTACAAGAATCAACATGATAGCTGGCTACAGGAGCGTGAGGAGATGCAGCGTCAGCTGAACGAGTACGATGCGAACGGCAAACAGGAGAGCGAACATTACAAGGCGAACATGATCAATGCGAAGACTAACAGCCGCCTCCCGCAGCTTATCGAAACTCAGGTCAAGCATGAGAACGACATGCTTATCGAAGACGATGATGTCACCTCTCCACCTGCTCTTACTGACACTTCGCTGCCTACTCCCGCGCTCGGCGGCTCTCGCGTCGGCACACCCATGTACACAGAGCCTGCGCAGAATAGTAAGAAGGCCAACAAGAGAGGCGAAGCATTCGGTGAGACGCGCGCGGAGAAGCGGGCTCGACTGGATACGCAGTCTTAGACTATTCGTGAGGTTCCACTCATGAAGAGTGTAAAGATATCAAAGGGTTGAACGCACAAGACAATGCAATCTCGGCTTGTTGAGAAACACCAGTCTTGGCAAAGAAGGAGTTGTAACAGTCGTATCTTGAGCATTCCGAGGGCGTTTGGGAGTTTTATCTGGTAGCTTTGATGGATATACCCCCTTTGGCATTCAAAGCGCTAGTACCGTTGAGACCAGTCGATACATTAGTGTTAAGAGCCATGGTAGCAACGATTGTGCGACTAGCGCTTGACATGAGTATTGCGCAATACCGTAGCATAGAGCGATAATAATGAAGCCTCTTGTTGAATTCGCCATCAATGTCGTGATTAGTTCCTTACTCTTGGTATTGAACGTACTTGTCAAGCTGTCAGCAACGGCTCTTTGAGCCTCCAATTGATGGACGTACCTATGCATCCCGCCCTCTCATGTCCCGCGCTTTCGCTTCATTTTCCTTCACCCTCTTTGCCTTCATTTCCGTCCTCGTTCGTACCTGAGCACCGTCAGGCCCAACTTTTCATCCGGGAGTCCTCACAGAACACGTATGACTAACCAAACATGCTCCCCCCACCTCCACCCATCCTGCCTCCCCTCTGTGCCTCCCTAACCAGCCACTCCCTCAAAAAGTCCTTATTACGCATCTCCTCAGGCCGCGTCAACCTGGTATCAAACTGCGCCTCTTGTCGCGAAAACGCCAACAATGTCGGCATACTGCTGATGCGGTATTTGATAGGTAGGTCTTCAATCAAAGTACTGTCCATCATCACTTCCACAAAGCCTAGCCCGCCTTCTCGCTCCCCAATCTTCTCTTCTTCGACAAGCTGTTTTATAAGCGGCTTAATTGCTTGGCACGTTTGACACCAGGATGCGGTCCATAAGGTTATAAGCGAGCGGTTGTCAGCAGCGTTGAGGAGAGTGAGTGTGTGGAGATCGTTTGGTTGGCGGACAGGGTCAAAGACGCGGTTTGTGTGAGAGCGCGATTTGGGGTTCAGGAGGGAGAAGGCGCGTTTGTTTGTGGTTGTGATGGCATTGAGACGGAGAGTGGAGACAAGGGATGGTCGTAACATTTTTGCGGGTTGTTACGTGGGATCGTGTGTTTGGAGGTTGGAAATGGAAGCTGGGGTTTCGCTGGTAGACTTGACGCGTGCAGGTTTTGGGACGACGTCATCGGCTGCCAAGACCGGGGTTGCACCTAATCGCGTCTGCGCACCACGAACGACAACATCTTACCATGCTTGTAAGAATCAACTCCTTCTACATTCAATTTAATACAGTGCGCTACAGAAAGATCATCGTTCCATTCGCGGTACAAATACAACGGCAGGGTACATTTCAGCACGTGTCACGGAAAGACAAGACATCGCCTAATCGCTGTCTCTTCCTCAAAGGCGTTGGAGGAGCTGAATCTACTACCTCCATGTCACAATCAAGCTGTGTATCGCGTGTGAATTCTTCACAGTAACCAGCTTTTTCTTCTGGCTTGCGCTTCTTACTGTTGATCGTAGCAGCTTGTCCCATCCCGCCATATCCATGTCGAATCTGAGGTTCCCCACCAAGCTTCTGGGTCGTATATTTAGGGTGACCAAGGAAATCCAGATCTGGGTCATCGTAGCTTCTCCACAAACCGTGCTTTTTGTCTTTCTTTTTGTTGTTTACCTCTATCTTCGCCTTTCTTTTCTTCAACGCAGCATTCGTCCAATGTACAGGGTTGTTACCTCTATCGTAAGGCAGGTCCGCCTCAGACATCGCTGCGACAGTGATTTCATTTTGTTCATTCTCCTGAATCTTATCGGCCAAGGAATTCTCGTTTTTCCAGAAGTCTGTCATACGAAACTGACGATCAGGTGTTATATCGGATACCCTATTCTCGAAAGCAAGCTGGCGACAAAATATCCATGCAGCTAACGTTCGCCAGTCCAGTAGACCGACTACGGCGGCACGCGCGAGAGTATGGAATTCTTCGTATATGACGTCGTCGTATGCTTTACTCGGGTTCGGGTGCAAGCCCAGAGCTAGAATCCATGCATTGATTACAACATGAGGCCCGCACTGCCATCCGCCGCTCTGCTGACTTGGAGCAGGTATTGTCTGTAAAAGATACTCCGCTCCGTCATTCAGACGCTGTTGAGGCCATTTGAGCTCAGCAGCAATGTTCTTGATGATCCTGGACAGGGGGTCGTCTGCGCGCTGGATCGCGTCGGCCAGTATGCTCGGTGCACTGTCGTAGATGCTTATCTCAAATATCTTCCTATTTGAATCACCATCTTGCTCTGATTCTTGTAGAACCACCAGTATATGGTGCCCTTGTCCGTTCACGGTCGTATCTGAAGTTGGCCTCTTATTCTTTTCACGCCATCTATCAATTATATCCAGATAGCCTCCTCTCGAGACGACCAGAGGCATGAACCAACATCTTCGTGGGCGCGAAACTGGCATACCCGCCTTACCGCCTGCAAGGGCGATACTGTAGCTAGTGGAAAGGCAGAAACCACCCGCGAACGCTGCGAGCGGGTTAGTATCCTTATGCCTCTGCAGTTGCAGGTCATCAATCGCTGCAATAACTGAGGCGATCGCCAAACTGACATCTGAGTCATTCCTTGGCTGGTTCCAATGTCCTGTTCCAGATTCCTCGCCTTTGAGTATATTCCCAAGAAAGTCCTCCCGGAATATATACCGATAGAGATGTAGAGTGTCATGGAGGATCGAACATGGTCGAAGCTGTAAAAGCAAATTCTTGCTTGTGTGCCATTGATTCAAATAATCTTGGCATACTTTGCGTAACTGCTGAGGGTTTTGTTTCTTGTAGTCTGCGTCGTCTTTCTCGAGTTGCTTTCTAAATGCTAATCCTCGAACATCGCACAAATCGACATGGGCCTCCTCAAGCTGAGTTTTTTTGAAGTCCAGATTCAACCTTCCATTCCGAGCCAAGTCGTTGGCATAGTTCATACAAGCGTCCGGGCTCCAGTCATCGGACGGAAAGGCTCCGACACTGTCATGTTGTCTGCCTGGAGGTAGCCGAATCCTGTTGGCATGCCTCAGTTTATTTATATCTAGCATTCCAGTTTCCATACCCGCAAAGTGAATGTCCTCCAAATGAATGATATACTCCCGTGCTTCTTCGACACTTCCTTCATCCAAAAGTGCCGTGGTATGAGTGAAACGCCGGTCGGCCGATACTTCTCCAGAGAGAACAAAGCCGTAGCATACGCGAAATCTGTAGATCAAGCTCCAGTCTGCTCGACCGATACAAGCTAGGTGTATGACATCTTGCAGGTCACCGTAAAATCTATCCGTCCACTCAATGTTTGCATTGGGATTTGGAGTCAGACCAAGTGCGAGAGTCCAACCATTCATGATAGCATAATGACCACATTCACAGTCGCTAGGCTTTTGGGACACAGGAACCCAAGTTGTGTGCGCAGGCTTATGGTTTTGCCACTGAGATGCTGGAAGAACTTTCTCCAGCCATACTGAGTCGAGCACAAATTTCCAGGCCCATTCGTGTATTTTTGTGCGACCATCAGGCTTTCGAGTCCAACACTGAAAATTCCGGCTCATTTTTGTCATCGAGCTGAATGACGAGCCACACAAAATGTTCTTCGACATGAACCGGTACAAGCAACGGCCTTCCTGGACGCGGCGTCCGCATAGAACCTGGAACATTGTTTTTTATGAGTTCAACATGGGTTTGCGCGATAAAACCAAACCCACGTAGATAGTCTTGTTGAGCATTGGTGATCGCAATGGTGACGGAAGCAATAGCGAGTGATAATTCCTCGTCTTCCAGCCATTGTCCAAAGACAGTAGTGAGATTCTTACAATCTCGGAAAGCTTTAAGTTGAGTCTTGATCTCTTCGTTCTCCAGAATTTCGTTAAGCCTACCATGAAATTGAGCACAAGGCGATTCTTTATCTTTGTGAGGTAATTTCTGTACTGCACGTTCTATCTGTGGCGGGAGAAATTTGGTAAACTTTCCTGCCTTGATCTTCTCAGATATCCGTGTACTTCTGTCAGCCTCGTTGAAATCATTCCATGGGAAGGTTTCGGTATGCGTTAAACCTGTATCCACTGGGGAATGGTCGTAGTCAATGTTGTGACGGGCGCCAGTAGCCCGGAGTGTTCTTTCTTCGTCTATCTTCCTACGCTCATAGGGATTCGGTTTTTTGGTAGTCTTGAAACGGCGCTCCAGTGGAGGCAATTGCGTAGAGTGGATATAGCCCACACAGAGTAGGAACGCCCAGATCAGTTTCTAGTCCGCATTTCCATTCTTCACTCCTTGGATGAGAGAGAATATTTTCTGAAAGAAGCCCTTTCTTGGGCAGAAGTCATTGTTGATAGGCAGACCAAGCAGTACGGCCCACGAATTCATAATGGCAAAGTATCCAGATTCCTCCGCCCGAGATTGCTGTGGTCCGTGCATCCATATCAGAACTGATCCTACAATAGTCCTGGTTTGAGTTGTACCAGGTGTCGCTTACCGTGTTCGAAGCCAAAAGTGGTCAATCCATGTCGATCTTGCCTTCAGATTTGGTATCTGAGACTGTTTGACGATTGATAAGATTCTGAAGGGAGCACTTGCGCAGGTCAAATTGGCGCAACCTTTCCGGAAATTTGACCTCTCCGTCTGCTCCGTTGACATCGACCGACTTAACAAATTTGGCGCACCGGCAGAAAGCGAGCAAGACCTTCCATGTCAATTCACCTCGGAGGGCTAGATCAAAAATCTGCTGGGCCTGGATGAAGAAAGACTCGTAACCGTAGAGGCTGGGGGTAAACGAAGAGTTAAGTTCGAGACCCATAGCCAGTGCCCACGCGTTCAGTACGCTACATATGAAGCTTCCATCGCTGGTGGTGATTTGCGCAGTCGGGATCCATTCAGCATCACCGAGATGGTTGTCGATCGTGTGGTTTGATGGGTCAAACATATCTTGGCACCACTTGCTGTTGAGCAGTAATTCCTTTGCACGCTGGAAAATGGAGGTTCGAATACTCAGTGTTGTTCGCCATGTCATAGGATCGAGGATTGTGGGATTGATCTGCCTGTCAAGCTGATATTGAGCAGCTAGCAGAATGTACTTCCCGTCTATGTCGAGTGGCAGCAGCAGTGTTCTTCCCGGCCCGAAATCTCGCTCCTAAAGCTGATAACTGAACTCAGTACCATCTGATTGTCGTTGGTTCACAGCAGCAAGCACCTTAGGAATAAGTTTAGCATATCGAACAGATCGATGAGAAGACAATCGAGCTCGCACATAGAAACAATCCCCCATATCTTCTAGATCTCCTTCACCTTCTTGATCTTCAGTGCTTGCTATACTTTCTGCGGCTTCCGTACCTTCCGTGTCCCCTGCATTCCCTTCGCTTCCGGATCCTTTCCCTGATGAAAGAGCTGCAACTGGTCTCCATCGTACCGCAATATTCTCCATAGCAACATTGCCATTTCGATCTCGACGATTAAGCTCTTCTCTAGCGACCACTCTACTTGACGCTAGTTGTCTTAAACTGTCCTTAGTCCTGAAGAAGAAGACAGGCTGCGATAGTAGCTCGATTATCGCGTACCCTTCGAGCGGCCCAATGTAGAGAGGCGTGGACGGTAAGTCGTCGCTGTTAGTGTATGTAGTGCCGTTGACCGTTACTGTGATCTCGCGAGGCAGTTTAATGAAATAACCCATCAGCCCCTTAGTCTCCGAAGACGACCGTCGAACAAGATTAATATGGGCGTGCGTGTTATTAACTGTTCTACATATGGTCAGCTTGAAACGGGCTAGCGGAACTTCATCTTACACTTCTAGTCGTTCATCTACATTGAGGACAAAAATCTCATTGTTCTCCGCCCGTGAAAGCACTACGGCAATGTTCTGGTCCTCTTCGTTGAAATTTTGCTCGAGATGAGCGAGGGTGTAACGGACGTCCTGCACCGTCGTACTCTTTCTCTTGATTTCATTGAAAAGGCTGCGCAATGACGCACTGGGACGGTTTTGATCTGCGACTAGCAAGTCTTTGGACTTCTTGATTTGGTAGATTGGTGTTCGGTATTGTGGGTCTGGTAGAGATGTCTGCTGCGGATTTATATCTTCTCAAGCTCTTCGGTACAGTGCTTGAGAATATTCGATGGCATGTACGTCTTTGTAGATATATTTAGCCTTCTCTTTTGGTATAGCCCAGTTGACTTCAATCGCAGGCCGTTTATGATAGTGGTCATCCTCTGACTTCGTCCTTTTCCTGTGTTGTCTGTGCCCCTGGTCATCCTTTCCACGTTTTGGAGGCATTCTGGTGGTGTATTACTTAGTATTCGATACAATCTGATTAGTGAACATAACAACTGTAACATGAACCCCAAAATTCAGACACACGATAATGTCCCACTGGATATATGCTAGAAGTGTGTTCTTTCAGGGAGGGGTCTTTGTCCATGGAAAACAAGAAACAGATTCCGGATCTGCTGACATATTACGTGCTATCTTGGCCAGAAGCACAAAGGAAGTCGCGCAGATCCCTTGAACCTAGTGATGTGGCAATCGGAACAAAATCATGACAACATCAGATGATCATGAGCAGCAGCAAGGTCGCTAGGGATATATGTCAGGCTACGAACCAGAAGAAGCTAGTGGAGATTTTGATCAATTTGAGCAATTTCGTCAGCATGATGTTCGTCATCAACAGTGGTCGTTATGAAAGATCCTCGCGCATGGCGTAACTACTTTCATCGGTCGTTTCGATATGCTCGTGAGTTTCGTAATTGCAGACTGTGGTTTGGTGAATGGTTCGATGAACATAGATTTACCGGCGTGAAAGGTCATACGAACGGCTATGCACAAAGAAAGGAGTTGATAAATGGACTGTCTTTTCTATTGAATGCATACATGAATGAAAAGACTTTCTTTCATGAATTTCATGACCCTGGGCGAGAAATTCACAAGGAGTAATACATGTCGAGAGTGGGATCTGACGATGAATCTGCTGTATAACTATTCCACACGATGCAGTGATGCGTTGTGTACCTCCTCCGGGTGATTGACTCGCCACAGTACTCTTCCAAAAGCATACGCACGTCGAGATTGAAGACGCATGTCGAGCTGATGATGCATAATGATGCCTTGCTTGTGTCGTCGGTAACAAGCTCCGCGACTCGGCTCTCACAGTTCAGCCTACTTTTGGTACGGCTGCTGTGGTCCAGCAGACTGATTTCCGAGGAACTTCACGCTTATGTCCAAGAGCTGTCTTCTATTCTCTTCATATTGTCGCGTTGTGTTGGGAATATCGATCCATGGCGCTGAAAACCGTTGCGTTGTTGACATAGCAACGACGATCAGATGCGTGACACCCTAGATCTGCCTCCAACCCAGGGCCGACGCCAACCCGCATCGTGCGGATGATATTCGCAGCGTCAACGCATGACGAGCTGTTATAGTAAGACACCGGCTCTGCAGTGTAGTTGCCATCGCTCGAGTAAGCCCACGCATTGCCGTATGGCTGGTCATAAGGGTAGTCGTACTGAACATGCTCTGACTTGATTTGGGCAGCTGATGGAGTCATGGGCGTAGTGTAGAGCGTTGCTGGATACGATGCCGGTGGTGGTGTACTCATGGTTGATACCATGGATCCGGGGCTAGGTGAGTCGTTGTAGCTGAGTGCTGTTGGCAGCGTAGGTGGAATTGTAACGGGTGGCACTGGTGGTTTTTGCCGAGGTATCGAGGCAGCCCTTGTATATGAAGCTATAGGCGAGGTTGTAGAAGATACTACGTTGGTGTTGACCCTTCGTTCAAGCATCGCATGCAATCTGGAAGCCGCAGTATCATGCTCGTATTGTCGATCAGACATGTCCTCTAATGCTGCCAAAATCTCGGACTCTGATACTCCTCTTCCATGGAGCAGCGAGCGGAGTTTCTGATTCTCATGCAACACTCTCCTGGCAGCAGTCTGGATTTCTGAAGAGGCCTCGATGCCTATCTGCTCATAGCTGCGCAACTTTGCCTCCAGCTCGTGCATGTACTCTTTGCGTCGAGCGCGTGATCGGCCTAAAAGATCATAATTAGCGAAAACTATCAGTAATCGAACGTTCAAATAACATCTGGCTGGGTGTATTATACAAAGTACCACCACTCTTCGTGCTTGAAAAGGAAGATGGTGGGAACAGTGGCTGCTATTGGCCGGAGGTACTCACGCTGGTTATCTCTAATCCGAGCAAGATTCTGTGCTTTCTGTTGGCAGTCGTTAGTTGGGCCTCCATGGGGCGACAGATATCTACCTACGGATACTCTGCTGTCACTCATGATGATGTTTGTTACGAAGCAGATCGGTAGAGAAGAGCCTGGTATTGGATGGGTTGGAAAGATGGGTGTTCAGTTGCGTGATCATCCTGGGTAGTATAACTTCAAACAGATGGCATCCCGTAGTCTTAAAGAAGAAGGCAGAGCCATAGGGTCGAGCAAGCCACTTGTACCCAAGCGCGCTGCAGGCCTCATCCTGGATAGCCCGCGTCTGCACGGTAAGGATGTAAGTGGGAGTATGCTTCGCCTCTGCGACCAGGGCTACAAGCGTGGGTGTCAAGCGGACGGGCCCAGAGGCGTGATGGTAGACCGGGATAGCGCGTAATGTTACGAAAACGCGGGTGATCTTGTCTGTCCTTTCGGTGACCGAGACTAAATTTAATGCGGCCTAGCGCAACACACTAGTCAAATCCTCTGAGCTCGGTGTCTCTGCCCTTTTCAGCTTCAGCCTCGGAAATTGGGGGCTGGAGGAGTTTTGCAGCTGTCTCGCAACACCACGTCGCATCATCGCCATCGCAGAATACTACGCGTCGTCTTTCGCGCATTACCCACGAACCAGTTTCTACGACGTCGGAACGTGCCGAGAGCCTGGCAACCCGATCTGGTGGCACTCGACAAGGATCCTATCTAACAGCCTCGACATGGCGATTGGCCGACGAATAACGGCACCTTACGCCGGCCTTTTCGATCCCACGCGGTTTGTAACGTCGTGGATTCTCCCACCAGGCGCCCTCTTCGCAATACGCGCGCTATTGGCCCTATACGCCTTCACCACCCTCTTTTTTATCTTCGGCTGGAACGGTACCCATGGCAGGTCCGAGGCGTCGCAGCAATCTTTCTCCTTCTTTACGGTGCTGACGTATTGGGGCCTCGCCTTCTATTATGCCTTTGCTGCTGTGCATACTGGCAGTTACTGGTTTACTGGGACTCCATTCTTAGCCCGGTGGCCCAAAGCGCTACAGGTGGCGCACAGCATGTTTTATTCTACCATTGTTGTGTACCCGTGGATAGTAACCAGTAAGTCAACTTAGCTAATCGGCTTGGCTATCAATGTGCAGAGGAACTCGGCGATACCACGTTCGGTGTCTTCATGTCTTTCTATCGCGGTCTTCGCCATAGACCCTTTGGGCACATGAATGCTAACTCATGATAGTCGTTTACTGGACGCTTCTTGCGGGGCAATTCCCTACCACCTTCGCGCTCTGGTCAAACACTTCACAGCATGCCCTCAATTCAGCGTATGCGCTTTTTGAGATAGTTTTTCCCCGGACGGAGCGACTTCCATGGCTGGATCTAATCCCAATCATCATCCTGCTGGCCCTATATCTTGCCTTGGCCTACGTCACACATGCCACTCAAGGTTTTTACGTGTATCCTTTCCTTGATCTTCAAAAGAACTCTTCTGGTATAGTTGGAGCATACATAGTGGGTATCCTAGTCGCCGCGATTATCATATTCCTCATAGTGAGGTATATTATCGCACTGCGAGTTTGGGTAACGGAGAAGAAGCTTAGGATGACCGGGAAGACCTCAACACTTCACAAAGGGGCTGTCGCTGACGAGTATCCTTTACACAGTGCCATTCCAAAATAGTGGAGAGGTTTCCGATGTTTTGCGTTTTGGTCCCTTGACCTTTATATCCCTGTATGCCTATCCACGTTTAATAAGTTTTAAAATAAGTTTCGAAGATTTCTTCACGTCGTCCACTCGGCTGCCCTCAATTTCTACCGACTGTGCTGTTCCCTAACATTTCAAGCTACTAGTTAAGCATGACATGGTCACCATGTTGGCGTGAGTTTGTGTGGCTCATCAGTCGTATCCCTATCTTCACACATATAACTCATACACTTACTGGTATTTGCTTCTTTCTCGTTCTGCACACACATCACCCAGCAACTACCGTCATTCTGGTGTCATGCCGTTCACTATCATCAGGCACAGGTAGGCTCCGATCATGGGCTAGGACTGAATCACCAGGTTTAATAACATAGGATTTACTAGGGTTATCGGCGAACACTGTAGGGTGTGGCTTAGATTGCCTGCATCACCCCACGCTCAGCTCTTTGGAATTGGTGTGGGCAAATTGCTTTTGCGAGGCTTCGAAGCAACCACCTCGCCTTGGTTCTGGATTTGAATCTGCTACATCCTCGTGTCTATCGAATGTTGGACAATTGGTCGCAGCAGTTCCACGGAGCCGTGAAACTGAGAGATACCCCCACCTCCATGCGTCGCGTCGATCATATGGCTGAAGGTCAGTCGCCCATGCGACTTAATTGCGCATTGTCCTGCGTCCACAACCAATAGGACGTCCACGCAAGCAAGTGGTAACCAATCAACCTCACACGTGAGCATTCGTCACCCAATTAGCAGCGACACGTGAGAGTGAAGATCAAAGACTGGTAGACAATGCATCGGCATCGAACATCAGTCACCTCTACAGCTACAGAACGTCAGCACGAGCTTCTAGAAGTACCCTGTTTCCGTCTACATGCAGTATTTAGCGCCCAGACTTTCCATATATCTCGCGTCAGATCGATACTGATTGGCCGCGCAGAATTTTTTTGGCTCTAATGAAGTCGCATTTGCTGGCACTTCATCCTTCGGGGCCGCCCGGTCAGGGGAGATGTGCTGCGTTACATCAGCCCCCGGCACTTTTCGACCCTTTCCAAGAGGCTGCATGCAGGATCCTTCCCATTTCTGCATGCTAAAGAGAGGTAAGAGCATGTGCCATGTGCTAACTGAAAACGCAATTGTAAATCTCTGGAAGGTGTCTGGTCTAGTTTTACTTGACAGGGTCTGATCTGCCGCTACCACCCAGTGTTCCTCGCACCATCAGTGCCGTGTCATCTGAACGCTAGGGCTCATGGCTATAGGGCTCTTGGGCAGCATCAACATGATTGCTTTTTCACGTTTGTCCCAAGCTCCCGGAAGACATTTCGAACCTCAGCTGCACCAGCGGTCGACGTCAACTCAGGTGCTGCAACGCCCATTGGCTGCAAATGGCATACTACGACAAACCCACATGTGCGTCGCACTACCTAGGTACTTGATTGCCGGAGACCTACCTAGGCAATCACATGCGTGCTCATCGAAGTGCGCGTGAACATTCAATACACGTAAATTTCAATTCTCCCGCTCCGGACCCGGAAAGCGGTGTCTCTGCGGTAAGTCGGGACTGCCCGGAGTTCTATCCTTCTGGTAGAAGGGCAACAGTTGGTTGCACGGGCCCGTTCTCACAAAACGAACCCTGGAATCCAACCTGATGGAGACGGGATAACCCCTAGCTTCCTCCAGTAGTCGAACTTGACGCTGATCATCCCCAGTCCACGAACGTATTTGTTCCGAGAGTTATACCCGTTACACTGTGACCGCGATGGAAGCGGACCTCGGATGGCACTGCGGTAATAACGTCGTCGTAACCATGCGGTGATCATCGATGGCTTGCAGCTCATCACTAGGATTAGGATTCCCATGTTTCGAATGCGATTCAAGTTGGCAGGTGCTTTATTGTTCAGGCAAGCGCGGGTCGTGTGCCTTCGTTTCCAGTCCTTGATGGCCGTCAAGGCTAACGGCACCTTCTTAGTCAGGGCTGTGCGATGGGCATGCCTTAGAAACACACGTGTGAAGATCTTTCGGGCTTCATTTGCTGATGGCTCTGTAAGGTCCCATGTCCCACCACAGTCCACACATGTTCACCCGTCAGGCCTACCTGTTATCTCTGACCCCGCGTCCAGCTAATATAGTCCCCTGGAAAGGATTTTAGCCCGTGTCTCATCCATCGCTTTCTATGCCGCTGTCATCAAACCTCCCGCTCCCAGGCAAGATGCCGTTAGTTTCCGGCTACAGACAGCATGTGAAGCTTGGAGTCTCGCAGATTGTGGAGAGACTCGGGAGCACCGATGATGAGAAGCAAGGGTAAGGGCCAAACCGTCAATTACGCCGTTCATTCCAATATCGTCCCGTCCTCCAGATACTTCATACTTCCCGAAGGACCCATGTGTCAAAACACCCCTGCAAAAGTACGTTGCAACAGTTGCATTGACATGGCTTGCGCAATAGCATACTAACCAACAAACAGCGCATCAGTGCAAAACGTCCCTGCGCTGCGCTTGCGCATACTGTAAGTGACAGTGTGACGCTGCGCATTGTTTGAAGGATGGCTCGTTCCTGGGCTACGACCGCAAGAGTATGAAGTCCTGCATGTGTGTGCATGTAAAGTTCGCGTTAGCGCCTGTCAATGCTAGAGGCTGCACAGGGACGGCCTGCGCGTGGGGGCCCACCGATGATGGAGGTACCATATGGTGAGTGGCTCACAGTCGGACGCGGTAAACGACGATGATGGCCATTGCTGGATTTGCGCGAAGGCGGTGCACGTGCTAGGAGGTGACTGTCCAGATATCTACGAACGAGCAGCTGAGCTTTGTTGCATGGAAGCTGCAATGCTACTAAAGCCTCTGTTGCGGCGATAATGATACCTAGGAACCACAACAACAGTAACAAAGCCTCGAGTGTCTAACTGGGAAAGCAACCTCGTAACGGGTTCTCTGCAACCGGAGTTGAAGCCTCGAACGGCCACCCGAAAAGGTAAAGTTGCCGAGGTAACTTGTGAACACCTACACCCTCCATCCCAGGAACACCTCGTACTCTCAACAGCAACCACTGCACACAGAATAAACTCTGCCATCCCAGAAACTCTCTCAGGGTAGCAAGGCGACGGAACCATGATCGAAGTCATCTACATCGTGCGGCACGCGGTACGTACAAAGCTCGACCCCCGTCGCCGCGCTTCATGCCCTCCGATGCTTCCACACGATAGTCGAGGAAAGCCTTCCGTATCGGGAAGCTACCCTGACAGCCATCTCCGTCCTCGCATTACCTCCATACACATCTCGCTTGTGTACACCTCCGCGTGTATCACATGAAACGCCATCCTTTACACTCTCCACATGCAGATCCCTTGTTCCCCAAAATGGCATCCGTTCTAACGTACCCCCCGTAATATCTAGTTCCGCGCCAACTGGTCCGTTGATCCCCAAACGGGTATCTACACCGCCTCTATGGCAAGGAATCCGACCGGGATACCCACTGATCCGCCTCTGACGTCCAAAGGTGTGGACCAGAGTAAGGAGTTGGCCGAGTTTCTGAGTAAGATCGAACCCCCGGTTGAGAGAATCTACTCAAGCCCTTTCTATCGCTGTTTGCAGACTCTCAAGCCATTCAGCGATAAGCTGTTTGAGGAGGGAAAGGCAAAGGGGAGGATCAGGATTGATCGTGGCATTGGGTACGTTGAGGCTGAGTAATGCTCATGTATGCGATATGCTGATGCGTGGATAACAGAGAGTTTTTCGGGCGCGCACACTTTGAACACCCTAATCCACCGCATCTCGAGCTTCTGACTCCTCATTTCCGGAACTTAGACGACCAATATGCGTCTGTACACATGCCGGGATCCAACGGCGAGTTGATCGTGGAGCTACACGAACGTGTTAGGAACGCACTAGATCACATCGTCACTACACTGGATAACGACCCCGAGCAGCCGAAGACCGTCTTATTATGCACCCACGCTGCGACTATGATAGCAGCCGGCCGGGTGCTCACGGGAAAAATGCCGGAGAACCCCGACGAAGATGACTTCCAGTGCTTCACGGCCGGGCTGTCCAAGTATGTGAGGAGATCAGCGGACCCCATGAAAGGCGTTGCTGGAAACTGGGAATGCGAAATGAACTCCGAGACGTCCTACCTCTCGGGCGGAGCAGAGAGAGGCTGGTAAGTGCAGTTTCCATTCTTTGTGTCCATGTCGTGCTGCGTCCATATAGTTTCCAGGTTCTTCCCGTACCATAGGAAAGACTGGCCAAAATCAGAGCCTACAGCTTATGGCTGGGGCGTCGCATCGGCTCATCTTAAGATTTCTTTACCTCCTTCTCGCACAGACGAGCATCTCCTAGCAACCCCATAACCTTTCGTCACGGCAAGTGGCTAACGAACGATGATGACAGGCACTTCAGTGGCGAAGAGAGTTTTGTAGACTTCTCGGATAGCGGTACAAAAGGTGAGGAAAGCTCGAAGTTGTGAAAAGTAGAGGCAGTCTCACTTGTAAGAGATGGGATATGATGCTTGTCTGTTCGCTTGCCAAATGATGAAACTACGGCAGCTGTTCTTGCATTCACGGAGGTTTTGGCTTCCGCATCAGGCTACGAAGATACCCAGAAATACCCTCTCTTTCTCGAAATCAATTCTGTTTCAGTGATCGTCGTTTGCCTTGCCCGAGTGACTGACGTCTGATGATGAGCACTACATGCGGCTCTGCTCCACTTGCCCTGTCCCCATCCCCAGTTCTCGGAATCACCCGTTCCCGTCCACCGGGTACCGATGGTGATTTGCCGGCCTGTGCCTGGTCCACTATTCCTACTGTGCGTTTTCCAGACCCATTGTTGAGTTTGCGCAACGGCGTGGCGAGCACGTGGGATGTTTTGGACCCAGATGTGAGTTCGCCGCGCGGTAAAAAGCTGTGGGAGCGGGGTGCATTACACCGAACCGAGAGCAACCCCGAACAAACAGAAACGGTAAGAACAAGTTACGCACTGATCTGGGGTGCAGGTGAATGGTGACTGATAGACTGGTAGTTTTTTTTACTTTAGAGAGAGACTTGAGATGATGTGAAGGCGTCGAGGTAACAGTGTGTCAAAAGCCAGAAGCTGCAAGCGAGATTTAGAGACAAGAAATATGCGACAGCACTACCTTTACTGCGATGCTACCGATTAACAGGACAAAACAGCTCCGGCCTGTAGACGAGGGTAAATTTGGTCGCACCAAAACTCCATCGCCTTCACACGGGGCATCAAACTTCTTCTTTCGAATTCTCAGCCTCGCTATCGTCCTGCAAGTATCGATATCTTGTCACCTAATTGGCGCATTGTCCTATTTCCTAGTATCTTTACCTTCATAAGACAACAGCTGCATGCTGTCATCTGACCCGTCTCTTACGACCTACGCGACCGTTACCTTTGGGTATCAGCAAAACTATTACTAAATGTCGCACTACAAAATTCATAACATCGTCCTCCTCAAAAGACATCAATCTCTATAAACCCCTGGAGCTCTCACAGCCCTCTACTCACGCCTCTACAACATATTTCCCTCACTCGTCCTAGGGACGTTTTACCTCGCATCGAAACTCATCGGAGGCGGCCACACGAACTCGGATGCATAGTACATGGCTCTTGAATACCAAGATATTTGGGCCAACTACATCAACGTACACTTGCACCCCAACCTCAAAAGTAACCAGAACGAAGAGAAGCTAGAGCCGACACTACTGGCCGGGGAAGTCAACAAGATATGGAACAAGTACGGAAGGCTGAAGATGGGCGGGTTTCGTTTCTGACGACGGTTCGACGGCAGATGATATGAAGGGATCACGAACTGAGCTAATATAAACGCACCAGGTACGTTGCAGAATGCGAGGTCGCTGTACAATGATTATGTCACCTGGGTGTGGCTGCATATGTGGCTGTTGGCAACGTACGAGAGCAATCCGGTAGCGGTTCACAGATGGGCTGGAACGGGGCTGGAGGCAACGCAGGGCGCCGTTGGGGAAATCGAGAATCGCAGAGATGTGTGGACGGTTGGAGGCCGCTTGGGATAGAACATTGATCTGTGGCTAAAAGCTGAGCACAACCAATCCGGACCGTAACACCTCAGGTATCTTTGACCAGGGCTGTCCTCTATTCTACCTCTCCTGGTCGAGATCAAGCGAATCTTCGATATTGTTTCTCAAACGGTATTGCCCCCCGGCTTTGTGCCTTTATCCTTTTCCTCTTCATCAATGTGCATGCTCTCTGCAAACCCAACCCACTCACTCATCCCCCTAATGAATGCATCCCCACTTCCATCGACCTCACCTCCATGTCCCCATACAATGACTTGGTCAAACTCTCCTACTTGCTCCGCAATGTTGACTTCGACAGGTATGCTCTCTTCCGTCTCGGCGTCTTCATCGTCCTCGTCTGCAGACGGTTGGTGTGGCTGTGCTTGACTTTGAGGTAATTGTTGGTCGGTAACGCGTACAATGGCGCCGGTGTAGTTATTGGGAAGTGGAAGCGCAGTGCCATGGAGGTGTCGACCACGGAAATATGAATGTCGCTTTCCTGGGAATATGTCAGAACCAATGTCCATATTGTTGTATGACGATGATCAATGACCTTTGTCATCTGTCTCAGGCTTCCAGTATCGTTCTGAATCGTTTATAGGTCCGTTGTGGTTTATCCGCGCAGGGAGCAGGTTTGGTGTGCATCTTTGAGGGTTGGAGGGCCGAATTGACAGCATGTTTGTGAGATATCAAGATCGAAAGTAAGTGATGTATCGACTGAAACACAAATTACAAAAATGAACCTCGGGCTGATGCGTAGTTGAAAATGTTTGGGTTGATGTATAGGTACAAGCATATGAACGTGATTTACGGAATACGCGTCGACGCGCCGGAGCGTGTCTCCGCGGACGCACGGTCGTTTTCCTGATAGGGTGTTCACGAGCTCAAGATGACGACGAAAGTACGAGCAAGTACTTGGATCGGCTATAACCAACTCCATATCCGTCTCTGCTCCTTTTCTCATTTCCAGTCATTACCATAGTACACCTGTCGCAAAGTCCACGCATTCCATTCCGTTCTTTCTGGCACAGTCCGGAGGCCGCGGCCGCCGCTACAGCATCGCCGATGGGAGAGATGCTGCATGCCATGCTTACACCCGCAGTACCTCTTCATGCCACATGGAAAGCTCAAGGATATATACGAACTGCTGTCACCGACCTTCTGGACTCAATATAGACACGGGACTGCAAGGCTGAGACGCAGAGTGAGTTGTGCCCTTGCATAACTTGCCCCTCCCAAACATGCCGCCAAATGATTTTGTGGACCCTGGAATGCGGCTCATCGTCACTTACAAACTTCCTGTCCAAACGTCGCATGGGAACACACACTAGAAGCTACAGGAGGAGAAGAATACGCATATCCGAACTTCTTACATGCCTTTGCACGGCCTCAACCTCCGCCGACGTGTAAGATTTACACTGATCTTGCGACATTCGCGATGTTTAGGCGGATCGACGGCGTCATAGATCACTCGAATTGGCAAGGTTTCCTCGCCCGATACTGCACCTCAGACAGAATGCAACACGCATGGCTTTGAAACGGCGCAACCAGATGCACCGTGTCGGCTTTCGGCCGTTCCGGCGATAGGACGGCGAGCTACCTGGACTTCTGAAATAGACTCTGGTGCCATGTGTTAGCCGACTAGCTACCGTCGTTCGACTTCCTTCTCAGCTCTTCTTCCGACGCGTTCACGATACCATTGTCGCATTGCTTTTGGGCGATTGACGCGCTAATTCCCCTCCACGACCGCCCGCACACCGTACAGCCACCTATCTTACAAAGAAGCTCGGGCAGATCGAGACGTACTAGCAGATTTGTCTCGCTACTCGCACTGAAGCCGCGCGCCCTCTGCTTTGAAATTGGACAGCTTCGTAGCCTAAACGTCTTTCAATTGATCATCTGGGTTTGCGCCAGCCGGAAAACTTCGGTTTCAAAAGGCATACATCGGGATTATGGCGATTTATAGTTCTGTGACAGGAGCGGTGTCTTCATTGCTCAGTCCAGTTACATCACAAGCTTGGGGGCCACTGGTCACTCTATGCAAAAATGGCACACTTTCCCAATTCCAGAATCTAAAGCATGGCAAGCTGGTACTATTTGAAGGTGGTTCGAGCAAGGCGACCGCTGCGTTTGGTTCTGACAAAGAGGGCCTTCCAATTGCATTCCTAAACGTGCTCGACGAGAAGTTCTGGGTGCGATTGGCGCTTTTTGCAGACATGGTACGCTCCGGCATACTCGTGCGATCGGAAAGAACAAGAGCTGATTGATTTTAGGGCTTTGCAGAGAGTTACATGTTGGGAGAGTTCACAACACCGGACTTGACCAAGTTCTTCGAGGTGAGCTGCCACATTTGGTAACCGTTAAGATGCGCTTTTCAGCTTACATTCGCAGCTCTTCATCCTGAACCGCAACTATCTTTCCAATGGTTCAACTTTCACCTCTGCCATCTCTTCTGGTCTCGCTGGCCTGGTAAGAGGCAGCAACAATCTCAAGAACGCGCGCCTCAATATTTCCGCACATTACGACATCTCCAACGAAATGTTCGCTGCCTTCCTCTCCCAAGACATGACGTACTCGTGCCCGATATGGCTACCGAAATCGGACCCGAAATGTGCGAGCGAGAGCCTCTACGATGCGCAAATGCGAAAACTCGATCGCTTCATCGACAACACACACATCAAGGGCACAGATCACGTTCTGGAGATTGGTACTGGCTGGGGAAGCTTCGCCATGCGCGCCGTACAACGGACAGGTTGCAGAGTCACATCATTGACCCTCTCGATTGAGCAAAAAGAGCTGGCAGAAGAGCGAATACGAGAAGCGGGCATGTCAGACAAGATACAAGTCCTCCTATGCGATTACCGAAGTTTGGAAGTACCAGAGACAGGGCCTTTTGACAAGGCCGTCTCAATTGAGATGTTGGAGGCTGTGGGCGAAGAATATTTGGTGACATACTTCAAGTGTATCGACAAGCTGCTCAAGAAGGAGGGTGGCGTAGCATGCTTCCAATGCATAACCATGCCCGATGCTCGCTACGAAGCCTATGCCAAATCTGACGACTTTATCCGCCGATACATTTTCCCTGGAGGTCATCTTCCTGCCGTCTCCGAACTCGTTGCTAGCATACAAACCGCATCAGGTGGATCGCTTGTCGTCGACAGCATAGAGAACATCGGGCCCCACTACGCGAAAGCGCTGCGATTATGGCGTGAAGAGTTTTTGGATAACTGGGAAGGCAAGATCAAGCCACAACTTATTAAAGAGAAGAGCCAGGAGGGTATGGACGATGAGGGTGCGGAGGTTTTCAAGAGGAAGTGGGATTACTACTTCAGGTACTCAGAAGCAGGATTTTCGACAAAGACGCTGGGAGATGTTATCATCACGGTCGGAAGGGAAGGCGCCATGCAGATGATGGAGGATGTACCGCTGTAAATATTGTGCTTGTTAATCTTGCTGGATATGGTATATACCCCTCTCCATCCTTCGACTGAGCGTTACCGCTTTTCAGTATTGAATATTTGTCCTTACAACGTGCATGAGTAGCTCTTTACATGTACACGCGCACGAAGGAATTCCATGTTCATCTTCTTCCATAGCCCTCATCAAACTGTGGTAATGCTGCTTGATACTCCATCGCTAGTATGCTCGAATCCAGGCTCTGAATCACTTCTTGGACATGGTGCGAAGCTTGCCGGTTATGCGTAGCAAAATAGTGTCCCATACCATCGATATCTTTCACTTGCATGAAGCTTGTCGGCCGGATACGGTGTTCGGTGCCAGCGCTATCAGGTGGTGAAACTGGATATACCTGCCCTGACTTGGATATGGTCGTAGGCTGATACGCCTTGTATACTGACAATGGTGCGGGTGTAAGAGGTGGTGATGCAGGCAGACTGTTCGGCGCCTGTGCGAAGGAAGGAGGCGGGTATTGTCTTGAATATCTCGATGCGTTCGTTTGTGTCGTTGGATAGGTAGAAGGCGTGTTATGTGGTGGTGTAGATGGCAGTTGGGGAGACGCATTGCCAACCATCAAGCTTGCTGGAAGTGTGCTAAACGAAGCGGACTGTGTACGAGGAACGGGCGGCCTATACGAGTCGTGTGACTGTGGTAGCGCGGGTTGCGGAGACGTGCGAGGATGGTGGCTGACTTGCAGCGCAGCATCGATGTCTGCGGAGAGCTCTGCAAGGATATCATGTGGTGGTGGTGTCGCGTCGAGTTCGAAGATTGGAAAGGAGTTTTGGGATAATGTGGTAGCTTCACTGGCGGTTGGTGGTGGGCTTGGGTGATTCTGCGGTGCCTGGTAGACTCCTTGGGGTCCTACAACATGTAGGCTATACACCTCATCTTTTGCCTCTGCATCATACCGTGTGGGTGATATAGTTTCGCCAGCAGAGTTGACTACCTGAAGTCTGCTCAGTCGCTGCTCTGGTACAGATGTTCCAGAGCCCTCTGGAGAGCTTTTTCTAGGAATCCGATGTGTAGTCCTGTTATCAAGGAGCGGTGAATGAGCGCTGGACGTGTTCTTTGCTGGCAATTGCGCTGCACGTGGTCCTGGGACGCCAGGGTGGACGTTTGGTGTTGAATAAGAAGCCGCACGCTCGTGGAGGGAAAGTGACGGAGCTGGCTCGGATGAAGGTTTCAAGTTCGAGAACTGCATTTGTGGGTTGGATCCAGATTGAGGATCTGTGGGACTAGTACGTCTGCTGCTTGGGGCACTGGACATGCGGTATCTGGAACGTGAATCCCTTGTATAAGCCGCTGCATTTGGGGAAGGTCCTGTGTGTTGCATGAGCGTCGAGGTCGCATGTTCCGCACGCGGGTGAGATGTTTTGATCTTCTGAGACTCTGGTGGACATAAGAAATCTGGTAACGACGCGCGGGAAATTCCTTGAACTCTCGGTAGCTCAGATGCGGACCGCGACCGGATGTGATTTGCTTCCGCTGTCGGTGGGGCCAGCGTGGTGGCTGAAGGAGGTTCCCGACCTGTCAACGTACGATAGCATCTTCGCTGTTCTTCGAAAGGAAGCTGGCTGACGAAAGCCGTTCGTAAAAACTTCCGTTCTATCAAATCCAGGTTCAAAAGACTGCGAATCGATTGTAGTTGATCTCCGTAGTGCTGGCACAAGAAGTGAATATCCTTCCGTGGTTCCCAAGCTAAGCCGCGAATCTGGCAAAAGTGAAGTAGGGTCCTGACGAGGTATAGCATGTTCAATCCGTAGAATGTCCTTAACACCCCATCGGTCCTAAGGCTCAGCAAGACGACGTTTTTGGCAAGGGTTCCGTTCGATGGAGTCTCGTATGAGCCTATGCACCGTTAGCCGGAGGTCGAAACAGGTTTGTGTACAACTGACCAGAGGGCACTAGGGTTACTTCTATTGTCGCCGGACCTTTACATCCTGTATCTAAAAAGCTAGGCCCAGTTTGTACCACCATCTTGGAAGGGAACAAAGGGTTCATGCCCTCAGGCAGTCGTATCCTGACGCTGTTAGCCAGTCGCCATTTGGAGAAAGTAGGCTCCTCTGTTATACCGTCGGTCGGACTCAAGCTTCTTCTTGATCCGGTTGTAGTCTTTATCGTCGTACGCAATGAATACATCGCGCATCTCGCATCCATGTCCTAGACAAAGCATCGCAAGCTCGCCCATGATGGCATAAGTGAACTTCTTGTTCTCAAACACTCGACGGACATAGCTGGCTGCCGCTAGTACATTTGCTTGAGGCGGTATCTGGATCTCGTTCCCTTGCCTGGTTTGTTGTTTTCCATGCCCAGCGGCATCGTGGTGACCCATGTTGGTAATCGTGTTTTGCGATCCGATCCGATCAAAAGCGGCAACTGTCAGTACAGAACATAGGCAAGTTTCCAGATGAAGATGTGAAGGAATGAATAAAATCCGACGGGTGTATGCAGTCACACAAACAAGACTAAAGAATGATCGCGTAAGTTTCTAGCAAAGTGATGGGCCTAGGGCATCCTTTTGCAGCTCCGTCATCCTGGTGCACGAGTGGAGGATCGTACTATAAGTGATTATAGCATCGTAAGGCTGGACGGCTCTCCTGATCCCGTATTTGAGATAATCTATATTCATGCTGATGGACTGTGAGCTCATTGGCTAAGATCCTGGTGAGAGCTGACAAGGACGCCCGCAAAGGCTGAACCAAAAAGCTGAGAAGTGGACCCTCAACAAGGAAGTCGTAATCACTGAACAAAGTGGAGGTGAAATTCGTAATGGCGGGTCTTGGGTATTCCGAAGATTCGTATGGTTGTCATACTATTTTCATCTCTGTTGTCGCTTTTCGGGCATTCTTGATTGAGGCTGAGTGAGTTAAATTTAGCATCGGATGGGTCGGCCAATCGTAACTAACAACGGATGCGGGTCGCCCGAGTACGAGCGAGCTCGAAACAAATGCTCGGCGCATGCGAACTTGTTTCGGGGAGGTTCAGGCACATTCTTCGTATGAAATACTGTTGTTGGTATTGTTGCGCGCTGGATAAAAGTACATCGGGTACGGAGATCATCCTGCAGGTACCATGCGCTGCCAGCACTTCGAGGCCTTGGTATGCATCACTTGAGACAGGATACGCTGTGGATCTATTAATGCCCTCTTTTTGGCAGTAGCATACAAGTGTACGAACGAGTGTCGCTTCGGTGCGGATTGGGAACCACTGATGGTGTTTGGTGTGGTAAAGAAAGGCGCTAAGCTTGGAACGCTGCAAACATGATGAAGGCCATTGCATTGTGAAAGAAAAGGCAGCACACCGCTGGTCGTATGCTGGAGCTGCCACATGGCAGTCGACGCTAGATTTTCGACGTGCTCAGACACCGCCTCCTATATTCTGTAGTCAGCGCGATGTACGTGTCGCAACGGTAGATCCTTCTCAGGTGGAATGAGATCTCGTACCTGACCTATCGACTGTGACAGTATAGTCACCTGCAGCACGGTCTCTCTGCTTGTCGGCGAGCGCCTTTGACTTGAGGATGAAGTAGCCACTGCCGAGTGAAGCCAAAGAGACCAAAGTCATGTTGCGGGGACTGCAGGCGGTCAGCATCAGCTACATGTTCCAATGCTATGCATAAGCTCAAGCTAGACTTGTGCATCGCTCCCGACTTACGTGAGGAGTCTGGAGTAAGCCATGGTGTTTTGTCTGGGATGTGTTCAGTTGAGACGGGTATTGTGGAAGTAGGAAGCAGACTGGCAAGTTGACCAAGACGTGAGGAAGTTGTTGGGACAGCCGGAGCCCTTCCGGGACCGTCGTGTGATGTATTTCCCCTCTTGAGAGTGACGCAGCTAAAGCTTCCCCAGATCGGCTGTCGAATCCCTAGCCGTCGATTACCTCCGAGGCGGTATCCAATCAAACGTCGGCGCCGCCGATCTGCCACCGCCCCAGAAAAAGTTCAGCTTCCCGATCCAGCGCTGCGCGACAGCCCTCCGCCTCCACGGACAAGCAAACTTCACAATGCCTCTTCCGAAACGACAGACGATACCTGTAAAGGGCGCGAAAGCTAGCGCGCCTACCACAGGCGACTCGCGATTCGCAAACTTCGAAACCGACCCCAAGTTCAGACTCCCTTCAAAGAAGCACACCAAGACCAAGCTCGATCCCCGGTTCTCGCGACTACGGAGCGATCCAGACTTTTACAACAAGGCCACAGTCGACAAATATGGCAGAAAGGTATCCAAGGAAGCTGGCAAAAAGGCCATCGACAGGCTATATGACGCCGACAGCGATGACAAGGACGACGAAGATGAAGACGACGAAGACGATGGAGACGAGCTGGAGCTAGAGCGACCGGCTAACAAGAAACGGGACAAAGCGGTCAAGAAGGAAATGCAGAGGGTACAGCAAGAAGGCTTTGACCCCATCAGAGACGGTGGACTTGAGTCTTCATCGGACGAGAGCTCCAGCGAAGAAGAGGACGAGGTCGAACTGGAGGAGCAAACAGAGCTTGCCGGCGACGACAATGAAGTCCCGACAGGCGACATCTCTGCACGCTTGGCTGCTGTGAACATGGACTGGGACAACATACGGGCCACCGACATCATGGCTGTAGCAAACTCATTCGTTCCGGCTGATGGGCGAATCCTTAACGTTGTCATATACCCTAGCGAGTTTGGTATGGAGCGCCTGCAGCGTGAGGAGATTGAGGGACCGCCCCGCGAGATCTTCGCATCCACGTCCAATAGAGACAAGAACAACATCGGCGTGCTTGACGACGACTCGGACATCTCGGACGCAGACGATGAGGAACAAAACAGGGCAGACTTGCAAGGAGACGAAACAGGCGAAGAATTCGACTCCACCAAACTGCGAGCCTACCAACTTGACAGGTTGCGATACTACTACGCCGTCATCACATGTTCCTCTGCCAATGTCGCAAAGTCCATCTACGACAATCTCGATGGCCGAGAATACCTGACGAGCGCCAACTTCTTCGACCTACGATTCGTTCCCGACGGCACAACCTTCGACCAAGATCCCCACGACGAATGCGCGAAGCTGCCGGACGGCTATAAACCCAACGAGTTCTCAACGGATGCACTTACACACTCAAAGGTCAAGTTGACCTGGGACGCTGATGACGCGACACGGAAGGAAGTGCAAAAGCGAGCTTTCTCTCGTAAGGAGATTGATGAGAACGAGCTGCAAGCATACCTGGGCACAGACGAGTCATCTTCCGAAGACGAAGAAGCAGCAGCAAAGGCAGACAAGGCCGCAAGTCTCAGGGCTGCTTTGGGACTGGAGGCTCCTGGCAAGTCTTCAAAAACGAAGAAAAAGACGTCTGCAAAGCGCGATCGCGACTTTCCAAAGCCAGACAGCGAGATGCAGATTACCTTCACAGGAGGACTATCCAATGGCGCTAGCAACGGCGACGTATTCGAGAACGAAATCCCACTGCAAGAGACTACAATGGAGAAGTACATTCGCAAAGAGAAGGAAAGGAAGGCGAAGCGTAAGGAGAGGTGGGAAGCCAAGAAGGCCGGCCGGGACCCTGATGCCCCAGTTGAGCAGGAGGCGGATGCGCCAGCGGATGCGAACGAAGACGATCCATTCAACGACCCGTTCTTTGCCTCTGATCCCGAAGAAGCTGCAAAGGCCGCCAAGCCCAAATCGAAGAAGTCTGAGAAAGCAAAGAAGAAGGCAGAGCAAGAGCAGCAGGATCAGGCGGCCGCAGCTGAGCGCGCGAACCTGGAGCTGCTTATGGCAGACGAAGACGACTCCAAGCTGCGCCATTTCGACATGAATGAAATCGTCAAGTCGGAGAAGGCCAAGAAGAAGGGCAAGAAAGCCAAGAAGAACGCTCCCATCATAGAGGACAACTTCAAGATCGACACGACCGATCCTCGTTTTGCGAAGTTGTACGAAAGCCATGAGTTTGCTATCGATCCTACAAACCCTAGGTTCAAGGAGACGTCAGGTATGAAGGCGCTGCTAGAAGAGGGTCGCAAGAAGCGCAAACAAGGCAAGGACGGTGATGAGCCAGAACTTCAACGAGAGTCGAAGAAGTCCAAACAGGATGCTGCAGAGGGCGAGGATGATGTCAAAAAGCTGGCTGCTCGCGTCAAGGCGAAGAGTAAGCAGAAGTGAAGTAGGCTGTCTAAATAGTACTTGATACCCAGCGAACCAGCTTGCACTACACACAATGTATAAGATTCGTACACGAGACTTCGTGGTTTATTGTTCCAAAGTTTCCACATGAGTGGCTCGCGAGCTTCCATGGCAGCACTTTCCTCAATTACTCTTGCCACGTGTGATAACATGTATGAGGCTTGACAAAATCGTCACTCAAGGTCATTCCAAACACATCGACCGCCTTTCCCTTTTACTCTTCTTGTCTCCACACCTACGTCTCATCCTACTATTTACGTACACATAGTCCACCCAAACCTCCCTCGAAAGTATCTCACAATGCCCTGTTTGGGCAACTCAGACATCCTCATCCTATAGACTTAACGGTTTCAAAAGGTCCGATTCCACACGCAACCCAGCTTTCGATTCGTCGCTCATGCATGGCACCACCATGGGTCACATTTGACAGGATAGCCGCCTGGAATGGGGATTGCGCCAACGGAGCAGAGCCAGACATCGCTGGTGTAGGAGTTAGAATCCCGGGTTACTTCGTGTGGTATCAGTTTAACAATGTCGCAGGTCGTCCTGTCATTTGTCATCGCAAGCTTCATGACTACGTTTGCCTCTATCCTTGCTATGCTTCTCGACCAAGCATTCGATACGAAGGGCCACTTCACGCCTCGAGCGCCGCTCACATACATCCGAGAGCGCTTCTTGGAGAATGAGTGGAAGAAGCATTACGCGTGGCGTCCTTTCCTAGACCCACTCATAATTGGTTTCGGCGATCAGCAACTCATTACGGGCTACGCTGTACTTCTGAGTGGATGGATCAAAGTACGGTCGACGTCTCTTGATGTTATTACCTACTGACAGTATACCTTCAGGTGGCGCAACGCTCATTTCGTGTCCAAGGTGCTCACTTCGTCCTTATCCTCTATATATGCGCTCTATCATCGTCATCGCATCTCGCTGCTTTGATCACGCTCCGAAAGTACTTCCGTAAGTACAAGCTCATTGCAAAGATCCGCCTCGCACTTGTCGTATGCTTCGCTCTATTTCTGCTTACGTCCATGATCACCGCCATTGCGATGCCGCCCAGGCTTATCGAAGACGAAGATGGTACATCTATACTGCGCAGTCGTGTACAAAGACTGTCGTTCCTCGTACCACTATTTCTCATCCTAATCGGCTTCTCGACGGCTTTGGTTTGCATCCTATACGACCCGGAAGGCAGAGGTCTGGACACACCATTGTCTTGTTCAGAGTCTTCAATACAAGCCCTCGTACGCCGCTTGACCGACTCCACACAAAAGGAGAGAGGGTTTTCACCACGGTTCATATGTCCAGCGCGTCTTGGTCTGCGTCTCATATACTTTCTCTTCCTCAATCCAGCCATTGCATTCGTGGTGCAAATATTGCTCGCAATCTTGTCCGCTATCTTAGTCCTGACGCAGAAGTTCGCGGCACCTGAGGACCCAGCAAACTTCTGTGGTTTGCAGGATAACGAGGAGAACGTTTGGGGATTCGGACAGACGTTGAGTGTGGTCATGCTTCTGCTACCAGCTATCACAGCATTGCAAACATACCTTGAAGCGCGACAGGATATCAAACATGGATTCAGTAGAACGCACGACTGATAATCTGTATGTTACTGGCGAACAGGAGACTCCATAGACATCGGTACCAAAATCAAAGCATCATTTGCCGCCACAAATCTAGCTATACATGGCGCTCTACAAATTCGCCTTCTTCTCGTCCTTTTCCCTAAGATACCTCACCGCAAACTCGATAGCTGCCTCATATCCATATACTCCCAAACCACAAATTACCGCTTCGGCCTTATCACTCAGATAACTGTGATGTCTGAACGCCTCCCTCTTATGTATGTTACTGATGTGCACTTCAACAAAGGGTATTTCCACGCCGGCCAACGCGTCCCTCAATGCAACGCTAGTATGTGTGAGCGCGCCGGGGTTGATCACAACGAAGTCGACTTTGCCGCGTGCCTCGTGTATGCGATCAACGAGTACGCCTTCGTGGTTCGATTGAATGTGCGAAAAGTTCACGGATCGTTCGGTACATTGGGTATGCGCGGAGGTAATTACGTCTGAGAGAGATGTAGAGCCGTAGATTGTAGGTTCGCGCGTACCGAGGAGGTTCAGGTTTGGACCGTTTATTAGGAGAATGGATTTGGGCATGTTGGGCTGTAAGTATGGAAGAGACGTCCTGAAAAGGTAGCTTTTGATACGACCTGAGCCAATAAGCCAATATCGGTGCTGTTAAAACTGTGCTGATCTTGGGAGATATTGCGATAACACGACTGATCTGTCTTTCGTGTCGCGTATGGTCTCAGTGCACGCTCGTTCCGAGATTCCGGTGGCTTTCGGAAAGGGAAAAGTCCTTACCCCCACCCTTACGATCGGCCGTCTTGCTTCCAATCTCAAAGAATGACGTCCCACTTCCCTACATGTAGCTATCAAGACCCTTTCCGTTCCTAGCCGATACGGCTTTAGACGGATGATGTGCGACGCGATCGCTTCTGGCGCGTGTTGGTTCGCCATGGCGTTTCTGCCATGCCAATCTAGTATTCTTTGTATACACGACAACAAGCAATCAACATGACGGACATTTCAAGAGAAGAACTCGATGAGATCTACGCGTTTGCTGTCCAGTTGGGGCGGAAGGCGGGTAAGATGCTCATGGATGCCGCGCAATTGAGAATCGATGGTGGGAATGCGTCAGGCGAAGAGAAGGAACATGTTCAGAAAGAGAATGCTGTCGATTTGGTTACGGAGACGGACGAGGATGTTGAGGCATTTATCAAGAAGGCAATAGCTGAGAAGTACCCCAAGCACACGTATGTCTTCAATCTTCGATAACAGAAGTATATATTGATCGTCTACAGGTTTGTCGGCGAAGAATCGTATAGCAAAGGCTCCTCCCGCGACTACCTAATCGACGCCTCACCTACGTGGTGTGTCGACCCTCTCGACGGAACAGTAAACTATATCCATCTGTTCCCCATGTTCTGCGTGAGCATCGCCTTCATACACAAATCCAAACCGCTCATTGGCGTCATATACGCGCCCTTCACGAACCAATTCTTCTCGTCCTGCGCTGGTCGTGGCGCCTTCTACAACGAAACTCAACGTCTCCCGCTGGTGCGCAACCCCATACCACCCATGCCGGCAAAGGCGCCTAGTGGTTGTATCTTCTCATGTGAGTGGGGCAAGGATAGAAGAGATACGCCAGACGGCAATATGCATCGCAAGATTGAGAGTTTTGTCAATATGGCGGCTGAGATTGGAGGAAGACAGGGGAGAGGAGGCATGGTTCATGGAGTTAGAAGTCTGGGAAGTGCAACACTAGATTTGGCATATGTTGCTATGGGAGCGTTTGATATCTGGTGGGAAGGAGGGTGTTGGGAATGGGATGTTGCGGCTGGCATTGCTATCTTACACGAAGCTGGAGGACTGGTCACAACGGCGAACCCCCCGGAGGATGAGGCCAATGCGCCTATTGAAGAAGTGAAGCTAGGGAGTCGGTTGTATTTGGCCATCAGGCCCGCTGGACCATCGCCGACGGAAACAGGGCGACAGAGTCAAGAAAGGACAGTACGTGAGGTATGGCGGCGGGTCCGTAATCTCGACTATTCGCGACCTGGAGCGTAAATAGTTTTCGCATCACGCCTCGAGCTCATGGCCTGTGACAAGTATACGTAGATATGTTCAGTTCGATTAACGACTACAATCTTGCCTCGCTCAGCTTCCTGGCGATAGCTTCTTGCACCTTCTCAACTGGCAACTCAGCTACTGCCTTTCCGGTCCAATATCGATCTTGTTCCAGTCCCTGGTATATTAATGCCTCCGTTCCCAGCACAATCTGCCAGTCATTCTGCTTTCCTACTTCCGCGATCTCCGTCCAAGTGGTCGGATGGTAACACATCTCTAGTAGCGCTCCTTTGTGTGGTTTTGCCAAAAAGCATTCAAGAACTTGCCGCGCCTCAATCTCAGCTGGTGTGACGGGTGTGAAGTTTGGTACGCAGGCTACGATTGCACCAACACCCTCTATACTCTGTGCTTGTGCGACGGTGGAAACATGGACGAGAGAGTCGCCGTAGCCGCGGGATTTGCATTCGCTTATTACAGCTTCGACTTCTGATGGGTCCCGGTTGACCTGAGAGTTCACTATCAGCATCATCTTCAAACCTTAAATCCTTTGTAGTATAAAACTCACGAGATATATCGCGCTGGCCTTCATCCATTTTCTCAACGCGTAGACTGCGCTTCTTGCTGCACCGCCTCCGCCGATCACCAACGCTGGCCTGTTCTCAAACTTGGTTGGTTCTACGTTGTATGCGAACGCATCCCTTATGCCTATCACGTCGGTGTTGGTACCCATGTATAACCGATTTCCAGAAGCGTCTTCTTGGATGAAGAGGGTATTTACTGCGCCTACATCCTGTCCCTCTTCTGTAAGACCATCAAGGTGTTTGAGTATCGCGACTTTGTGAGGCATTGTCACCGAAGCTCCGTAGAAATGAGGATGTTTGATCAGTTGTAGGAACAAGCTCATGTCTCTAGACTCCAAAGGATATTGTGCCCAGTTTAACCCTAGGTTGTCGTATACAGTCTTGTGTAATAAAGGCGACATCGAGTGTGCGATTGGGTGGCCGAAGAGGTAGCCATGACGCTCGGTTTGCGATACCTCCGGTATGCTGGGTTCAGTGGACATGATGGTATGTAGGTGTCGTGTGTTGCGTGTCGGATATCCAGGGAATGGAATTGATGGTTGGTGAGGTTTGCCGAGTAATTGATAACTGATGCTGTTCCAGATGATGAGATATTGGAAGAATGGTGCTGGTGGTAAAGCTCAAGGAGTGTTCTATCATGCCGTCTAACGCATGCGCCAATACCCCAGATTCAACGCGTTGGGAACCGGAAAAAGTCATGTCGCACGTGGAGAAGACGCGAGTCAAGCGTGTTGACGTTGATGCTACTGACCGGTGTTCTTCTTACTGTTACGCGATTCATCCAATCAGCGAGAAAGCTCCGGCCACTAAACCTCGCGTGTAAATGCGCTTCCGGACCCTGCGACATCACCAACCCTCTGGGTAATTCCATCACTTCCCGATTAGGAATGACTGGCGTGAAAACTCAGGTTCCCAGGACCAGTCCGGGGTCGGCGAGAGCATGGCTTCTCCATGCGATCGCACAGTGTCCGATTCTTCCTGGGGTGCTTAGCGATTCTTCCGGGCCAAGGTCAGCATCAACCTCTCTACGAACCAGACGGCCAATGAGTGTGTGCGCGATTGTTTGACTCCTTCGTAGCTCATCTCCATGGGGTTTGTGGCGTTTTCTCCACATTCTCCGCAAAAACAGCACGTTATCGGACTCATCTCGGCTAGGATATATAGGTGCAGACTGATCTTCGTCTGTTGAATTGCTCTTTCATCTCGCCCAAGCCAAGCCTACTTGCCTGGCTGACGACCTCAATCTCTACTTCGGCACCAACAGAGACCAGCAACCTTGAAGTCTACAAGCACACCGATTCTTCGACTTCAACATGGGTCTCCTTACCCTCGTCGAGGACCGACCGACGCCCAAGGCTGTCTACAACTGGAGAGTCTACACAGCAGCATGTGTCGCATCATGGGCAGCGTGCATGATTGGTTACGACAGTGCCTTCATTGGCACGACACTGGCTCTACCATCTTTTGTTGAAGAATTTGGCTTCGCGGAGATGGATCCCGCAGACCTAAACCTCACCAAGGCCAACATCGTCTCGGTATACCAAGCTGGTGCTTTCTTCGGTGCTTTTGGAGCATATGTATCCAGTCACTACATCGGCAGGAAGAAGTCTCTTATTCTCTGGGTCCTCATAGTGAGTCACTCAATGCTTTCCTGATAGTAAGAGCGGTCACTGATACATTCAGTTCATCGTGGGCGCTGGTATGATGTTGGGTGCCAATGGCGACCGAGGTCTCGGTTTGATCATTGGTGGCCGTGTTCTAGCAGGCTTGGGGGTAGGTGGATGCAGTAACATGGTCCCAATCTATATCTCCGAACTGTCACCGCCAGCCGTTCGTGGACGACTTGTTGGTATCTACGAGCTCGGATGGCAGATGGGAGGTCTCGTTGGATTGTAAGTCAAGCACGATTATCATTCGCGAACAGCACATGCTAACTCGTAGATAGCTGGATCAACTATGGTCTCCAAGAGACCATGGCGCCTTCTCACAAGCAATGGATCATTCCTTTTGCCGTGCAACTCATTCCCGCTGGATGCTTGTTGCTCGGTGCTTTCTGGATGAGAGAATCACCCCGATGGTGTTTGAGCAAGGGGAAGCGCGAGCAAGCGCTGAAGGATCTCTGCTGGATCCGCAACCTCCCCGAAGACCACCCATACATCATGGAAGAGCTTGAGGCTATAGATGCTCAAGTCGAACACGACAGACTTACCGTTGGACCCGGTTTCTGGAAGCCATTCCTTGCGCTTAAGCATCGCAAGGTACAATACCGCCTCTTCCTCGGTGGCATGCTGTTCCTTTGGCAGAACGGATCTGGTAAGCAATTGTCTCTTTACAAACTGCATGTGAAACGTTTGCTGACTTTGTGTACCTTAATCAGGAATTAACGCAATCAACTACTACTCTCCAACCGTCTTCAAGAGTCTTGGCGTTACTGAAGGGTTCCTTACCACTGGTATCTTCGGTGTCGTCAAATGCGTTTTGACTTTTGTCTGGCTCATCTGGTTGATCGATCGTCTCGGTCGCACCAAGCTCCTTATGTACGGTGCTCTAGGTGGCTCTCTCTGCATGTGGTACATTGCTGCCTACATCAAGATCGCGGACCCCGCGAACAACCCTAACCCCTCAGGCAACCTCTCCTCCGGTGGTATCAGCGCAGTCTTCTTCTTCTACCTCTGGACCGCCTTTTACACCCCCTCATGGAACGGTACCCCATGGGTCATCAACTCCGAGATGTACAGCCAGCAGACCCGTTCTCTGGGTCAAGCTTTTGCTGCGGCTAACAACTGGTAAGTTTTCACTGTACGAAATGCCTGTAAGACATTTACTGATACCTTTGCAGGTTCTGGAACTTCATCATCTCAAGATTCACTCCTCAAATGTTTAGTGCCATGGGCTACGGAGTATACATGTTCTTCGCATGCCTTATGCTGCTCAGCATACCGTTCGTATTCTTCTTGATTCCTGAAACCAAGGGTATCCCACTCGAGCGCATGGACGAGCTCTTCACCATCAAACCTGCATTCAAAGCACACGGCGTCCTGGTTGACAGGATGAAGGAGAACGAGGAAGTGAACCTCGTAATCAGGGATGAAAAGGCAAGGGCGGATGAACACAAAGAGATGGCTTAAGCGCTCGATTGTCTTGCACACGTGCAATGTCGTACATAGCAATGGAACAATCAATTTCACCAAAGCCACTCTCTAACCAAACAAATCTGAGCCGCGAAGATCATTCGTCGTGATGTATCGCTTACGGATGTTTCAGCAGCCCAACAATAATGATAGAAAAAGCCTTCACAGTAGCTTGTGTACTGACGCTATGCTCAGAGACAGTCCATTCTACACGTTCGCGACAAAACCCCCCACCAAAATCATTGCCTAGGAAATCTCGGAGTATTTCGAGACGATAACTTGATCGCAACATACAAGTCGAATGAGTGACCACAGTGACATCATAGACCCTGCAGCATACAAAGTATTGTCACCTTTCACGAGATGACCCTTGACACCTTCAGGATCAACGGCTATGTCGGCTACGAACCGCTCATCGTTACCAGCAGGAATAACGCCTTCGTCGCCATCTCCACATTCCTTCTGTGCCGAGCTCGCAGTGGTACCGCGGAAACAACAATCGGTGACCGAAGTGGCGCCGTGCTCGGGGTGTAAGTTCTTTTCCCCTCGGCTAGCGCCAAACCTCCATCTGCACCGACACCAGGGCGTGCTTTCCCACTGCTTGCGCCGGAACAGCACGGTTGTGAAAGGCACCGTCTCACATTTTCCAGCATTATTCCGGGGTATTCAGCATCCAGTATTCGCCGAGCTTGTCCGAATTAGTAGTATTTACCGCGTATTTACACGGTAGGAAGCGGTGGTGGAGGGTGTGTAGATCAAGATCTCGGACGGTTGTGAACGGTCTTAGATATACGTCAGTCACCTCATAGACGTCTTATCAGTCGAGTCACTGCAATTGCTAGCTTTGCAATCCTCAACGCTATAGTTTCGTCCTCACAATATCATACTATACACTACACAAAATTCCGCATCCTTCTTCCATCAGCATCACATCATGGCGTGCCGTCCGGGTATCTCGTCTATGTCTCTAGGCCGGTGTTACGCTGGCCACAGCCTCGAATACAAGCTTTCTATGGCTGCAAAACATGGATTAGAGGGCATCGAACTCTTCTACGAAGACTTGGTTGATCACTCCGGGTCCGACTCTCCGTCCGATCTCCTGGCAGGCGCTGCCTCGGTCCGTGACCTATGCTCTTCATTGGATCTTGAGGTCATCTGTCTGCAGCCATTTATGCACTACGAGGGTCTCTTGGACAGGAAGCGACATGCTGAACGGATCGAAGAGATGAAGCTTTGGATGCAATTGGCACATGTCCTCCAGACCGATATCGTGCAAGTGCCCTCAACCTTCCTTTCCCAGGACGAGTGTTCTCCCGATATCAACCTCATCGTAGGCGACCTTCAAGAGATTGCAGATCTAGGGTTACAGCAGACACCAATTATCCGATTCGCATACGAAAGTCTAAGCTGGGGAACACACGTTGACAAATGGGAGATGTGTTGGGACATCGTACAAAGGGTTGACCGACCGAATTTTGGCATCTGCTTGGACAGCTTCAACATCTTGGGCAGGATATATGCAGACCCCACCTCGGAAACTGGAAAGGTCGCAGGTGCCGATCAAGAAGTTCGCGAGTCAATACAGCGGCTGGTCACGCAGATCAAGCCTCATAAAGAAAAGATCTTCTTCATCCAGATTGTCGATGCTGAGCGTCTCGAACAACCTCTGCGACCTGGTCACCCTTTCTATAATGCTGAACAACCGGCACGCATGTCTTGGAGCAGAAATTGCAGGCTGTTTTATGGCGAGAGTAGCCGTGGAGCGTACTTGCCTGTCAATGATGTCGCACATGCTATCATCAAGGACATCGGCTTTGACGGCTGGGTCAGCATGGAATTGTTCAATCGAGTCATGAATAGTGAGGATCATGGAGTTGTCGAGGAGCTCGCGGAGCGTGCTGCGAATGCGTGGTTATCCATGTGCTATGATTTGCAACTTGATCCAGGAGTGAGATGTGATGGGTCGAAATCAGTGGGTAAAACGCGTAATGAAGTCAATAGGACTGAACAAGCCGAGTATGCGCGGTTGTAAGGTCGGAGCTGATATTTTGTTTGATTTGACAACCTATATTGTTTTGGCGTTTTGGTGGTTCGAACGTAGAAGATACCCAACAATCAAGCATCGTCCTTAATCGTTTCGAGCATGATATGAAGCACGCACATCTCGGCTGTACGCTCGGATCAAATCTCATATAGGGGCTACTTTTGGTCTCATCCAGCATCATAAAATGTGTTCAACGGAAATTGGGGAGACTCCTCGCTGTTGTCTGCGCCCATGTTCGACGCGGTAGGCATGAACCGCCCAGGGTCCGCTGCTAGAAGGTCGGCCATGCTGACTTCTGACGAGAAACCTAGGTTCTCCATGAACTGTGGCTGGTTCTGCAGTTTTTTGGCACCGTGTTTCGAAGCGAAGTCATCGAGAAAGCTTCCCAGGTCACCAGACACCAAAGCATTATAGGGATCATGGGGATCGAAGATTGGTCCGGCCATCCCGAAGTCGAATAAGTTTGGTTCAAATGGCGGGACACTATGTCCTTGGTGATTGCTACCCATGTCTGGTAGTCTGCCATGAACCATATTAGAAGGGTCAGGTGGTTGCTGGTATCGTTCAACGAACGGGCCACGAAGTTGTGGTACAAGAGGTTGGGGAGAGGTCTGTAAAGTCCCAGGATTTTCTGAAGATGGATCTCTTCGGCTAATAGATACCGATCTTAAACCTGTTGATGCTCCTTCTGAAGGCTCATGGGATGATTGGCCGAGCGTGGCAAACAATTCTCGAATCCGGGCGTGAGTCGGTTGATCTAGGTTTAAACTAGCGATACTTCTCCTGATACTTTGTAATAGGCAAGCAATGATCGCTGGCATTCTCGTGGCTCCAAGTTGCCGTTGCAGTACGCTCAACATGTCTAAGATCTGCTGAAGCCATGCCTGTGAGGGGACAAGCGTGAACGCAGTAACAAGATATGTGAATCGCAAGAGTAACGCGGGCGGCGTTGCTGGAGTAAAGGCAGAGTCTTTCCGAATGTATTCAAGTCTCTGTGGAAGTGCCGATTTCCACATCTCAAGCCGACCGATCATCTCATGTAGGAAATTTGGTGCTGTCTGCTCCCTAGAGGTACACCCAAGAATATCAACCAACTCCAGGAGAGCGTTGAAGGTACTCAAGGCAAGTGTTGGAGAATTCGACCGACGCGTTGGATCAAGATTAAGATGCCCACTCCACGGCTGCCATTCTTCCATTCCATCCTCTTCTATCTTGCCCATCCACGACAGTTCACCCCTGTCGAGATAAGGACGTCGTTTCAAATGTAGAGAAAGGACACTGTCAAGTACGAAACAACCAGACATGACATGCTTTCGTCGAGACGCAGCTACATCCGATGTTTCAGCAAGCATGAGTGATATTCGCAAAGCAGCTCCAACTAGATGCCAAGAAGCATCAAAAAGTCTTCTGTTGATGTTGAATAAGGCCAGGTTAAGAAGAGCCTTCACGTGGTCCAACTCGAAGTTGCCTAACTCGTCAGGGATGAGCTGTCTAGCAATATTGTAAAGCTTGATTGGCGACCATGCACGGTAGCTTTCTCCAGTGACATTGTTGTCGTCCTGCGAGGAACCCACTGCGAACATGCTCCACATCTCGGCATGACTTCCCGAGCTCGACATATCGCAGGAAAGGGCCAGTCCTCGTTCCGGATAAGAATACGATAGTTTCAGGATCTCAAGCTTGTCTGCGATAGGAAGCCAGCATTGCGTATAAGTACAGTATATCTCGATCAGCCGCCAGCAGTCGCCAGGTAACGGTGTAAGAGACGAAGAGCCCGTAGACTGTTGCAGACTAGGGGAATGGAGATCCGGTATCGAAGGTGGACCCATCTCTTGGGACATGTAACTTGCACCGCTTTGCCACGAAGCCTGCTAATGTCAGCGTTTATCATTATTCCAATCTGGAACTAATACCGAATGCTGAGACTGAGGTTTGGGTGTCATCTGAAGAAGTGTTGCATCCTCGGTATCGACCTCACTGTCATCGTCGGAGCTTGGCAGTCTGTCTTCGCTTGCCCCTATCTGCTCTCCAGATAATGCTTTGGTGACGTCCCGACAAAATCTGCTCTTGGTCCAGCTCTTGTGTAAACGATTTGATTCTTTGGTACCCCTTGCTAGCAAGACTGTATTCCTTTGGGCTAACTGGTCGTGTACCAAAGACTCGATTTCAGGGTTTTTTTGGAAGATGAAGGCCAATGTCATTTCAAGGGTGCGTATGTACCCAGGTTGTAGTCCTCGTTTCTTTGGATTTGATGTATAGGTACAAATGCGCCTAGCCTCCAAACAGGGAGAGCAGTTGGGCTGATTTGCATCACACTTCTCGCGAGCGTTGCGGCATTGATCGCACGCTCTTGATACCCGAAATCGTTTTACCGGTACATCTTGTGTGGCCTGGCGGCGTTTTTCCTGGGGTTGCAAAGACATAGGTCGGACAGCTCTTCTTTCGCGTCGCAAAAAGAGCGAAGCAGCGCCTCATGGAGCCTTGCCAAAGGAATGGATTGGAGATTGTGCGGGCACTGGGTATCCAGACATCTTTCGTCCGAGTAGCTTACGAAAGAAGCCATCGAGCTTACCGAGTGAGGCAGTGGAGAAGCTGGGGAAGCGTCTGTGCAGGAGGATAAAGTTTTACCCCCGAGGAAAAGCGGGGCGGACCGACATCACGTGCTTCGCTAAGACACCTGTCGCTGCCAATTGCAACGCCATGCTGTGTTTCATGCTGTTGACACCTCGAGACAATTTCGGATCGCAAATTCTGTAAGCGATGGCTTCCGTGACGATTGGTACCAAGCGTTCATTTGCCGCAATGAACACTGAAACCGGAGCGAAGGATGGACGCTCTTCTCTGCCAACACCATCTCCGCCTGCCTCCAAACAGCGAAGTTTACCGAATTCAGCAAGGTCAACACCGGCACCCTCACAGTATGAATGTCGGAGGGTATTTGACTCCAGAGCGTCTATCGTGCTCATTGGGATGCATGGAACAGGCAAAGCAACGTTGGCTATGATGGCTTCGGTAGCCTGTCAGCGAAGGGTCATCGACATGGAGAGTGTCTTCCACTCTGCAACAGGCTTCTCGACCACTGCGTATCGCAAACAATTTGGATCTTCAAACCGTAGTCTCAGGCAAGAAGAGATCTTACGCGACACACTGAAAACTTATAGCAGAGGCGCCATCATCGTCTGCAACGGAGGTTTTCCGTTGGATAGCAGCAGCCAAGCTCTGCTGCACGAATTTTCGGCATCTCACCCAGTCATTCACATTACACGCGACGTGCGTAGTGTACGAGAGTATCTTGATACGGACGAATCGAAAGTTCGAGAGCTGCTTGCTCTTAGCACTCCGGTTTTCCGACGGTGCTCGAACTATGAGTTCTACAACATCTCCGAAACGAATGCAGCCCATCTCTCAGTTGCACCTGCACATCAGCCCTCTGTTCCTGCTTTCTTGACTCTGAAACGAGCCGAGAGAACGTTTTTCAAATTTCTGGCTTTGATACTATCTCCCCAAAACACACACCGGAAGATCAAAAGCGATGCGCCCACGCTGGACCCTGGCCACTTTCCACTGTCCTACGTCGATTTGGAGCTGAGAAATTATACTTGTGCTGTCCAAGTACAACTATCCGATCTTACGCCGGAGGAAGTCGATATTGAAGAGCTGGAGTTTGGCTGCGATGCATTTGAGATTGCCACCGAACCAACACAGCTTACGGCGGATCACGCTGAAAACATCAGCAAGAGCATATTTAGAGTCCGGAGGAGTACCGTGACTCCGATTATCTTCCACGTCATACCGCCTTCAACACGCGCCAGCCATTCCACATCTTCTTATTTGGCGAACTTATGGTATGGCCTACGGATGGCGCCTGAGTTCGCCACTGTTGATCTGACAATGGACGAGGAACTCATTCGAGCGATTGTTGCGTCGAGAGGATCAACAAAGATAATTGGCCATCTGCACGCAGCTATGGATTGGTACGATGTTTTCTGGCTCGAGAAGTACGACACTGCAATGCGCTTAGGTTGTAGCCTTGTACGCTTTACCAGGCCGGCAAATTTCATGGACGACAATGCCGCGATTCAATCATTCCGCAATACCATATACGCCAAGTCACAGAGGATACCCATGATATGCTACAACACCGGACGCGCAGGTCGTCGTTCCGCTTGCTTCAACCAGGTTCTTACTCCTGTAATACCAGAAAAGCTTCGAAAAAGTGCAAACTTTGAGACCAGAGCGCAAGAGAACCCAGAGACTTCGTGGCTTACTGTAACAGAGGCGACGCATATCCTCTACGCGTCTTTCACGTACGACCCTATGGAGTTTTACATCATCGGCGCGGCAGCAGGATATAGCTTGAGCCCAGCTATGCACAATGCGGCATACCGAGCCTGCGGCATGCCCCATCATTTCGATCGCCTTCAGACTGCGACACTGGATGAGAACATAAGGGAGTTGTTGCGGAAACCGAACTTTGGTGGTACTGCAGTCAGCCAGCCTTTCAAAGTGGATGCTATTGCGCTTACTCACTCCCTGAGTCGACATGCCCGAGCGATTGGAGCCATCAACACGCTCCTTCCAATCCGTCATCTTAACAGCGATGGAAGCATACCCGATGCGGATGGTGTTGAGCTCTACCAAGAACGAAACCAATCTGGGCCTGTCAAAGCACTGTTCGGCGATAATACTGACTGGATAGGCATAAGATCCTGTATACGAAGGGGGCTCTCTCCGGCTAACGCTGTTCGGCCCACTACCACCTCTAGCCTCGTTATTGGGTCAGGAGGAATGGCCAGGGCAGCGATCTATGCCATGCTACAGCTTGGAATCAAGAACATTGTCATTTTCAACCGAACAGTCCCGAATGCACGGAAACTAGTCAACTACTTCTCTCAGCTAGCTGCAAGTCCTTCGGCAGCCAAGCTCTTCCCATCATTTGTCCAAGGATCGCAACCCACATTCCGCATACTCGAATCTAGGACTGAAGCCTGGCCAAGCGATCTCCGCGCACCCACTGTCATTGTTTCTTGCATACCCACGCACGCCGTTGGCGAAGAGCCATCACCCGATTTCACGCTTCCCCTTCACTGGATGCAATCACCATCAGGTGGTGTAGTCATTGAGCTCGCTTATCGTACTCTCAATACGCCCTTGACGAAACAAGTTCGTGAAGAAGCATCGGCCTCTTGGATCTGTTTGGACGGCCTTGACCTATTACCTGAACAAGGATTCGCGCAATTCGAACTTTTCACGGGGAAGAGAGCTCCGCGCAGAATCATGCGGGAAGAGGTATTGAAGTGCTGGACCGACGAGCAAGGACGATCAAATCCTAATATGGTCCGAACACGACTCGAAGCCATGGCAGATGAACAAGAGCCATGAGAGAATTGCTTTGGATGTTTTTGAGGTCTTGAGCTTCATACGGACACGAAATATCATGGAGTTACACCTCAGCGTAGGCCAGCCTTTAGTAGTGCTGCACAAGCTGGCTTCATCTCAACGCAAGAACGATGAGCATATATTGAATATGGTTGCAAGAGCACAAGTCAGCGGAAACGATCTGCGGTCCCAATTGCACACTCTACTTCATTCTGTTCTCTTCCTCGGTTTATGTTGCTACTCCACGGAAGATGGCTGTCGATGCTCTTTTCCAAGAGTTTCCTAGCTCAGTCGTAGAATACCTTGATGGTGTTGAACGAGGAATATTCACCTAGTTTCCCCCGAACCGAAGATCAGCTTTTTTGCTGCCATTGCAGTTCCCAGATATATAGACGAAATCTATATTACAGAAAGTATAAGGAGTCAGCCTCCATCGTCTCCAACCCCTTCTTTTTGCACCAAGAGGACATCCGCATACCTGCTTCGGTACAGATCAGCCACAGAACAGATATCCATGGATGAGGAAAGCAGGATGCGGCAGTCGTCCTCGGGCTTCTTGTGTCTGTTGCCGTCATGGTTGGCTCAGCATTCGACGGTGATAGTGAATACTTTGAACACAACGGTGACTTTTTCAGTAGCCGAATCAGCAGTCACTGTGGCTGCTTCCGCCTCCAGACACTTCAATTGGTTATGGCGTTAGAAAAAGGTAGAAAAAATCAAAGTGAAGCACAGATCACCAAAGCTTTGCATTTATCATCGGAAAGTATAGAATAGAATTAAGAGCAGCATCATGCCGCCCTTTTGAACAGAAAGAAGAATAATAGTCTACACAAGAGAAGACAAAGAGGTGCCGAAAAAGGATGTCGGTCTATACACTCTAAACTTCGCTACAATAAGCCATGCATCGATTAGAAGTTCATCAAGTCTGTTTTGACGTTAGCTTAGTCACATTCCAAGAAAAGTGAGCAACGGAATAACATACCTCGTCCAAAAAGTGCTCTCTTAGTCCAGTCCATAGCAAGCAAACACCTCGTCCTGAAGCTCACACTCTGTGCGAAGTACACGCCTCTCCACAGGTAGACGGCCAACAGACCACCGCTCAGGCCATAGCCGTTGTAGTCAAAGATGGCTGCATTGCCAATGTAGGCCAAGCTACCAAGATGCTTGTACTCGAACGCTTTGTATACTGCATCGTCTAGGTCGCCGTAATCAACGTTGTTGAGTGCCATGCCAGGAGCTGCCTGAGCGATCTTGTTGAACTTGCGGCCGAGGTATTCACCCTGCTGGTTGGCACGTTGAGCGGTGGCGGGTAGGGATGTGAGCTTCGAGTCAATCTGGAAGAGAAGCTCTCTAAGCTCGCCAAAGTCTAGAGTACCAGAATTATCCTTGTCATACTGTTCGAATAGCTTGTCTAGGCGGCGAAGGTGATTTGCTGCCTGTGGGAAGCGCTGCTTGACGCGCTTGGCAATGCCGCGCCAGTCTGAGTACGAAATCTGCAGCTTCTCGGGGTCCTTACCCTTCTCCCAGGCGGTGGTGCGGAGGAAGTTTACGATGTGGTCAGAGACGTTGTTTTGGACAGTCGCGCAGTCACCAATAGCGTATACATCGCCGAGGGGTGAACCGTTTAGACGAAGGTGTGTATCGGTTTCGAGGGCATGCTTGTTGTTCTGGCCGTCAAGTTTAGCAGCGAGACGCTTGCAAAGGTCTGTCTGTGCAACACCGGTTGACCAAAGACAGAAGCCCATTGGAATCTCCTTAACTACCACCTTGCCATTTTCATCCTTTTGTGAGAAGAGGATCTTGTCTGACTGGACCTCCTTCACGCGCGAATTTGTGAGAATATCAACAGAGTCGTGTGCGAATCGTTGCTCAGCGTACTGGGACAGCGCCTCTTCGTAGGTGTTCAGGATATGACTGCGGGATTGGATGACGTGGACGGAGATTTCGTTGCGAAGAAGTCTTGGGTAGAGCTTGCAGAGGTCCTCGTTGAGCATGTCGAAGAGCTCAGCTGCGAATTCTACTCCAGTGGGTCCACCACCACAAACCACAAACGACAGGAGCCTTCGCCTCTCCTCGTCAGATGTTGTAGGTAAGCATGCTTGTTCAAGATTCTTTACGACCTGGTTGCGAATGAGTCTAGCATCGCTGATATCCTTGAGGAAGTGGCAGTGCTCAAGACCCTTTACGCCGTGGGAGTTTGAGACAGATCCGACGCCAACAACCAGCTTATCGTAAGGGACGTAGAATCTTTGCTCCTGACCATGGGCATCGACAGCTGAGCATTCGATGAGCTTCTCGGAGAACTCGACGTCTTCGGCCTTGGCCTTGAGGAAATGTCCGCGCACCCTTCGCACAATTTTTCGGACTGGTTCGACAAGGGATCGCAGCTCCAGTGTTCCTACGGTGGCAGACGGCAGCATAGGTGTGAAGAGGAAGGTGTTGGACGGTGATATAACAACAACGTGGTAGTCATCCTGGTTCAATTGCTTCAGGAGGGCCACGCTGCCCCAGCCCGTACCCAATATGACCAACTTTGGCTTGTGCTTGAGCTTCTTATTCTCAGGACATTCATCATCGTCTACGAAGTGGTCGGCGATTGGCAGGTTCTTTGGTCCTCCTCTCCTCGGGCTGAGTGCGAGTTCTGAGACGGGAATGTCGGTCGCGATGGGGTCTTCGTTGTATGTGTAGGCGTCGTAGACGAAGAAGGCGATGACCAGAACACCGCTAACGGCGACGAAAGAGCCAAGCATTGCTGCTGTTCTGTAGGCATAGCGAGCAAAACGCGATCGCGGAACATCTAGAGGTTTTGTGGAGGCAGTTCTTATCGCCGTGGTGGTGGGGGTTTGCTTGCTCAATTGTGAGGTTTGTAGGGCAGCGCGTCTCGAAGCAGAGGCTGGACTGCCATTGCTAAAGGAAGCGCGGAATTGTGCGGGCGTCGCTCGGGGCAATCTTCTGCAGAGAAGTGAGGCTCTAGAAGATGCATTGTATCCGCGTGATAGCGACGCGGCTTGTCGTGGTAGCATTGCGGGAACTCGGAGCTCTCGCGGAGCAGCTGGAAGCGGGAGAGGAAGCTGGGGCGGACAGGAATGGCGGGCAGGATGCGCCTGCGTGAGGTATGCGAGCAATTGACTCAACAATCGCAAAATTAGAGTTGAAATATCATAGGTAGATAGGACAAGCGAATGTACTATACAAGTGTGACAGGTGCATTGGAACAGGGTAGGCGTCTAGGGAAGCGCGGAAATGTTAGTCGGCATGCTCAGCGTTACGTCACCATGGCAGATCGGAGCGTCGCGGGCCATCCCTGCATCGTACAACCAAGCTTCCATCGGCCCCAGTAAACGCGTGCTTGTAACGTGCCGCGTCAGAACTGTATTATTTTGTTGCCTTCACGACGCTAGTATAGGTTGAAAGGTTGACTGTAATCAAACAACATGTATCCCGCAAACTGCGATCTGAACCGTGTCAATCATAAACACCCATCTCCTCCTCCACTAAGCATGCATCCCACCCGGGCAGATTTCATATCTCGTTGAGCTTAGTACGCGAATTGTGGATAAAGTCTGCTACATCAAGACATTGGCTTGAGCGGCCCACATGCGTCACGACTGGCGCATGGTAAAAAACATGTCGGCCATTGTGGTATCGGCAGATTGGTCCAATAGTCATGTTCCAATAAGCATTCTGCAATAGTACAACACTGCCATTTCCATGACTGGCATGTATGCGCACCAGTCATGTTCTTATATACAATTCTCTCCGCTCAGTAGCTCTACTAGCACGACCACACACCAACTGTACCATCTCTGCGTCCTTCAACGAGATAGCCATCCTTTATCCTAACATGCTCAATGGTGGGATACTTGGTCTCGTCGCTTTCATCAGCGCCGGGTCCACAACTCCAGTGTCTTCCATCCGTCTTATCGTAAACCTTGACTACGTCCTCACCCGCTGCAGACACAATGCGGCGTGAGTCGAACATCATGCTGGTGATAGGGTGGTCGTAAGCATATGCATCGGCAATGGCGCCGGTTCGGAGATCCCAGATCTGTTCATATCAGTAAACAAGCCTAGATGAAGACGGAAACGATGAACTTACGCGTATACTCCTGTCGGCACTACCGGTTACGAGGTGGACATCGTCGAATTGCAGAGCTGTGACAGGACCTGTGTGGCCGACGAGACTTCGGTGTACTTGTCCGCTACGCAGATCCCATAAGCGTACCATACCATCTGCGGTACCACACGCCAGTGCGGCATCGAAGACTTGAATAGCGCCTACGAAGTCGGCAGAGGAATCGGCGGAGCGTCCAGTCTGTCGCCATGTGCTCTGAGAGGTGTTTGTAGCGGTTGCTTGAGCAGCGGCCCAAAGGACATCAAGCGTCTGAACGCATCGTCCCTTGACCAGATCCCACTGTCGTAGTGTCTTATCAGCTGAGCCAGAAACCAGAGTGTCGCCGCGGAAATGGAGTGCAGTGACTTCATCGACGTGCGATTCAAGGGAGAACAGGGGGCAATCCTGCATGCTGGTCGATGGCGGTGCAGGAGGTGCATCTTCCGAGTTCTCAAAGGCCAGACCATCATCGCTTTCTTCATCGTGCTTGTTTATCCGGTTGTCCATGGGCGCATATTCAGCCTTGCTCAAGTCCCAAAGCTTGATAGAAGCGTCCATTGAGCCAGTTGCAACGATGTTTTCTTCGACCTGGAGGCAGCGCACGGAAGACAAATGACCCTCAAGCATTCCGATGCACCGGCCGGCGCTCAGATCCCATACTCGTACGGTGTCATCCAGAGATGCCGTGACCATCATACCCCATGGCGCGTCAAAGTCCATGGCGGTGATGGAGTCCATGTGCGCGGGCAGTTCCTTGATCTTGGATCCTGATTGCAGATGTTCGTGTAGTACGGGCATGGACATTCTCTTGGAAAGCCTCTTCGCCTTGTTCTTCGTCTTTGGTGATTGTGGTATCTTCTGGTATATTGACTCGGACATGAATTCGCCCTTGCCTTCTGACTGTTCTTCGCTTGTTTGCGACTCTGCCGTCTTGGGCGCCAATGCGGCTTCGTCGTCCAGCTCTTCTTGGAGGTCCTCGATGCGGTTGTCCACGGTGAGGAGATCCTGCTCAAGCTCGCCCTCTTCGAGCTCAAGGCCGGCCAGGCGGTCGAGCACCATCTTGCGCATTGTGTTGAGGTTCGCGATCTTGTTGTCGATTTCGTGTATTTCGGCGACACACATGTGTTTCCGCACGCCCATCATCTCTAACCGGTGGCCCATGGCGTTTCTCTGCTTCCTCAGCTTCTGCATGGACGGCGGGACGTTGGGGTCGTCTTCGTCCTGGCCGCCGCCAATGAGCCTCTGGCCGCGCGCGTTGTGGCGGCCATGTTTGTTCGCATGGCTGTCGGGCTTGTCGGGCAGCGAGGCTTCGAAGCCCTGGAAGAGAGAGAACTCGCTGTTGTCCTCGGGGATGTTGGACAGCAGGTCGTTGGGGATGTAGGCCAGTGCTCGCTGCTGGATCTCGGGGACGGAGATTCGCGAGCGCACGATCTCGCGGGGGGTGGTCTGGGCGAAGGAAAAGACGGATCGCTGCATCAGAGGGCGCTTCAGCTCGCGGTGGAGCTCCCCAATCGCGTTCTGGTAGTGCTGGGTGACTCCTTCGGCGCCTATCAAGCTGCCAGCGGTGGCAGTCACTTTTTTGCCAAAAGCTTGCAGATGGCGGGTCTAGCGAGCATTAGCATCACCGTCTGCGAGTTGGAAATTGCGGTGGGGCTACATCTGGGAGGGCGTCTAGATAGCTGCCCTCGTCATTGCTGTCGTCGAAGGCCTGCGAGTACCGGGGCGAGCGCGGGCTGGTGGACCTCCCGCGACCTGGTGATCCATTGCGGGCGGTTGACGAGGCCATGCGAGCAGGCGTGGCGGGTGGGACTCAACGGGCGGCGCAGTGCAAGAAACCGTCTTTATGTCATCATTTGTCTTCGCATTCCAGTCTCAGTGCTGCTCGCGTGCTCAATGGGAGAGGCCAGGAGGCGGTGAGGCGCGTGGTGGTGCTGAGAGAGGGATAGATATGTACAGAACGCTCTGGTGGTGGTGGGCGGTCTTGTTCTCGCTGCATGTGGGTGGAGCTCAGCCGTCGGCAATGCGCCTGCGTCATGGGCCGAAGAGCAGCGCCGATGGTCGGGTACATGCTCGTTGTACCACCAGCGCCGACTATCATGGCTGCCAACACCATTCACGCACACGCACACGCTCCCTCTTTCTGCATCTTGTCGACGAGGAATCATGGACGCGGCCATTGACCTCTCGGATGCCTCCAAGGCCCTGGACCTGGCCAACATCCGCTTCCAGCTCATGTGCGCGCCCTCCCCACTATGCGCCCGTCTGAGTCAAACTGACAGCCAACAACAGTCGTCTCGAGGACACAATCACCTTCCACCTGATTGAGCGCGTCCAGTTCCCGCTGAACAAGACCATCTACCTGCCCGGCGGCGTCGACATTGGTGAGCCCGACACCAGCCTGTTCGACTGGATGCTGCGCGAGCAGGAGCGTCTCCAGTCCCTCGTCCGCCGCTACCAGTCGCCCGACGAGTACCCCTTCTTCCCCGAAGTCCTCCAGGAGCCCATCCTCAAGCCCCTCAACTACCCCCAGATCCTCCACCCCAACAATGTCAACGTCAACGCCCAATTGAAAGACTGCTACATCAAGCACATCCTGCCCGCAGCATGCGCCCCGACCGACCGCGAGGACAGGGGAGAGTCGCAAGAAAACTACGGATCCTCGGCCACGTGCGATGTCATGACCATCCAGTCCTTGTCGCGGAGGATACACTTTGGCAAGTTTGTTGCAGAGGCCAAGTTCCAGCAGGAGACTGAGCGCTTCGTCAAGTTGATCAAGGACGAAGACAGAAAGGGCATCGACGAGGCCATCACAAATGCCGCCGTGGAGAAGAAGGTCCTGGAGAGGTTGAGACTAAAGGCGAAGACATACGGCACAGACCCAGACCTGGGCGCTAATGGTTCGTCTAAGGTAAACGCAGACGCAGTGGTCGGAATGTACAAGGTAAGTTACTCTACTGCATTTTCACCAGGGCATTCTAACAACCTCGCAGGATTGGGTCATTCCTCTGACCAAGGAAGTTGAAGTCGAATATCTCATGCAACGACTAAAGGGCACGCAATGGGAGTAAACCTCTGATACAATGAAAACAACATATCCACTGCGCCATATCTTGAAACCCCATCTCCAGCAGTTGCAACCGATTCGTGATTGAAATCTGGAGTGCTATATTATCACTTTTCAACGCGCTGACGCTGTATTCTAGCTGATTTCTTGTTACATCAACACAATCGATGTCGGCTCGTTCAAGTCAGGCGGTGAAACTCGACAGCATGTGTTTCGTTCGCCGTCTGGCGCGCCTCTTCTTTCCAATCTAACAGCCTCCTTTCGAGCCGAGTCTCCAGCGTGCTAAAGTATGTTCGCCAGATCCAGTGACCAATAGCACCGCACGCCAACGCCACGCTCGTCGTAGCTACAAATGTATGCACCGATACAGGGGAGCCTGGTACTGTGAACGGAATAGAGGGACTGAGCAAAAGACCTGCCGCAAGTCCAACGATCAAGCACAGCTGCTGATAGTAGTCCTCTCGATTGACCTGGTATTGCACAATGGTGGCAAAACTGTATAGAAGTGTGACTATCATGAAAACACCGTCCGACGGGTCATGAAGTACATTAGGACCCAGCATCGAGTCTGAGCGACACGGAGTGGTCGAGTTGCGGCAAGCGTAGTAGTCCTGCAAAACCATAAAGCAGCTCCACTGTCCCCACATGGGTATACATAGGCCGATCAAACTGGGACGGTATGGCTGCAGCTCGATGACACCGTAGGTACGCCAGAAAACCGCTGTCTTTCCTTTAGGGCTCTTGCGTACTGGGAAACCATGCTCATGCAGCGACTTGTAAACAGCTCGGGCATCGGGTGCCTGAGCAACCCAAACAAGCGGTCTTGTTGCTGATTCATCATGTTCGTCTTCTACTGCCCTATCAAACCAAACATCTGAGGCATCTATTGTAGGGTCGTAGCACTCCGACTCCATAATCCACCGCAACAAATCGGTAGTGCTGCAGTAGTAGAACTTGGTGTTTGCCTGGAACTTGTCGCTCCACACTTTCGGTGGAGTCTTAAAATTATTTGATTCGCCATGCACGAATACTACATCGAGATCTGTATCGTTCGTGGTTTCGATTGTGGAAGCTTCGACATGGCTAAAGACACTGCGGGGAAGATGTTTTGAGCCACCTAACGTATCTGACATGTCGCAGAGGGAGGGGCAGGTCAGGATCGCTTGACCGACAAAACCTCGTCGTAGCTGTGCTCTGGAGGAACGGACACTGTCCTTCGGCTACTTTATGAGATGGTTATACAGTTGATTCGGATGAGGTTGTGTATGGCGGTCAGTCCATCGTTTTGTTTAGCCTTTGGAACAACCTTGGAAAGGTCGCTGACCAAATCGTCATAGCTGTCATATAACACCTTCTGTATGGTCGCCCCCCAAGTTACAGCCACGCTTGGGAATGGCCTACTATCGCCTAACCATTGTATGTTCTTCTCGCACACGGACGCTCGTTCATCGCCACCAACCTGCTTCTTTGCAGTTGTTCTGAAAGTAATATGGAAGTTTCAAAGATTACATGCGCAAAATGCCCAATCATCTCTTCCATACAACACAGATGACGATCTTGTGAATAGCGCTAGTCGACAGCCAATCGAATACTCAAGTAGACCTCAGTCTCCCACGTTCCCGAGCTTGTTCCACATTTCCATATCGGTTCCTGCATCGACCCCATCATCCTCCACTGCTCCATCGATACCGTTCCATATGCTTACTACATTGGCTTCTTTGTCAGCATCACAAGATAAACTCGAAAAGCTCTCGCTAGCCACGTTTCACAAAAGTCGCTTTCCGTATCATTGACTGAAGCATAGTCAAGATCCTTATCACTGCTCTCGCTATCCTTATCGGAGTATTGGTCCTTGTCACTGTATTCATCCCTGTTGGTTGTAGAATTATCTTCGGAATCATCCTCGGCATCGCCCTACTGAAGGTCAACTTCACTACTATAGGGGGACTGCCGTCGTCTCATCAACACTTCCGTATACGTCTAGCACCTTCGCACTCCCAGCCGTCCTGAGGTAGTTCAAGCTAGGCAAAGCCGAGATGTCCTACGATGAATCCCCACATCTTGTCACCCCATACTTCCGGCTGTTCCTGAAGATTCGAAGACCAATCCGCAGTGTCGAAGCCGAGACCCCCACCGCTGATAGGTCATGGACGACCATTCCGATGGCTCCACTCAAATGTTGCCAGCGTCGACAATACGATGTCACGTCCAATGTCATTGCTAACTAGGTACCAGTGCAGAGACATCGATCCGTCAGGCTCCGATTAGATTAGCAAACCATTCAGTCAGGTTCCGAGGAGATGGCGGGTGTCGTCATTTCGCAAATATAATAACGAGATCTTCGTGAATGACCGAAAGTGACCGTGCAATGTTGGTGCTCGGCCTCAGATCATCACTGCGTGTACCTGGAACTTCTTCGTGCACAGTAGGCACAACCATTGAGCGTCTGTTGCCACTCATGTGTTTCCCCAGGCTAGATGGGCCTCTTCGTAGCGTAGGACGCATGGTATTCGTTCTCGTTCTGGGCTGAGCCCTCGATCGCGGGTCCAGAAATAGCAAAAATAGCGTACCGCCGGAACAACTCCGATCGGGCATTAGTGGTGATGGTGTCGATGGCAGTCTCCGCTCTCTGAGCGTGGACCCTTGAACACGAGCCTTCAGGTGATCGGCAGCCACACCCGTCACAACCGTCTATGATGCAATGCACTCACGGCTCAAAGTTCCATCATCTCGGTTCATTTCCAAGCGACATCGTATTTTGATCCTTCGTCCAAGAAAGATCTTCATGCTAGTTATTCAGGCTCCATGGAAAGAACCAGATTACTGATCGCACTCGGGCCACCCAGACGGCGGGCGATGAGGCCGCTCGCAGTTCATGGACGGACCGACAGGAACTCTAGGAAATTGAAGTCATGATTGACATTGCCATATTTCCTAGAATCCACAGCACTCAGACTCTACATCTCAGCACGAATAACCTCTTTGCCGCGTTCCGAGTGTGCTGATAAGCTACAGTTGTTCTTATCCCAGCATCGGAGTCTGTACCGCAACAATACGAATCTAAAAGATGCAGTCGCCTCTCACCATCGTATCCATCGTAACAGCAACTAGAATACCTGTAGCCCAGGACGTCACATTGCTAGCGTCCTGAAGCGAGTTCTTGTGCGGCCGATCGGCCAGCGCACGATGCTACTGCGCAGACCCTATTCATCCTACTAAACGTCACATCTCGTATATTTGGCACGGTTCTAGCGCCGTTAGGTTTACCAGCTGTCTGGATAGGACGTATTGTCGCCTCATCCGGTCACCCCGGATGCCGCTAATGGCTCATGACACTATTAACGAGGGTTCTGAGGCTCCAAAAATGGGGCAGTAGTGTCTTTCCGGCGCTGTCGGCATGGGCCGATGCTCGTGTTTCCAGAAAGGTTTTCATGGTACCCCTCTGGCGTGTTCTTGTGGGCATGGCCAAGGGGGACGCTTGATGTCAATCGCCTCGTATTGAACCTTGGAAGAGGACGGGCATGATGATCGTGGTAGCAGTAGCATACCCCAGATACGAGATGCGATGATATATAATGCCAGGCAAGTGTCCTGTCTTAAACTCATCATCCAACAACAGCCTTCATATCCAACAACAACTACTCAACTACAAAAACTCTATTCTTCAACCTCAAACCTCAAATCAACTTCATGAAAATGCAGTTCACCACCATCGCCTCTCTCTTCGCCGCCGCTGGCCTTGCCGCTGCTGCTCCTCTCGAGTCTCGCCAGGACACCGCATCCTGCCCTGTCACCACTGAGGGTGACTACGTCTGGAAGATTTCCGAATTCTACGGACGCAAGCCGGAAGGAACCTACTACAACAGCCTCGGCTTCAACATCAAGGCCACCAACGGAGGAACCCTCGACTTCACCTGCTCTGCTCAGGCCGATAAGCTTGAGGACCACAAGTGGTACTCCTGTGGCGAGAACAGCTTCATGGACTTCTCTTTCGACAGCGACCGCAGCGGTCTGCTCCTGAAGCAGAAGGTTAGCGACGAGTAAGTTATCCTTGTACCTTCGATTACTTCGCAGATTCAGATATACTAACATATCCCCAGCATCACCTATGTCGCTACCGCCACTCTTCCCAACTACTGCCGCGCTGGCGGTAACGGCCCCAAGGACTTTGTCTGCCAGGGTGTTGCCGACGCCTACATCACCCTCGTCACTCTCCCCAAGAGCTCTTAAGCGATAGTTGGTCGAGCATATAAGAAGCATCAAATTCTCTTACTGTAAATTTTCTATTAGCGCATTCAAGATAGACATTCCTTATTCTAGACTTAATTTAACCATTTATCTGGTCACTCAAAGTGTTCGGTCAGTGTCGAAGGTACTAAAGCGGTGATGTGCGGCTTATCGACCACGGGTAGAATGAATGAACCACACACAACAATCACATCATTACATGCTAAAGTAAGCAAACAGATTTTGAGTTGGACTGTAAGCATAAGGATTTCTCCGTTCTTGTTGCGATGATCTTTTTGACAGCCAAAATCTCGCGCTTACCCTTATAAGTATAAAACAGATGCATGCGCATCGCCGTCTGACCCCAAAATAACACATCCACCTCACATCAAACCACTATTTACATACGCCTCGCACGAGGAAATCGATGCCTGAAACACACGTCGCGCGAAACCATCATCCTTGAAACTTCAAACCTCCTTCCCACGTGACACGCGACGCGAACTATAACACCATCGTCAACCCGCGAACTTGCCATCCTCAAAACCGCGTACAACAACAGCCCGCCATGTCACTACTCGCCCGCGCGAAAGACCTGGCCTACAATCCCGATCACACAAGATGGATGACACCTCTCTTGCTCATTGCAGACGCGGCGCTTTCAGGCGTGATAATCGAGAAGATACCATGTTCGTGCTCTCCTGTCTTACTTACAAACCACCACGTGTCCTAACGAGGATATTTTCCCAGATACAGAGATAGACTGGACGACGTATATGCAGCAGATATCTATCTATTTGAAAGGCGAGCGCGATTACAAGAACATTTCGGGCTCAACAGGTCCGCTTGTGTACCCTGGTGCGCACGTATGGATCTACAAGCATCTGTACAAGTGGACAGATGAAGGGCGAGATATAGGTCTTGCGCAATACATTTTCGCAGGAGTGTATCTGCTTACGCTTGGTGTGGTTTTCCAATGTTACAGGAAGGCTAGGGTGAGTACTTTTCTCTTCTGACTATTGTTTGTCGAGGCTGGTGGACCTGCAGGTGTTGTGGTTGATGCTAATGTCTTGATAGGTCCCACCTTACGTCTTCCCGCTGCTGATTCTATCAAAGCGTATGCATAGCATTTTCATGCTGCGATGCTTCAACGATTGTTTCGCTGTACTATTCTTTTGGTTGGCTATCTACTGCTACCAACGCAACCAATGGCATCTGGGAAGCGCGCTGTATAGCACAGGCCTGAATGTCAAGATGAGCTTGTTGTTGCCATTGCCAGCGATGGGCATCTTGATGGTGATGAAGTTGGGCGGAAGAGAAGCATTAACGCAGGCTATGATCATTGGGCAGATTTCGGTACGTATATCTTCACATTTCCATACCTATCACTTCTCAATTGATATTGATCAAATTGTAGGTCCTATTTGGGTATCCCTTCAGAAAGCGCGCACCCAGTTACTTTGCTCGCGCTTTCGAACTCAGCCGTGCCTTCCTCTACAAGTGGACCGTGAACTGGCGCTTCGTCCCAGAATCAACATTCCTCTCCCGGCCTTTCGCCATCGGCCTACTCGCTCTCCATGTTGGCCTCCTTGTCTGGTATGCACGAACCCGCTGGATCAAGCCTTCGAAGCGCAATGTTCGCGAGTTCCTCAAACTTTGTATTCCAGCCATTGAGCCACGCGACCAAGATACCATGTCTAGCAAGATTACGCCCGACTTCATCATGACGACAATGCTGACCGCGATGACGATTGGATTACTCTGCGCGAGGAGTCTGCACTACCAGTTCTACTCTTACATTGCATGGAGCACGCCCTTCCTGCTGTGGAAAGCAGGTTTCAATCCGGCCGTGGTATATGCATTATGGGGCGCGCAAGAGTGGGCGTGGAATGTGTACCCAAGTACATCGGCTAGTTCGGTGACGGTTGTGGGCGTTCTGGCGATTACGGTCGCAGGCGTATGGTGGGGAACGAGGAAAGAGTACGAAGGCGTGACGAAGGGTATAATCGAGGAGGATCATGAGCACGCTGAGTGAGTGCAATCGCAGGCTCAGTCTTCGTCTGAGTCGGTGGGCGGCATCTTTCCGACGGTTGATTCTTCTTCATCGCTATCCTCGACATAGGTGGACTTCTTTACGAACTCCTTGGGCCTGTATATTATGTTATTAGCGCTCTGTACACATATCACATGATACCCGGTTGCAACATACCAGTACGCCATCTTCCTCCAGGCCTTCTCGTCGCGAACCACATTGACAATTTCTCCATCCAGTTTGTTCTCCCGATCTGCCAGCGCAGAAGTGTCTACAACCACATAGCTACCCCTCTTGATCCATACTGTCGATCTGAACCTCGCTTCCAACTCTGCAAGTACGGGCTTGCCATCTGGCAGCTCGGCGGCATAAATGTTCTTCCCCTCAGCTTTGGTAATGCGCGCGATGACGTGGTTTGGCGACATCGCGTCAGGCGGTGTGATGGTGCTGTCTATGGTGGCGAGCACATTGCGCTTTGGACGGGCCATGTTGGAGTAGAGCTTGGATAAGCAGGGTGAGGGGTGGTTGCTGATTGCGATGGTTGTGGTGCAGCAGTGGAGGGGTGCTTGGGAAATTTCCAAGTAGGAAAGGTTCGCCGCGCTCGCGGGGAAGTTTTCACCGCTCCGACCTCCAAAAGTTCGCACTTTGGCGACCGACTAGGCAAAGCGGCTTTCCATCCTCAATTCTAGACTCAGTCCTTCTCCAACTGTCGGATCCGTTACCATCTTGGAACAGCTGGTTGCAGTGGTAGACGCGTCTGTTTCGCTGCACAACGTTTCACGAGCTTCGTGATCGACTCGGTGACCGTTCACGATCTCCACACTGTTGCAGCGCGACCACACGATAAGTACTCCGTCGCTTGTGATAGGCTCCAAGTCGGAGCCGGTGGTTCTTTATCATGTGTGATATGGTAATTATGCGCTTTACAATTTATCAGCGATTGCGCCCTCAGCCCTTTGATTTGGCTAGTCGCTTTCGTTGAGCACTTCGTGGACTACCGCTTAAGGGCACAAAGTTTTCATACAATCAGTGCTCGGTAGACCTTCTCATTTATGACTCTACCTTTTTGAAAATCTTCAACACTCTTTACAGCCTGAACTGTACAATTGAAAAGCAATTGTTTTCAAGTCGCACAGCCCGATATCCTCTCCCCGCAGATTGAGGGTATCGACAACATGTCTGCATTCCACAAGTTCTTCGATATACAACCCGCGTCGAACATTACCAACCCGGAACCAACATATCAAAAGAGCAAAAGCAAAGCACCTCAAACACTTGGTGATGTAGGTGTATTGCCGGATGTTGAACTCACGGACTTTGCTTCTCGCAATACAGACAATGGTCGCCAGGCTTCAGTCTCGGAATTTGATATGCCAAAGGGTGCGCAAACCCCCAAGACTCCCAATGAGCTTGAGATGAGTCGCCCGGCTACACCGATTCGAGAAGATGCGGTTGGCAGGGAGAGGATGTGGAACGCTGAGCCCATGACCAAATGGAGGATCTTGTGCTGCTGCATGATCTATTTCTCAAACGGAATAAACGATTCAGGTATGGAGGATTGCGAATCTGAACTTACACACCATTTTCATGGTACCAAGTGCGGACAAACACTGACTGTTGACCAGTTGTTGGCGCTTTGATCCCATACATGGAGTCGTACTACCACATCTCATACTCGATCATGTCTCTGGTCTTTGTCGGCAATGCCATCGGTTTTATCTCTGCTGCCTTTTTCACCAATTCAATTTTGGGAAAGTTCGGAAGAGCAAAGACGTTGATATTCGCAGAGTTGATACAACTATCTGCATATATTATCCTTGTGTGCACGCCTCCTTATCCTCTCGTCATCGTATCGTAAGTCTGCGGTCCAAGATGTCAACAATGCACTGCTAACATCACTAGCTTTTTCTTATTAGGATTTGGTGCCGCTATCAACCTAGCGCTCAACAACGTGTACTGCGCGAATACGCATCCACCCAGTGTCATTCTTGGCCTGGCGCATGGTAGTTATGGCGTCGGAGGAATAATAGCACCTATCATCGGGACAGCGATTGTTTCGCAAGGAATCCTGTGGTCACGCTTCTACTTCATATGTGTCGGGCTGCGACTTTGCTGCATCGCCTTCGCCGCATGGTCCTTCTGGTCATACAGGGAAGACTCTGAGGAGACCCTCCTGGAAGCCACGACTAGCAGGCAAACTTCCGCAGAGAATGCCGCGTCAAAGCTGAAGAATCTAAAGCTCGCCTTGAAGAACAAGGTGACCATATTCGGGGCACTGTTCATTTTCGCATACCAAGGAGCTGAAGTGAGCATCTCCGGCTGGTTCATCTCGTACCTCATCAACTACCGTAATGGGGACCCTGCGAAGGTTGGATACGTCACAGCAGGCTTCTGGGTATGTAGAACGTCTTTATGCTGCAATAGACATGCTAATTCTCCAATAGGCTGGAATCACTCTTGGCCGTTTTGTACTCACTCATGCTGCACCCAAAATAGGCGAGAAGAGATTCGTCGTCATCCTCACAATTGGAACAGTAGGCCTTCAGCTTTTGGCATGGTTGACGCCGAACTTGATTGGAAATGCGGTCGCTGTATGCTTGCTGGGTTTGTTGTTGGGCCCTGTCTACCCTTGTGCGCAGACCATCTTTTCGCGTCTCATGCCTCGTCATGTTCAAACAACTGCAATCGGCTTCATAGGCGGTGCAGGAAGTTCAGGCGGTGCAGTCGCTCCATTCACAACTGGTGTTCTCGCACAAGCCTCTGGTAAGTTGCCACTTTCCAAGACGCAAACATCGACTAACTGATCTCGCAGGTACTTGGGTGCTTCACCCTGTTGCAATTGGTATGTATGCCGTCATGATGGTTTGCTGGTTCGCATTGCCCAAGGTGCGCAAGCGGACTGAGTAGAGTTACCGATCTTGCGACAATGTCGGGGTCAGTGGACGCCGCAACCGAAATGTTCGTCTGATACGAGAAACGCCATGACATCATCTCGATAACCGCGTTCCTTACGGGGTCCACGGAACGCGTTGCTTGTGCACCGACAAAACGACCACATCAGCGCCTCTGGTATATATATGAAGACAGCTTTACTTTTCTTGAATCCTCCTTATCTCCTTTGGTGATTGTTGCCATATCCCCCCAAAAATCCCCCAATTTCACACTAGCCCAACAACATGTCAGCAACACAGACCGTACAAATTATAAGCATATCCACAGCGCTGCTGGCGTCGGGTGGCATCGCAGCATTGTCCCTTTTCGACATACCCATGATACAATCACAACCGGCATCCCGCTCTCTTCCTATGGTACGCTGGCTTTTCTCACGGGGCTCTCACACCTTCCCAACCGCGGCAATTACTTCAGCCTCCGGCTTCGTCTATCTCGCTTACAGCGCCCTTCCCACCTCATCTCTCAACTCCACATCGTCATTACTCCAGCATGCTGTGAAGGGAAAGCCAGGACTCTACCTTGTAGCCGCAGTACTTTCCTTCAGCATCGCACCAATCACCAGTTTTATGATACCAACCAACTTTGCCCTTATCAGGAAGAATGAGGAACTGGGCGGGAGCCGAAGTGCAGCATCTGCTGAGTATCGAGAGAAAGCTGGATTGAAGGGGCGAAGCGCTGATGAATCTGTCGATAGCAAGGATGACGTGAGTCAATGGAAAGACTTGAGCGTACCACAAGAGAAGACCGAGAAGAACAGTAGCGAAGCGGAAGATAAAGAAGTGAGCGAGCTGTTGGACAAGTTTGGTAAGCTAAACATGCTCCGAGCGCTGGCTATTGGGTTGGGTGGTATTGCGGGGTTGATGGCTGCGTTGGCGTAGGACTACTACAAAAGCTTGGTCGTCTGTTCTTGAATTGGGAGTAATCAGTAATCACGCCAAGCACTTTGACATGCCGAAAGTGTCCGCCCTGCGCCTTATCCCACGAATCACGTTACATGTTTCTTCTGATCACGACATCAGTTGTACAGCTGACGTGAGATAGCCTACTGCCACTTCTGTAGGGAAGTCGAAGCAGCCAGGGTGATTGTGTAGCGGAGTAGGAGTTTCAGCTTGCTTCCGGCCCATCTTCTGATCCAGTAGTCATATATAACCTCACTCCGTGCCCAAGTCATACCCTGATCAAGTCCATTGATACCACTCGTACCACAATATGCATCGCATCTTTCTACTCCCAGAATTGCTCATGGAAATCATCTCCTTCCTGCCACCCACAGACCTTCGTACCTGCGCCTCAGTCTCGAGACACTGGAAAGAAACACTCCGGCTCAACCTCCATCCTCGCAACTTTCCTCTACCTGACACTGTTTGTAATGATCCCAGCACTCCAAGACCATACATACTCAAGAAATTACCTCAATCCATCTCATCTCTCGCCCAAGATATCGTCCATCGAACAACGCTGTGGCAGAATGCAGGGGTCGTTTTGGATATCTCAGACGACTACTACTTCTGGCACGAAGGTGCTTACAGTAACCTTCTCTCTACACTGAGCCAGTACTTGCATCCTTGGCTGGGAAAGCATGTGTGTGAGTTTGTTGGTGGTCTGGAAGAGATAGCGAGGGGAGACATGGGAATTTGTGTCAGGACGAAGTTGGGTGCGGAAAAGTTGGATGAGTGGTTTAGGGAGGGTGAAAGGGAAGTGGGCAGGGAGAGGAGTGTGATAGATGCGTACTTGTCAAAGCCTGTAACGCGGAAAGTAGAGGTTTATTGTGTAGAAGGGGCGACGTGGGATCAAGAGTACGTCAATGTACTACAAAGAGGAGCAAGGAAAGAATGGCAGCAGCGCTGTGTAAAGATCGAACGAAGAAACGGGATTCGATTAGGAGATGTGGTCGATGAGTTGAGGGGCATGCTGAAACCTAACGAGGTGGTGACGGAGTTTGGGAGGGATGTGCAAAAGGAGGTGCTGCTGGAATGGAGATTCGATGATGCAGCAATAAGAATGATGTGTTTTGAGTGGTTGGACAGCACGGGATAAGGGCTGTACTACTAGGGGAGAACGAAATGCTGTGAGAAAGCGTTGGACGCTCTAAAGTAATATCAATCAGAGCCTGGGTATACTATGAAGCAGTAAACTATCAACGCCACGCGCCAAACCAATGATTACAAGATCAAAAGAAGCGAAAGGATGAAAAGTCTCACCAATTCCATGTCCGACTTGCTGCAGAGAACACGGGTGGCTTCCAGATCAGGCGATCAGGATCGATGCTCCTCTTGCCTTTCAGCTTTTCCTTTGCCTTTTGTCTCTCCCGCTGCGCAATAACTGCATCTGTAAGGACGACGACATGCTGATTCTTGCTATATCGCAGCATGTTCAGGTTCTGCAGGGTGTGTAGAACATCATTCGTGGTCATTGCGGTCGCAGCACCCAGATCTTCGATATTTGCTTCTGTACGGCCAGGCTCCATAAGTATGTCGACAAGAATCTCCTGCCAGTAGGCACGATATCCCAAAAGACCCAAATCAGACAAAGGCTTTTCTGGAGACCCGAGCTTGTTTTCACGCTTGGAAAGGAGGTAAGAAAAGTCGATGAGCAGTTTACCGAAACCTTTCCGTTGGTATTGAGGGAGCGTGAGGATACAGGCTACGTTGTAGCCCTCTGCGGATTCCTTTTCTTTGGAGAAGTAGCCTACGAAATGGCAGCCGTGTTCGTCGCGAGTGCACATGCAGTAGAACAAGAAAGGGTCAACATCGTAGTAGAGCGTCTTGTGATCTAAGAAGAGTTTTGAAAGCAGACAAAGATTGCGACACCATGTTCGCTGCCTCCTCCCGTCGATCTCGAAGAAGGATACGTAGTCATCTCGGTATATTTCGTTGCCAGGGGGGTGAAGGAGGTGGCACTTTGAACGGTGGCGCTCGAACTGCGTAACTTCGCCGTAGTAAGAGAGACAGAATTCGCAGATGTAGACTACATCTGAATCTACAAAGTCGACTGGGTAGGGTGAGAAGTACCAAGGCTCGACTTCGAACTTGCCCATCTGAATCTTCTCCAAGTTACGCACTCGTGAGATTTCGGTCTGGTTCTGCGTCATGGATCCTGATGTACGGAGCTTTTCGATTTCGTCTTCTCTCGAGTAATCCTGGGGTGGCATGGCCTTTGCTGCTGCAGCGGCATCCTGCACGTCGACGAGGTCCATCTCCTCGTCCTCGGGTTTTGGTGTGCCATCGGTAACTTCGCTTGTCACTATCAACTCTTGATTTTCTTTTCCACTTGCTTTAGATGGCCTTGGTGCTTTGCCTGGCAAGTTGCTAGACGTCGACTCTGGGGTGCCAGAGATCTCGCGGTCAAGTTTGCTGCGTGATCGCTTGAGATTCTTCTGATCAGACTTTGAAGGTGCTTTGTCAGTCTTAACGGCAGTGCCCTTCTTCTTGTCGGCTTTTTCAGGCGCAGGCCACTCCACTTCTCTCGAAAGATCTATCCGTTCGGCTTCGATCCATTCATCCAAACGTTTGTTGAATTCCTCATAATGAACATAAAACTTGGGCCTGCCCTGCCGTGTTTGGATGGACAGTATTTCAGCTTTGCGCTTCTCTCCGTCCTGTGGGGTGTTAGTTGAGGTTTCAAAAGACTTGGTGTTTCCATCCTGATGATGGATGCTGCTGGGGCTCGCGTCGCGCATCACGCTATTCACGTACCTTCTCAACCCACGCCTTCACACCAGTCCTGCACGCAATACATCAGCATACGTGTTCAGATTTTGCGCATGGTGTCGCACTCACCTGAGCTGTGCAAGAGTGGCAAAGCCAGTTTCTACTGGCGCCGGCGTGCCGGAGGGCTCATGCGAGTTCTCTCGAGGCGCCATGATGATGCGCTGCGTGTTTCTCGACTATTGCAGTTTTTGGGTCACGTTGTGAAGTTTGATGTCGCGATGATGTTGAGGGTGCTGTCCTGTGTCGCGATGTTGCCGCCTGCCGATCGGGCCTTTGCGTCGCGTCGAGCCGACATCTGGAATGTGCTAGCGCGCGTTTGAACTTTTGCTCGCGGAAACTGTGCGGAGAAAGTCGAACGGCCAACATTCTCGACAACCACTGACAGGACGACCCTCACACCGCTATGCCGCGCGGGTAACGACAAAATGGCTCCAATCGATCTCGGCACTCTGTCCAGCAACTGGAAGATACTGCAGCAGCGCCTGAAGCCTTCAACGCCGGCAACACCTCCAAAGAACAAGAAGTTGGAAGAAGAAAAGCCGTCTTCACTCAAGCGCAAGCGACCACAGCACGCCAATGGGAAGCACGGAGATGAACCAGCAAAGTCTGTAAACGGCTCACAGAAGAACACACCGCACAAACCCCTGCCTTCGAGGAAGCGACAGAAGATGGAAGAGCCTACGTCTGTGGGCGCTTCAGTCAAGCAGCATGACACCAAATCCCTCTCTAAGAGCGTCTCGATGCCCTCTCTCAAGAAGACGCCTCTTCTGAGCGACCCGCGAGACGCTGCAGCTGCTGTGTCAATCCTCGAACCACATCCCGACTTCCCCGATGTAGAGAACGAGGGCGTGTCAGAAGTAGCGTTACCCGGCAAATACGTCGCGTTAGATTGCGAGATGGTGGGAGTAGGACCAGAGCCCAACCGCGACTCTGCGCTAGCGAGAGTGTCTCTGGTCAACTTTCACGGTCACCAGGTCTACGATTCCTACGTCCAGGTACCACGACAGATCGAAATCACCGACTATCGAACACATGTCTCTGGTATCGAGCCCAGGCATCTTCGCAAGGACGTCGCGCGACCCTTCGACGAAGTACGAAACGACCTTAAGATCCTTCTCACCGGGCGCATACTCGTTGGTCACGCGGTGAAGAATGACCTCGACGTGCTCATCTTGAAGCATGACAAGCGCTTCATTCGCGATACATCCAAGTTCTCAAAGTTCAGAGAATTGGCCACCATACCAGGGCGCACACCAGGTTTGAAGCTATTGGCAGAGAAGCTGTTGGGCGTGGAGATTCAAGTCGGTGCGCATAGCTCGGTCGAAGACGCCCGGGCTACTATGGCGCTCTTCAGGTTGGAGAAGGACAGCTTCGAGCTTGAGGTACGGCAGAAGTATGGCAACATCCGCCTCGACGCAATTGGACCAGAAGTCGACGTCGGTGGTAGTGAAGATACCAAAAAGAAGAGCCGGAACAGGAAGAAGAAAAAGAAGAGGAATTAAAAGGCAGCGAGATGTAATCTCGCCATTGTTGTTGTTTCTGATTTTGCTGCATTTGCATGGAGTCTTGCATGGTACGGATACCCTGAAAAGTCCACGTGTTCATCATTACTGTTGGATTTTGTATTGTTGGTAGCAGTAGCTTCTACAAGCTCTGGCCAAGGTTGTCTTTAGCCGGGAATGGATCAGATATTTCCACCACCTGTATTGAACAAAGGCTTTTTTCTGACGTGGAGTCTTCCGTCCATTTCTGAAGTAATGACCACCCAAGCCACAGATTAGTACGAGGCCAAATGCGATTCTGACTATATAGCATCAACTTGAGGTATCGCGAGGTGGGGCGTCATGCACATGGCTGACCTGCCAACACCACCTAGGTATCAACTCCCCAAATATTTGTCCGCTACCAATCATCGTCACGTCCAGCCGAAACTCACTCCACCTATCGGGTGCTTTCCGGAACTTCTAGACATGACCAAAATTGCACAGTTTGCACTCGTCCGACACAGCAAGTTCGACGACGCATACTCGGAGCTTAGCGGAGATAACATCCACCATGATCAAAGCTCTCCACATCAAACGTGCAAGATGTTACCCCTCCGCTTAACGCCATCCGACAGCGATCGGCCCCGAAAACCTTCGGTAGCTTCCAACCTGGACGTAATAGAGGAAGGAAGCGACCATGGACCCTGAGGTACTCTAGCCTAACACGTCATGCCCATGTAGAGCTCCATTGATATAAGAAGAGGTTTCGTCCTACACTAATCGCCTCACAAAGAGTACTTTAACATCTTGCCTCTCAATTTTACATCTTCTTTCAGAATTCTACAAAACCCAGATTCAATATGCCTTCTCCATTCGGTGATGCGCCCAAGGCGGCGTCCCTCTTGGACTTCCACCGCGTCATGTCGCCTACTGCCGGAGTTCGCGTTTCTCCTCTTTGCTTGGGTGCCATGAACTTTGGTGATGCGTGGGAAGAGATGATGGGCAAGTGTGACAAGAAGACTGTGTTTGAGATCCTAGATTTCTTCCACCAGCAAGGTGGTAACTTCATCGACACGTAAGTCCTTGTACTGTCCCCGCGCCAATGCTACTGCAGTGTTACATGAAAACAACAATCCTCCACTACTGAAGTTGACACTAAAACAGCGCAAACAACTACCAGAACGAGGAGTCCGAGACCTGGATCGGCGAGTGGATGAAGGAGCGAGGCGTACGACACGAGATGGTCGTAGCCACCAAGTTCACCACTTGCTTCCCCGATCCAAACAACTCTCCTCGCCAACGTATCAACTATGCCGGTAACAGCACAAAGTCCCTCCGCGTTTCGCTCGAGGCATCCCTCAAGAAGCTTCAGACTGATTACATCGACCTGCTGTACGTGCACTGGTGGGACTTTACAACGTCTATCCCAGAATTGATGCAATCCCTCAACGCCGTCGTCAACTCCGGAAAGGTTCTGTACCTTGGAATCAGTGACACACCTGCCTGGGTCGTCAGCAAGGCGAACGAATGTAAGTGCCACCTCGTGAAAGTATACAGGGTCTGAACTGACGGTACTAGACGCCCGTAACCACGGCCTGCGCGGCTTCAGCGTCTACCAAGGACGTTGGTCCGCAGCTGAACGTGATTTCGAACGCGAGATCATTCCAATGGCACGTGAAGAAGGCATGGCGCTCTGCCCGTGGGGTGCTCTTGGTGGTGGTAACTTTACATCCGAAGAGAAGCGCAAGAACAACGAGCAAGGCCGCAACTTTGGTCCCCCATCTGAGAAGCATGTCGCAATCTCTAAGAAGCTGGAGGGTGTTGCCAACCAGAAGAAGACCCAAATCACTAGCATTGCGCTGGCATACGTACGACACAAGTACCCCTTCGTGTACCCGATCGTTGGCGGCCGCAAGATCGATCATCTCAAGGGCAATATCGAGGCGCTTGAAATCGAGCTAAGTGAGGAGGAGATTGATGACATCGACTCTGCTGTTCCCTTCGATGTTGGCTTCCCCATGAGCTTCTTGTTCGAGTTTGGCGGCGGCCAGAAGTACAAGACCACCATGACTAGCTCAGACGTTGGCCTCCTGAGGTATGCTGGACCCATGGACAGCGTACCAGTACAGCAAGGGCCTAAGCCGCATTCGTTACAAGGACATGGAGGCAACTAAGAGCATGGAATGTTCAAATCAAACATGTATAGCCGAGTGCAAAGCTACATGAACGAATAAACGTGAAATCTTAAAACTCATATCAATCGAATACCATAATTTCATCTTTGCCCCGTTTCTTTATGCTGTGTCTTTCTGACACATCTTATACTTGACCAAAGCCTGCTCTTGATGTGCTAGTCCGACCAATGAGAATCTAAACAGTAGCCCCACTTACACACCCTTTGCACTTTCCAATTCGCTCGCTCAGTGCAGCACATCACACATCCCAAACCATGGATTCTCAAATCACTTCGCTATTCGATTTCAGGCTACCCGACTACCCCGATGCTGCACTACGCCTCAATGGATCCCTTCTTTGTGTTATCGACCCTTCTACTCTCACGCCAGAAGCTTCCAAAATCATAACTCCAGCAATCGGTCTAGCGACAGTTCTCTACAGATGGCACCCAAGCGCTTTGGCAGCTTTCTTAGATCTGGATGCCTGGTTTTCCCTGACATGGACGCTGAGCATTGCAGAAGGCACACCAGACGGCTCAAAAATTGAAATCGGTCGCATAGGCAACCAAATCACTTTCGGCAGTCTGGATAGCAGCGGGGATAACTGGACATTAATGCTTACCTACAATATCGTTTTAGAGGGCGAAAACAGAGGAAAGTGGATACCAAATCCCAAAGAGAGCATGCTAGGTGAAAAAGACGTTACGGATCCTGACGAGATTGAGAAGCTAGGCTGTGAGTTTGCGGAAAAGATAATAAGGGAAAAGAGATGGGAGACGGGGAAGAAGATGAAACATAGGTTCTTTGTCGAGTATGCGCCCATGGATGTTTGGGGTGATGGAATACCGATGAGCCCGCATTGGCTTTATTCGTCTCTTGATCTCTCGAGTTGTACGGCTTGCAAGAAGACGGATGTTTCGCTACAGAGATGTGGAAGATGCGGTACGTCGACTTACTGCTCGGATGTCTGCCAGAAAGGGGATTGGGCTGTGCATAAAGATGTCTGCACTATGAGTATGGAAGACAGGGGACAGGCAATCAAGTTGTCAGAGAAGGGTGGACTGATCAAGTGGGACGTGGAGAAGACTTACGCGAAAGAGGAGGGTGAGATGAGCGCGAATCCGAACTTTGAAATCCCACAAGTGAAGCGTAGGAAAGCCGACTGAGGAAAGAGCGCAAAGAAGAGCAAACGAAGACGATAGAGCGGTTTGCCTCCCAGCAGCTACATTGCTATCCCTGTTGATGTTATAGATAAAGTACTCCTTAACATGCAGGTATGTGGTCACACGACGTCTCTTGATGATTTCATTCTCGTCCTAGAGCTACTACCATCTACCATGCACAAAGGTGCCCGCATTGTATCCTGTCAATCTCGTCATCGTCTCTTTCTTTTGTGGATATTGAGCATTGTCTAGTTTGACCAGTATCGAGCTTTTCGTAATATCGCTCACATGGTCTTTCGTTCTCTCTTTCATCTGTATTCGAATGCTTGTTGCTCCAACCAACAGGATACTGGAGAGCGTTTGGTCCAGTGATACGACGCTTGTGCTTCATCCTTAGATCGTCTTGGGAGCAAGCGCTCAACCGTGCGTTAGGCGCGATACAGCTTCGTACCAGCCCTCTCTATTCATAATTGGTGCAAGCCTACAGCAGATATGGGAAGAGGCGAGTGACCCAAGTTCGAACATTTTAAGCTTCGAACTCCCTTTCGCTCCCTCAGCGGATCAGATGCGTAGAAGACCTTATAGGTCTCAATTGTCTTAGTAAGTCTCACTCCTCCTCGGTCTCCTCCTTGACCTCTGTCTTGATCTCCACCTTGACTTCCGTCTTTGCTTCCTTCTTCTTCTCCTTGTCCCACTCTTTCTGCTCCTTCATGAACCTCTCCTTCTTCTCCACATACTCATTATGCAGCTTAGCCTTCTCCCAAACCTCTCTGAAAATATCACTGGCCTCCAATTTCTCTTCCTGCCCCTCATGACCCTTGCTCTTCTCCAATAGCTCCCCAGTCTTTTTATCATACTTTCTTCCCCCGGCATGGTTTGCATATCTCTTTGCCCTAGTCATGCCCATCTGCAAGAATTTGCGAGACATGTCCATGCCAATGAAGTCGTCGTTCTTGTCATATTCTAGAAATTTGCTGTAGATGTCGGAAGAAGACTTGCGAGCGATAGCAGGTGTTTTGAAACGCCATAAAGGAAGGATCTCGGACTTGTAGGGCTCGAATGTCAGGACACCGGTTTCGCCGCGTCCGATGCGGTAGGCCATGCGCTGAGATTTTGTGAGGGGCTCAGAGGGCATTTTGATCACGCACTTAATCATGGAATGACACCTACTAAGCGGGTGTCGAGTTGAGAGTCCGGAAGTGTTGACGACAAAACGCGGTGGTTGGCGAGGTTCATGACGTAGTGTGTTCACGCTACGCGACACGCGGTCACGTTCTTTTGTTACGTACTAGGCAAATCTCCGAACAGTGCTGGGCTTCAGGGTCGAGGCGCGTAGTATAGCGCCATACCCTCCAGAAGAATTGGCGTAAACTAGTGTATGTTCTCATGGGGTCTGAAAAGTCGCTGCGACTGATCTGTACACGGATAGAAGCGGTGTTGAGATGTTCGATCAGGACTTGGTCCTTTCTTATATACAGTCTATCGCGGTTCTCTTTCTAGTGCCACTATATATGTGCAGATTCTTAGATGCAGTGGTCGCACTGGCGTGAGTTTTGTACCCCATGTCTGTGAATATGTCCAGCAGCGGCATGTCTATTTCGTTGAATTGTTCCGCACGTCTCCTGTTATTGATTGTCGTTCTTTCCCCACGGTCTGCATACGGCCTTCTCGACCCTTTGTACGATCGACAATTGTTGCTCCTCCTTGCTCTCCTCGTCTTGCACACCCAGTACCTGCCCAATCAGACCACCAGGCTTCGGCACTGGGCACTCCCTCTTGGCAGCCAACTTCTCTTCCAATAGGCGCTGCCTCCTCCGCTCCAAACTCATGCCTTCATTACAGCTCTCGTCTTCTGATATTCTCCGTCTCCTTCTCCGCCTGTTCTCTCCTGTGGGGTCTGGGGAATCGGCGAGCGTTCGAGGGTCGACTGGGCAGGGTATCAGATGTGGAGCGGCGACGACGAGGAATGAAACCATGAGGGTCGTCCCAAAGAGCGAAGTCGTCATGCGCGACCGCGGGTGGAGGTGCGGAGGCATTTTATGTGTGTGAGTGTAAAAATTAGAGAGCGGATTGCGGAGGCATCACTAGACCTGAGGAGTCGTTAACAGCTGGTAGATGTAATTCCAACGATCGCCAAGAGCATACTGTGCCAATTGAGATGCCTCGAGCTGGTGTGAATGGTGGGGAAGCGGGGTTGTTGGCGGTGATGGTGTTCTGGTGGAGTGAACATAGAGGGTCGAGCTAGCTGAACGGCTTAACGTAGATCCCTGCGCGTTCGGCATGCCCGCTGTGGATCTCTCTCGTCCTCGACTTCACCAGCCCACCACTTTGACTTGATATTCCACCAAACGGCTACCGTCATATTACAATCGCTATCTTCACTTGACAGTCCTACACAACCATCACGTAATCGTACGATCCGCACCTTCATTGCATCCAGAACGCGCCATACGCGTACCGCCACCGTCTATACTATTCGCGCCCAACCAGAATCTTCAATTACGAACAGCTTCTGCTACTGCGAAACTGTCGCGCACGTAATAGAAAAACAACCCTTCATACATCCCGAAAAGCCCCGCGCGGGCGTGTAGCGCATAGCCATCGCCATGAGTGCCGGTGGTAGCGACCTTGACAAGTACGGCTACCCACTCAGCCTACTATTATACATGCGATACACAGGGCTGACAAAGATCGCAGGGCGATCCAGCAGCTCCGCGCATGTCGTCCGATTCCCGAGAATCAAGTCCGAGAGCTATGTTACAAGGCACGCGAGCTGTTGATCGAGGAGGGCAACGTGGTTGGGGTGGATGCGCCAGTGACGGTAGGCACAGTATTGCTATAATTCGTGAACATAGCTAACTGTACGTCTTCTCAGATCTGCGGTGATATTCATGGTCAATTCCATGACCTCATGGAGCTCTTCCGAGTTGGTGGAGATGTACCAGATACAAATTACCTCTTCATGGGTAAGCCGACCGGGTCCCGCCACATTCTTTTATGCTGACACTGTGTAGGCGACTTCGTTGACCGTGGTTTCTACTCGCTCGAATCTTTCCTCCTACTCCTATGCCTCAAAGTCCGATACCCAGACCGGATAACACTCATCAGAGGCAACCACGAGTCTCGGCAGATTACAACTGTATACGGTTTCTATGATGAGTGCTTAAGGAAGTACGGCAGCGCGAACGTATGGAGGTAATGCCCATTACCCAGCTGATCTAGTAGAGCGCAATACTAACAGGCACAGGTATTGCTGCGAAGTCTTCGATTACCTAGCCCTCGGCGCTCTCGTACAAGGCGCTGCGACTTCCCTCCAAGCCACTGACGGCCCCATAGCCGAGTCTAGCAACGCTGAAAACATGCCCGACATCGATCAAGACATTGAGATCGAAACACTCAACGCTAACGGCGAGGTCATGTATCGCTACGCACGCAACTCAGACTCCCAATCAAGCGCCGCATCACAAGTAAGCGCAAACATGGGCTCTTCATCCCCTGTCGCTCCAACACCTGGACGTGTTGGCCCTGCAGGAACTGGCGCAACTTCCTCTGCCAATGGCTCGGCTCGGAACGATACAGGAGCCATTCTATGCGTACACGGAGGTCTATCACCCCTCGTTGACTCAGTGGACAAGATTCGACTATTGGACCGAAAGCAGGAGGTGCCTCACGAAGGAGCCATGTGCGACCTACTATGGTCTGATCCCGACGAGATTGATGGTTGGGGCTTGTCACCGCGTGGTGCAGGATTTCTATTCGGGGCTGACATCGTCAAGACTTTCAACCATAAAAACGACCTCAGTCTCATTGCTAGAGCTCACCAATTGGTTATGGAAGGATTTAAGGAGATGTTCGACTCAACAATTGTTACTGTGTGGTCAGCGCCAAACTACTGTTACCGTTGCGGCAACGTAGCTGCCATTTTGGAGCTCGGCGAAGACGGATCGAACGCCGGTTTCCAACGGAGGTCGAACGGAGATAGAGCGGGTGGTGGTGGAGGCTGGGTGTTAGGCTCGAATGCTGGACCCAACGGCGAGAGGAGATTGAGTTCTGTACTCAACGACAATTTCCAAAAGAATAGAGATGGGCCAGGACGGCGATACCGCGTATTCGAAGCCGCCCCACAGGACTCACGAGGCATGCCAGCAAAGAAGCCAGTAGCGGATTATTTCCTTTAAAGAACAGAAGGCGCATGAGAACGCTTTGAAGTTAATTCTGTCAACAAGCTTGGGCGTCTGGAGTTTGTAACAAGGATTGGATGAAATCGAATGACATGCCTGACTATATTGCGAGGCTAGCACACTGCCATTCGACGCGACGAAACATTTGGATGCTATCGCTCTACCAAAGACCCCAGCACCAGGGCTTCGTTCCTCTCATGCATTGGCCGCATTCATGACCGTCATCCAGTCCACGTACCGCTTTACTTTACAACGACTAATGAATGCTTGACAGCGCTGATGATGTATGTAATCAAAGAGTCCTCGAACTAACCCAAACGCTCGTCAGACCTCAAAGCCGAGATAGTACGGTATCATCTCAACACCTACCGTGGGCGATTTTTGGTTATCCCAAACTTGACCGGGGCGGCGATATGGCCATGAACATATCCCTTATTACCAAGCTCGACGTCTGGTATTTGTCAGTAGCCCGAATCTGAGAGGACTGAAGGACATACTGGCTTCAGACTGGACAACTCGACGGTGCGGCATGAAGTTGCGCAACAACAATACCAAGATGGGAATGCAGGTGGCTAGGAGAGTTACAAAAGCTATAATTGCTTCTACCGACCAGGAAGACATAGCGATGTTTGTTTGATCAGTGTGTAGTGTACAAGAGGACTTCTGGCTGTGACATTGAACAAGGAGCGCGACCTGTGCTAGGATTTTTATCATATTTCAAAAAGCAGAATCTGCCTTCGAAGCCTCCGTAGGACCCCCGACAATCAGTTTGACAGGTTTTGCATGATTGGGCATATTGACTCCGCCCTCTTCCAGCCTGGTATGAGAACAGGATCACTTTTACGAAATCTTGCGCTAACCAATTTAGACCGCACTCGGAGACTACAAGGTTCTGTTGCGCAGTATACCCCATGTTCTGAGGCTATCACAGGTTAGGCATGATTGGTCAATCTGCTAATGGCTTGTTGCGCTGTTTACAAAATCTCGCTGCAGTCAGGTTTTGCATGATTGGCCGGATACTGAACGGCTGACAGATGCAAGGAAACCGAAGCTGTGTCATTGGTCTTCGCGAGGGACGCCGCTCACAGGCGCAGCACGCGCCAGGCGGCGTTTCGGGTCCAAGACTCACCGTTCAAATACCTGGTTATGCTCCAAAGTGCTTAACTTAATCCTCGGCGTACTTCTTGCTTCTCATTCTTTTTTTCTTTGATTTTATGCTTCGTTGTACAGGATGAACAACACCGTCAAGACTAACAACATCGATGAGAAAACATGGGAACGCCATCGTCCAAGCATCGAGAGCTTGTATTGGGGGAAATCACTCAGTGCGATCGAAGCGTATATGAAAGAGCGTTACGCTTTTGTTGCGAGGTATTTACGCCAGCTCGCTACAGACCCATGAATACTAACACTCAATGAAGCAAATCACAATACGAGAGGCAGTTCAGAAAGTGGCAACTACGAAAGAACCTTACTGGGCCTGAGTGGGCAGTCATCATAAGGTACATGAAGAAAAACTCGATTCGCCTTGGACAAGTGGAAGTGCTGTTCAAGGGACACGAAATTCCTCACAAGAGGATTCTACAAGAGATAGCGCGACGCAGCTCACTAAACAGCACATGGCAAAGTGGTTTGTGCATGCTTTGATCTTTGTGTATGCCGCTTATAATATCTAGGCTCCTGTAAACTTCCGAAAGAGATCACTGTACGACCACGATCACGCCCTCCGGATATGGATGCCGCGAACGGTCTTCAGACCATACTAATTCCTGCTGCAATCCCGTCACTCTCTTCCATCCACACTGAAGCCAGCCTTGAACTGGTCACCATACCCTCAATGTCGATCAATCGCTACAGTATGAGCGTACCCACCCTAGTTGCTTCGTGGAGTGCCCCATTTTCTTGGATGCGGGCTGTCGACCTGAATTCGTTCTCGCAGAACCTCTCCACTATCCAGCAGTCAACGAGATGGACTCAGCCCCCAAAGGCCCAACTCGATGCACTATTTTACTCAAAGGGTCGGTCGTTCCTAGATACTCCGCACGAAAGCCATGAGACATCAGTTCCGTCGTACGCAATCGCGTCACTAGCCAACAATATGTCCTCGGTATACCATAATGTTTCGAATGAAGCATATTTATTGTTGAAGGCGTTTCCACTGAACGTCGTATCACAAAGCCTGAAGGCCATCCCGGTTCCGGTCTTGGATGCTCTCAAAGAACGATTGTTTGCTACTGCTGTTAAAGTTGGGGACGTGGATCTTGTTTCGGCCATGCTGAAGTTGAATATTGATCCTCGTGAGCGTATCATGATTGATTGGCCATCCGTATCAAGACCAACCTACCCGCTCGATTATGCAGGGTATGCAGGTCACTACGCCGTTGTAAAAACACTTGTTTCGCACATGTGTCAAGGCGCAAATCAGTTACAGCTTGATGGCCTACGTGATTGCATCTTGTATGGGATGGAATGGACAATGTTGAAAGAGAGAATAGGGGGGTCGATGACGAATTACAGTCATTTCAAATATTTTAACGAGTCAGAACTGACCGAGCTCATGTGTATCGCTCTCGCTGCCGGAGCCAGCCCCAAGTTGGGGTGCCTCAGACCCGCTGGCCGTGATATCTCGATAGTTTCTCTCAAGAAGCTGGTAGAGAATACGGCTGCAGGTATCATAGCTTGGCTAGAGATAGGCCTGCTGAAGTTTTATCTTGGTTGCAGATGTCATTCGTGGGAGACATGCCCGATCGAAAATGTCCTACAATACGTCTTTTCAGACTGCCAACACGATCTACCTCGAGGAGACCCAAAATTCAAGACAATAGTTCTCAAAGCGTTGACAACTGCTATAGTCGACAACAAAGAGGAAGCCGCCAAAACGATCTTGAGAGCGTTCAGTCTACTAGGTTACCGCCCCAATAGCGAAGAGACTTACATAAGCAACAAAGCAACGAACGATTCCATCGTACAGGCATTTGATAACGCAGACTGGGATCTGACAATATCCTTAATTCTGGCGCAAAACTTGATCGCAGTAAGAGAGAACTCGAGACAAGGCCTAAAGGAAACGGGAGCACAACAGCCTATTGCAATGATTTTCATTGAACCTCCCCGAGGCCCCTCATGGTATGAACAGTTCAACGGTGCTGTCAGGGAGAAGGACTTAGTGCTCGCATACCAGCTGCTCCAAGACCCCAGGCATTTGTCGAGTCCCTTTTCAAGACTCCCGTTGAAGTTCGTTGAACTTGCAGTCAGCCTCGGCCAATCTGACATGGTTATCAACGTCATCAGATCTACAGAAAATTTTGATGAATGGGGCCTTGATGAAGTCTTCCCTCTATTGGGCTATGGTCAAATTGCAGCAGTCAGTGCGCTTCTTATGGAACACCCTGCATGGAAAGCTGCTCTAGATGCCGCATGCTACCATGAGGGCTTTGGTATGTTAGAATCCATGGTATTCCAAGGGTCAGACTTGCCTTTATTTGAAGAATTCCCATTATACAATGATGGCGATTATTTGATGCAAGAGCAACAAGTGATCTTTCGGGTTATCGCTTTTCATGCCATTGCAACAAACAGTTTCAAGCTTTGCGAATGGTTGTTGCAGATTGGTATGGATGCTGACGAACTCAATGTATGTGAAGAGGAGGATGATGATATGGTCGTGAAGAGTCCGGTCACGCATTGCAGCTTGCCTGGTGTGGGCGGTTGCTCGGTACGCCGCATCCAGTGCACAATTCCATCACTTCTAGCCGTCGCAGCCCAACACAACCGTGAGGATTGGATGAAATGCCTTTTAGCTCAAGGTGTCCAATCTGCTGACTCTGGAGCATTGTTATGGGCAGTGAAGACGAAGGCAAGTAGTTTCCCTGCACGAGCTTCATATGCGATATCAGCTGACTTCCTAAACTGATCGTTAGGCAACCGTTGCTACAATCTACTTCCTATTGAAGACAGCAGAGCCTGACAAATATTCAAGCCAGCGAAACTATGGCATTGCTGCACTTCGGGAAGCCATCCGGTCCCGAGACTTCACCATCATTGATATTCTATGTGGAGCAGTGAACATTGATGCAATCGAGCCGTCAACCAAAGAATTCTTTGGGCGCGAAGCTCCCCTCAGCCCGTTAGGTGAAGCAATCATACTGGGCGACGTCGCGATAGTGAAGCTTTTGTTGAAGCGGGGTGCCAGTCCAAACGCATACGTATCCTTCGATGGTCTGAAGATGCTAGAAAGCATCACGAGCCACATACAAAGAGTGACACCATTACTAGCTGCTATCGACATGCAGAGTCTTCCATTGGTGGAACTTTTGTTGGAGCATGGAGCGGAGGTGAATTACAAACGCAATATGGGAGTCTTTCGTACTCCATTGCAAAGAGCCGCCGAAATGGGTTGCTTTGACGTTGTTCAATACCTCATCAAGAAGGGTGCGACTATCGATACCATTCCTATCCACTCTGGTGGTACTGCTCTGCAACTCGCAGCACTGAACGGGTTCTGCGGTATTGCCGCGTTTCTGCTTGAGCAGGGAGCTGATCCAAATCATCCCCCTGCTAAAAGTAATGGACGAACTGCTTTTGAAGCCGCAACAGAATGGGGTCATATCGATACAATGTCGCTTTTGGTACAGTGTGGTGTCGTTCTTCACCTGCAATTCGGAAACCCTCTTCAGAGTCAGTACGAGCGGGCTTGGTGGTTTGCGGAGAAGAATGGTTTCATGGCGTCGAAGCGATTCGCAGAACATCTTTATAGGCAGGTGCTGGAAGGTCATTACTGGGATAATAGTCTTGCATTAGACCCCATATAGTCGATGTGCTGAAGGAGGACTACGAATACCTTCCAAAGTTCATTTCGGTGCCAGATCTAACAGTGTTCCTCACTCATGTCCTTCTGCTAGTTTAAACGATTCCTGTACTATATTCTGCCTTTATCTAATCGAGTGTATTTCTTCCTTCGTCGCTCTGAAAAGGACGCCCTTCTGCTGTCTTGTTATCATTCAGAGAACCTACGCATCACATGTTAATAAAAGAGTGTCAGATATATGATGAACGAGCGAGTAGAAGACAAACTCGGGAAAGGTTGCCCGACTCTAACCATGACTATCAAAGTTCATGTAGCTACAAGCTCTGCTCATTAGTGTAACTATCCTTTCGCTCCCTTATTGCTTTCTCGTTGAATTCCTCCATATGCACAAGTTCAGCATCGTCATCGTTCTCCTCATGCCGCACAGCAAACGTCCTAGTGTATGTAATCGTGCTCCGGTCAACGACCACGTTCTCTTTTCCACTTTTGGCACTCCCTATCGTGTCGATATTTCCTTTTGTGCCACGACTTCCACCTCCGTGATGGTTCTTGCTGCTTCGCTGGGTGCTCGCTTGTATCGTCCTGATGACTGTGGGAAACGCGCGGATGAGGATTAAGCGGAGAGCCGGCATGCATGCGCATATAATCCCGACATTGATCTCGTAGACCGACCACAAGACGACGTTCGTCTGCTCCCATGTGACATTGCTTGTGCCGCCGAAAGCAATGAGCGATCTGAGGCGGAGGATGGATACAATTGTAGTACTGTGGACATGTTAGCTGGAAGCCAGATGGTGTAGGTTGCAAGAGTACTGACAAGGTACCAACGAAGAACATCAGAGCTACGCTGAACTTCTTCGTCAATGTCATCTGGAGGTGAAAGACCTCGTATAGAGGGATAGAAAGCATCCAGATGTCGACCACGATACATATGATAGCGTGTACCCAGATTACCGCGTATATGTTGAGACACTTAGTCGGCTTGGCCTTATCCCAAGCTGTCCAGTAATCGGCAAGCTATGTTTTGAAGCATTGAGTTAGCGTGCGCCTCACGCACTTCTTGGAAGATTTTCACTTACAGGCAGGCATGGGAATGAGCCAGGAATGAAGAAAGATATGGTCCATATTACGATAAAGGCGATAGTCCCCCACAAGAGCTGCACTGTCCGCCTTCTTGGAAAGATCCTCAAGAAAAATAGAATCAGCGAGATCTTGACCATGGCACACTGGATAAGATATAGTAGGGTAATGGTATACAGCCATCGAACGAAATTCTCGAGGTGGTCAAAAGGAACAGTCCAGAGATCGACACCGATCCCGTTCGTAAGCATGCCCCTGTCGATTATTGTTACGGAGGATATAGATATGAGTACCGTAGCAGCCACTGTGTAGTCATCCCAACCAAGCCCGGCAACCGTGAAATATCTCTGGTAGACGAGACGTAAGATGGCGCAGGAAAGTGTTACCACGCCCATGAGTATATTCGCGACTCGCAGATGGATAGTTTCCGACCGGACCGGCGCGTGGCAGAAGGTTGAAGTAACGTTTTTGGTCGCTAACAAATGTTGTGAGCTGTAGACCAGTAGATGAAAATAGTTCCTGACTTACTCAAGCTCTCCTTCACGGTGCACGAAGAGACGACGCATTTCTCGACGGCAGCCTGAAGTTTAACGTTGGTACATATACATGTTGAGTTCGTAAGTTGGCAAGGTGAGTCGACAACAGCAGTCACCAAACATAGTTGCTATGAGCGTCAGCCATATACCATTTTCTCGAGACCGGATCCAATATACCGCGCAGTTGGGAAGCTTAGCAATCACCGTGAGCGAGTCGACATCTTGTGTCTGTCCAGTAGAGGTCCAAGTGGCAAGAAGGAGTAATAGATACAGCGGTCCCCTCATGTCTCGTCACGTCTGAACATACGTTGTATCCCAGTTGGAGTCGTGCGGCTAGACGTGTAGGCGAGGACAAGGGGCCAGTAATGGCATTATCTTTCGGGCTTTGGTATACGTGCCTGTCTTATACTCTAGGAAGTCCTAGTAGAGTTGGCCGGACCCGCATCGTGGCTTGCTGCTGGGATACGTATTAGAATGGGGCGGAACTTAATCTGCACATTATCCTTAGATCTCCTGACCAGAATAGCTGCACCCCTAAGCACTGTTGAAGATCCCCTAGTTATGTTAAGCTTTCACTTCAACATCTCCTTCTTGTGGCGCATCGACAACAATGGCTCACCTAGATCGACCTTAGACCTCGTTCACATTTACGAGTACTCGCGTAACATACTGGGTATGCCAAAAAGATTGCTGTGCTGAAAGGGCTGACATCCGTGCCTGAGGAGGATATGTCTACATCCTTGGGAACGCCCACGCTAGCCTTTGCTCTAGAGGTAGCTTGATGAGCTTCAACAATCCAGTTCACTGATCGCGGATCATCGGAGGAACACTAATGACGAGTCTAGAAGGATTAATAAACAGCCTATGGTGAGGTGGAGGTGGTACCCGACGCATTTGGAAACGTTCACAGAGACCGTCTCGCTCTCCCTGGTCGTTCATAGTTCCCGCCCTTATCCTTGCATACAAGTCTCCTGTACATGTGGTGTAGATCAGGGTGCTACCTTGCCATGCCATGTGGCGCGTCCCTTTAGTGGCCGGCGGTTCGAGCTCCCCACGGTACCTAGGTAGTTCCTGCTACTAGCCTAGCGTGGCCGAGGACCAATTAGCTGCGATACCAACGCATCGTATCTCCACCACGACTCTACAGCAGAGGATGTCTATGATGATTATGATCTCGTTGGCTCCGTGTACTCCGTACGCTCGAAAGCTCCCTACTGGGTCTTTATCCGGTTGGGCATTTCTTGCTCTATTCCTCCCATCCGACCGTAAGTTGACTGTATTTAGGTTGAGCAGTGCTGTAGTCTCTGGCAGCCATCAGGTAGCTACGATTGGTTCCTTGCAGACACCCGCTCATAGCCCACTATGGGTTCCTTGTTACTTCAGCAGAAACATGTATACTACAAGCATTCCAATAATCCACCAGGTACGGTGTCAAACTGTATCCTGTGATCGACCGAGCTAGTGTCTCGACGCACTGTAGCAATCGAATGTCTGACAGATCTGGAGCTGGAAACGACGGCTCGTCATTGGTCGGCTGGTGTCTAGCTTCCTTTCGACAACGGTAGGGCACTGCCAGCTAGGGCCCGATTACTATTCATCAACCTGATGGCATTGCGATGGGGACTAAGCCTAGCTACCGTCATCATAGTTGTTAACTGACATGTGGATGCAAGAGACATGGGCAACAGGAACCTGATGATCGTCATACCACTAGACACGCCAGGTTCGAGGCACTCATGCGTGCTGGTTGTTGGGAATGTCTTAGCTTGTAAGGCACGTTCTCACGGTCCTCGCTCTCGTTCTTCCCTAACAAAACATGTTGGACCAACAAGCCCCAGTGATGTCAACACGATGAGAACAAAGCATCGAGCACGATAACCATCATGACGAAGCTCATACGGTACATACGACAAAAAAGAGCACATGGTACGAAGGACTGCAAAAAGGTAAGGAGGGTGGAGCAGATGAACAAAAACAAAAACATACAACAGCGGGGATTCGCTAGTGGTCACCCACCTAACTACTAATCCGCCGGTACACTGCTTGTATATGGCTGAGCGGACGGGAAGCCTAATTTTCAGTGTCCTATGGTCGTATGTGAAAGGATGAGCCGTTGGTAGTGTATATATCGTGGAAGCATAGCTATGTGGTAGGAGTACAGCACAGCAAATTGCTCGGCTTACCAGTATGGATACGGTGGTCCCCTCGGTTTCTACTGGCATAGTGGTAGCCAGTGACCTAGAGTATACGAAAAGGCTGCGTCGGTCCAGGCAACCGTCAATGTCTTCTGTTGTGGTGCTGGTGCTGCTTCGTGTAGAAACGCATCTGTGCTTCGGCTAGTCCGCATCGCAACAACTGAGCGAGGGTCAAGAGCGATACAGGTCTGGGAAGAGCCGCGCTGCTCGAGGTGACGAAAATCAAGCCGGTGTTGAAGATGGAGATGAAGATGAGCATGGGATGAGGAAACCCCTTTGATGGCGCAGCAACCAATGAAACCAGGTATGACGTTTAGCGCGGGAGCTTGGCCGTTGTTACCTTGCAACGTCTCGTCGCAGGCCCGACGTTGCGCAACCCCAACCATACTCCCGAGCTCTGTCCTAACAAGCTCCATTTTCCATCTCATCCCATCCGTCCCCTCCCCAGCCCGTTGCGCGAAGTCGTCAAAGTGCGGTTCCCACACCTCGCCGGTCAATCGTCCGCCATGGATTTCTCAGACATCTTGTGAGTACAGCTGGAGCTGTGGGGAGCTGTCTGCAACTAGGCAGCGGCTTCCGACGGAGGTGTTGAGCACTCGGAGATGTTGAGAGTAGGAGCTAATTCACGATTGTGTAGTCGCATGGTGAATTTCGCCGTTGCGGTATTCGTGGTCCTCGGTGGTATCGCGAAGTTGTTCCCGTTCGACGACTTGTGAGTCTACCTGGCGCATCCATCGTCACCCCAATCCCGTCGCGTCGGCATTCGAGTTCGTAAAACAATTAGACGGCACTTGATGCCTTGACAGGCGAACCGTAATGAGCGCGTGTGGGCTTTGAGGATAGAGGCAGGTTGCATAACCCTGAGGACTGTCGCGAGCTTAGTCCACACACGTCTCGGCACGCGCCCGCATCTTATGAGGGTGTACAAACAGTACGCGAGCTTGGAGCGTTGCATAACAGCGGTTATGCAAGCTCGAGCTGGCAGCGCTATACGAAACATCAGACTACGTTGCATAGGCAAGCGCTGACAGTGCCTAGCTCTCACATCATTCTCGGTGTATACTTGATAATATTCGGTCTTGGTGCGTTCAGCGGTCTTATATTACCATATGTTGCTGACAAACAACAGGAACCGCTCTACTCGAGTTCCAGATTCCCCAGCAAGTGGCACGCTATGCCTCTTTCATGTTCTCTTTCCTCGGCCGCGGCATCTTCTACATCTTCATCGGTTCGGTCATCGTGGGTGAGCGCTGGTTCCGCATTGTGCCAGGCACCATTGTCGGCATAATTGGTGTGGGCTACGCTGCTCTGGAGTTCATTCCTTCCATTGAGCCCCCAGCGAACATGCGGTAAGTTCTCCATACTTCTTGAAAACGTTCTGCGTGTGGTACTAACGACGTTGCAGCGACGCCGACGCTGGCTGGGGTGCCGAGCAAGTCTAAGTTCGCAATCTGTAGACAAGAGGATGGCGGTAGAGGATTCCTCATACAAGAACGCTTGCCTGGTTTTTGTACCTCGGCATAAGACCGTCGTGCGCTTTCTATGTACTCAACCAAGTATCGCATGTTACGGATTGGAGTTGCCCACAGTTACGTCTACGGATGTTAACAAGGTGGTTTGAGTATGTCTTTTTGGATTTCGTTGGTTGGTCCGGTGATCACATCGAGGTTTTGGTTACACGGGTGGAGAACGCCTTGGAAACAGTCGATGTATGATAGGTTATCTGATTCAAACGAGGCTGTAGTCGTCACACGTGTTCGCTTGTCTGTCTAGTGTCCGCAGTGCATGAAGCGAGGACAGACTACCGGTACTTGCATTGCTGCTAGTGTATCGTTTCGGAAAGGACTGCGTTGAGCAATTGTCCAGATCTAGTCGGATGCTGCTGTTGCTGCGATAGTAACGTTGACGCAATGTTGGTTGTATCATCTCAACCCCTTGTGATTGGTGCCAGCTATGCATCAGTGGCGTGCGGAGCAGTAACCATTACAAATCGCTAGTCGTAGGCGAGCCGGATCTTGATCCGCTGACAGCTGGTCTATTGCAAGGCTCAAGTGGAGTCCAAAAGTGATAGAGCCGAGTTTTCCTTTTTCTTGCCGCCGAGCATATGTATCGGAGATAAGGGCGCCCGGCCTGCATCTTAGAATGCATGTACCTGACTGATGGTTGGCTCCGCATGCAAGCACGCGCATGTGTAAAGCCAAAGTCGAATCGTCTTCACTGCTTCTGAACCCGTCTGTTGCCTATGGTCGCCGTGGACGTGCTTTCAGGGTTGGTGCGCTAAATCTCGGCTTAGAATAGCAAAGCCTTGATTGGCCACCGCCTCCCATTCACCGCCTAAGAATTCCAGCTTGTACCGCACCAGCATCGCCAGACCCAGTAGGCACCTTGCGCAGAATTATGACGACGGAGATCCCGAACCCACCTGATATCCTCCCTTGCTAGACCCGTCCTTCTTAAAGTTGTTTGCCAGCCATCCGTGTGCCACACCTCCCAAACATTGTGTACAAAGGCCCGAAGACCCGCATATCACACCAAGTCACGTTAGCGCCTGCTCCAGATTGACCTACATTTCATCGGGTATCAGATCAAGCCGATAGCGAAGTCCGGACATCTATTTGGATCGAGAATTTGCAAATCCCCGGATTGGAGGATTCTATCTGCGAAATTTAGGCAACAGTGTATCACTACAACCTTGAACCCACCTTCTTGAGACACGTATCTTGGATCAATCAAGCGCTGCCCTATGGCACACCCTCCTGGAAGCGGAGGCACGTCTTTGGCTCCGACTCCGACACATCCACATCATTTATCACGGGAAACAAGCAGAGACGAGCTAGAGATGGCTGAGAGCCTGCGACTACTCAATCAGGCCCATGAACACCACAGGCCGAGGACAGAAACTCCATCTCAGGAACAGCACCAGATTCAGGGCCAGGGAGACGAAAGATCCGAGATATACCACTCACTCGAGGATGCGGTGCCCATCTCAGAGCAACCAACGACACCGGCAACTTCAACATCTCTACAGCTGCCGAGTATGAACTATGATGCATCCAACGCGCCTGTCACCGGACAAGTCTGTAGGTACGTTGTCTGAAATTTCACTGTGTGCTTGCCACCAGTCACTTGATTACAGTTGGAACCAGATCTGCAGGGAAGACGCTAACGGACCGAAGCAACTGCAAGACGACACAAACGCCGCTTTGGCGCCGATCTCCAGCTGGAGAAACTGTGTGCAACGCGTGTGGTCTGTACATGAAGGCGCGGAATCAATCACGTCCAGTGAACCTGAAACGGAACACTCAGACTCAGCCGATTATGCCCGTGCAGCAAAGTCCAACGCCGGGCCCAGGTGACGGCAACGGAACGTCACCCGGAAACCTCGCGGCTTCACCCCGAGTTGCAACTTATGTTGCTGCAGACCAGATGACCGCAGGCACATGTCCTGGTGGGGGGCGATGTAATGGTACTGGTGGCCAGCAAGGCTGCAGTGGCTGTCCAGCATTCAACAACCGCGTGTCGAAGACTGCGAAGTTTGCGTTAGCTCAGGCAAATGCAACATCGAGTGACGGTACGAACGGCGCAGACGCTGCGTCCAGTTCAGCGGCAGCAGGTTCTACCAGTGCCATCCCCGCGTGCCAAAATTGTGCAACTACAATCACACCACTGTGGAGACGGGATGATGCTGGTCACATAATATGTAACGCTTGTGGTGAGTTTACATCCACAGGACTGCTTTGCAACTGAACCACGATAGCTAATTCAATCCAAAGGACTCTACTACAAGCTCCATGGAACACATCGTCCTGTCGCAATGAAGAAGCAAGAGATCAAACGTCGGAAACGAGTCGTGCCAGCCGGTGACACTAGCTCTCAAGCCACACCGTCGGTTGCCGATTACTCTCCACCACAGCGTCCGTCCCAAACCCCCGCATTCGAGCATTCCGTTTCCCCGGATCCGTCAACGGCAATTGAGTCTAGGGAAGACTATACGCCGGAGCCACCTAGAGGACCTATCGCTGTCGACTTCACCCATTACTACGGTAAGGCATCAGTCACCTCTAATCCCGCAGCCCTTGTACCCAACATGCAACCCAATGCACCATCGCCCCGGAAACGCAGCCGCAGTGCTACCATGGACCCAGAGGAAACCGCAAACCCGATGCCCCACCGTCCAAACGCGATTTCTTCGATATTGAATCCATCTCAAGCTGACGCTGACGCAAATATCGATCCTTCGCTTTCAGTGCCGTTACGCCCAATTGCTGGCACATCGCCTAATCCAGGAATGTCACAAGAAGAGAAGGCAGCTAGGAGGGAGAGACTGAGGAAGGAGGCAGAAGCTATGCGGCAAGAATTAGCGAGGAGGCAGAAAGAACTAGATGAATTGGAAAATGATTGAGGCGTTACTGCAAACCCAAAGAATATACAACGAAGTACCCATGTTTGGAGAAAAGCAACGGCGTTAAAAGTGGTACTGCTAAGGTGGTGAGAGACGAACTATCATCATATGTATAAGCTTTGGGGTCTTCTTTGACGACCGCCGGCGTTCGATATAATATGTCTCATCCTTGTCCCACGCTCAGGGATACAAGGCGTTTTTCTGGGGGCCAGGGATTACGGATTATGTTTTACGACACACTCTAGCGGATACCAAAATACCAAAATCGCTAAGACAGTGGGCTCGGCACCACAGCCCAACCACAACATTACTCTCGCAATATCCCGGTCTTTGATATCATCTATTCGATTGAATCGGCTAACCCTTCTAGTATGTGTTGTAGTGGGATTTCCAAACTCGGAAGGTGCGACTGGGGCTTCAAGTATGACAGACGATGAGCAGATACAACATCCTCTGACTACAGAGTGAATACCATCACATTCGTTGCATTAACATGACTACTATCTATTCACCTGTACATATCTGGAGACCTGTTCTTGTTGGTTTCCACCTGCCACATTCAAGAATCCTGGACAACAATCAAACACTGAGTCATACGGTGGTGCGGATCGGGTGCGGAACATCTCTGCATCCTTACTGCGGCACTTGGCAAATCACGCAATTATGGTTGTTGGTATCTTCCCTATGTAGCCAAGTGGAACGACAAGGTGTGCATATAGCACACACACATCTTGGTGTGAAGCCGAAGTTTCTGATAAGAACATATGACTAACAATGTCACGTATCATTGAGGAATTCTTACACGCCACTGTCAAATCTGAAATTTCAAAGAAGAGATGATTGTCAAGATCACAAATAGACTAGCAATAGTTCCTTGTTTCGGAAGTCTCTGAACTTCAGTGAACGCCTGCATTAAATTGGTAGAGACAGTAACTTTTTCCTATTTTATCGAGTTGTTGAAGCTTTTTTGCAGTCTAGATGATCAACTGTAGGGGTAATGAACGCGATGCAGACAATAACATTCTACACTTGCTCTAGTAGCATAATCTACAGCTTTTGGTGAGACAGTGCGAGTACTTGCTTCTCGTTTCGTCTCTATTTGCTATCTTGCGAACAGTCATGGACGTCAAACGTAGCCTCCAGTGAAGGAGGAACCGCACCTGGAACTAATCCATCAATTTCATCTATCATATATCGGACAAAACTCCTTCCCGACCAACCGGTTGTTAAGCAAACGTAGATCACCGTTCCACTCCTACCTCTGTGCTACCGTCCGATACTGCTGTTATCAAAATGAAACATTTCTACTGGATTTAGCTATAGATAGCGTCTGTGTAGATATATCCTGACGAGCGGAAGAGTAAGTGCAAACTACGAATCGATCGCACTGAAGTGCTTATATGGCTACCCGGATGATGGAACAGCCTTTGCCAAGGCGCTTATACTGCCCAGTGTCATCTTCTTCGCAGCTGAATTCATTGTTGAAATCTTTCACTAGAACCCCACCCCGTGATTCGACTACGAAATATTTTCGAGTGACGTTATTTGCCGCTACGTAGCTGCAGTTGCATCGGTTGATCGTCCGTCCGGCCTTACGTTTTTAGTACCATCACCCTATGCCTTTGTCTTGGTAGTTCCGGACCAATTCATCCCATAGAGCAGATGAAACAACCGTCCATGAACAAGGAACCTCAACATCGCGACAAGGGGTTGCGAGATTGAGGATGTAGTTACTTATCTATCTGTACGATTCACTCACGCACGGCCACTTACCCAGATATGCACCTTTCGGTCCTTCTCCAATTTGGGCTTACCAGAACTCGTATACATCTCGATTCCTCATTTAGCTCTGTCGCATGCGGCTGCGATCTTCAGGTTCGCAAGGGAAACGACTGGAGATGCTATGTAATCTTCCCCTTGAAGTATGCTCGGGCCGTGCCGCAAAACGACGTTCAACGTGCGTGTAGATCTTTTTTGAATCTAATGAAATACTGAAAGGCAACGAACCTTGGGTCGGCAGATGTCTGACTTGAGGAATGCAAAGTAAACGCTGTACATGTAAACAATATGGTTGCTAAGGTGGATAACGCACATTCGATGGCTTTTCTGGGTATGCAAGATGGGGGTCAGTGTGGAGCAAGGACGGCATGCTCGTGTGTTGTTAGTGGAGTAGTGCGTCCACTCCAAGGGCAGCGTAGTCAAGTAGGAGTCTCAAGACGTCTTGAGAGACTCACCTGTAGGCGATGAAAGATGGTTAGCATGGAGCAAACCTGAGCGTTCCGACTGCGACAGAAAAGGAGTGCCCTCGAAGCCTTCACGAGACCATGACCACAATCCAACCCACCAACGCAAGCAGCAAAGCTAACGGCCGACGTACTTCCACCACCATCTACCAGCATCGTAATTTCAGGTCTTCATCTCACGACCGCTTCATGCCTCCCATCCTATTGGCTGGCGCCAAACACCGCGATTTTACCTGCAATCCACACTCTCCTACCACAATTACCTGAAGCAGCAATAGATCAAGGCATCTTGATCTCGATACATAATTTCGGATCGAAAGATCGTGAGAGAACGGCTTTGTAGGCCGTTCTCCCAATCGGGTCGGCCAACTGGGGTGGTCGACCGATTTGGAATCGCCGATGAGTACAAGTGCTTGTAGTAGTAGCGTTGAAAGTCGAGTCACGCAACACTGAAGAGGGCTGTTGACGTCGTTTGCTTTGTAGACGCATCGCAGACAATTGCAAGTGCTTACTGAACAGACTGAATCAATTCACCTGTCCAGTAATTTTCGCTCGGTTGTCGCGGTAGAAAGTCAATGTAACACGAGTTCAATGTCGTTACTGCACTACCCCTGTCACATAGCTAACGCCAGGGTCCAGATCCCTCCGCGGAGTGCCGATCTGTGTGATGAATGTAAACGTGCTCCCACCTGTTTACAACTGCCCACCATGCCGTTGTATTATTAGTGAAACCCGAGGCATATTCATGAAACGCAACTGTAGCTCTGCAAAGAGCTAGTAGAAGAAGGTTGGATTGAGTCCACGTTACGAGGCCTGGTGGAGGGCGTATAACGTCAGACTTACGAAACTGTGCCTGAACGTGGCCCGCGGGATGTGCCTTCGGCTACGTCTGTACAGGCACGGGCCGAGAATGATAGTCTTGCGTAAACCGAGAGGTTCAGTCTAGAACCTAGCTGCAGTGAGGCCAGGTAAAAATCGAGGAGTTCGTGTCTTGGGCTATGGAACAGGCGTACTGAAGGCACACTTGAAGAAGAGCATACTTTGTATTCTCGGCGACCCAAGAGACAAGAACATGACTAAACCGAGTTCTAAGATTAGAAGAGACTGCTGTCCTCTCACCCATGTCGTAGGAAGCGGTTGCATGCGCTCTCTCGCCACCAATTCTTACTTATCGACTTCACTGTTGTACTCACCAAGGATGGTGAATGACGTGTAAAAGGGCTCGTAACCGCCCCAATACGAAGAAGCCCAGTATTAGATCTGCACGCTTGGCCCAGCTCCATGCGAATCGAGAGTATTGATGCCCGTGAAAGGAGGTAGTCACTGAGAACCTATGCATAGGCGAGCGTTTGTAGGGATTTTGATGGTGATCCGCTATGTCCGCGCACGGATGGGGAACGAGGCGTACGGGGCCAGAAAACCATCTCCGTAGCCTGGTGTAGTGGCCATCTATCGCTTACGGTCAGCGAACGATTTGCTCAAAACTAGAGTGGCAGCCGTGGACTGCATGTTTGTTGCAGAGATTAGCAATACTGCAGGGATGATGAAGCGACCGCATAAGTGGCTTTCCACCCGCAACAACGCGCATGCAAAGGCGTCGGATGCTTGGTAGCGTAGAGCAGCGAGTGAAGGTGCAGGCGAACTGATGTACGGTGAACTGGTCAAACGAGGCTGCCATCCGAACCGACGCGGGCAGGGCGTACTGCCCGTTCGGGGTCGCACTGAATAGGCTAAACGGCAGGGGGTGTGAGTAATTCGTGAATATCCAAACTGTCGGGCCGCCACTTGATTGCAGTTGGACGGGACGGTGAGTATTTCGTAAAATGGCCGCGAGGAGGTGGAATGAGGCGAACGGATCGTCAGGCCGAAGAGGTGAGAATTGGCGAGATGTTGATGTGCGCCGTTTGACGCATTGCGCACGTGTTGCGGATACGGCAGGAACGGCGCATCGGATTCTGGCAAGCTGCCCCAACCCAGCGTTTCACACAAGGGATCCCGATCGACGGCACCTGTGGTGTTCGTCCGGAGAATAGCTCGCTGGAAGTCGGGCCTAATAGAGTCGATGTCACATCGCTGTGAGACGCCCGCGTGCATATGCCGATGTCCACTTACCTTTCTCCTGATCGACTTCCCCTCTTTCTGTCGGGATGTGCTCCCTGAAACGGCCGTGCAGAGGTAGCGCCCTATCTGTGATAATCTACATCCAATGACGGCGCCCGGGCAAGGTTCGCGAGTCGAAACACCACGCGATTATGGCTCCAAGTGGGCGATCACTGCCATTGCGACGCCGCTGGTCGCCGGTGGTTGTGGGTGCAACGCAAAGTGAAGTTGGCATGCATTGTGAGCTGGCAATCTAAAGTGCAGCTGCCAGCTGGACTTTTGCCGTAGTGCTATAGCGAAGGAGAGATGGTTGTGATGGAAGATGAAGGTGCGCTGCGAGTAGAGATGAATTATGTTCATAGAAGGTAGGTAAAGTTAAACGACCCTAAAAGCTGTCAAAAATAAAGAAATCTTTTGACTCCCAGAAGCGTGCTGCATGGTGCCTCTTTGGCGTGCCGACAGGAGGAAATACAGGGTACCGATCAAAATGCCATAAAGAAATCGGTCTAGATAGATGATGAAGGCGAATACGAAGAGCGCCACCAGATAGGAAAGATGGAGTCGATACCAGTAGTAGAAGTAGGGTGTTCGGAGGCGCATCCAGCAGACGTGAATCCGTTACCCCGTAATGCGAACCCAAAGTGACAGTATCGAAGAGAAGGTGTACTGGCAGTACGCAACAGCAGCATCGCGTGTTTTCTTCTGCTGGACCAAGCAGCACCGCCAACGGCCAGGGCGGGTAACCGAACCCAGCGGTGTAGGTATCTCTCTGACAGCGTGCGCGACAACAACGACAACAACGACAGTGGCTTCCATATCCTTACATTACCACGCATCCACAGCATCCCTTCTTCTCCGCCTGGTCGTCCGTGTCGAATGTCGTCTTCTGGGGCCCGTTGCCGTTTGAGCCAGGGGCGCCTGTGTACGAGGACATTTCCTTGTTGTATCTGCGGATTTCTCGGACGATGTCGTAGAAGGCGTTGTCAACGTTGATGCGGGATTTCGCCGAAGTCTCGATGAATTTGCAGCCAAAGTTCCGCGCCAGAGTCTGGCCCTCTGTGCAAGGGTTAGCATAGGGAAAGGGCAAGGGATGGAAGCAGCAGGCAAACGCACCTTGTGTCGACACTTGCCTCTCGCCGTCGAGATCGCACTTGTTGCCGACGACGATCATGGGGAAGTAATCCTTGTCCTTTACTCTCAGGATTTGTTGCTGGAACGTCATAATCTCCTCGAAGCTCTGCCTGTCGGTTATCGAGTAGACGAGCAGGAAGCCCTCTCCTGTGCGCATGTACTGCTCGCGCATGGCCGAGTACTCCTCCTGTCCCGCTGTATCGAGCACATCGAGCAGGGCGACCTCGTCGTCAATGACACACTGCTTGCGGTACGAATCTGGGGGGCGTGAGTTAGCTTGCTGGCGCGCGAAATACGACAGGTCGGAAGTGCTTACCCTCGATGGTCGGGTCGTACTCGTCTACGAAGTGGCTCTGGATCAGCTGGATAGTCAAACACGACTTTCCAACTCCACCGCCGCCGACTACCACCAACTTGTATTCTCGGAGAAACTGGCGCGGGTTAGCAGGGGCGCAGGCGGCGCGGGCGATGGACGGGCGCCTACCTTTGATGCCATTGTGAATGTGAGGAATAGATGCCGGACGAAGCTGCAGTTCGCAGGCAATGGGCGTGGTGTATTAGGGTATAGGGTATAGGTAGGCAGGTAGGTAGACACGCAAGTAGGCAGGGAGGGAGCGAGGGAGGCGATCAAGGGAGCGAGGCCGTCGTGTTGTGGCGATGCGACGCGCGCTGTCAGGGCGTTTGATGCAAAGGCCGGCGGTGACGGTCGGGTCGGGATTAGCAGCAGCGAGGGAAATGGGCCAGGAGAGCTCGTCGCGATAGTAGAAGAGGACGGGAGAGCACTGAGCAGAGCAGGATGATCTCGGTAGCAAAAACGACCTTCTAGCTTCGTCTGGGGCCTTGAAGGAGGATGGGCTAGGACATGGGCTTGGGCGCGGCTTTAGCGCTAATGTAGCCGTGCATAGGCCTGCCTTCCAACCAAAAGAGGAGCAGAGCGAGCCACCCGTCTCCACCACTATGGCGTCGTCTGCAAGGTGAATAGGCTTGGGCGTTTGCCTGCGTCGTGCGCGTCTCCCTATTTGTTGCCCGTCCAAGTGCATGCATTCCATCTGACGCCTTCCGCATCTCTTCACCCCCGGGCCAAAAACAAAGCCCCCTCCCCACCCCCCAGCAGAGAGAGAGAGAGTCCACTCCTAAAAGCGGCGGCACTCGACATACAACACCGCATGGATGGCCTGCCTCCGACGCTTCCATGCGATCCCAGCGCCCGACGCCATGAGGCACGGAGTACCTGATGCCCTCCTACGAACCACTACGGCGCACGAGGCATGCGACGACTGTTACCAAGCTTGAGGCGGGCGTAGAAAAACATTGTTCCTCGACCGACCGACTCGCAGAGCCCGTCGCGTCCGCGCTTGCGCTCTTGTAGTCACTCCAATTGAATCCTCTCCTGTGCATGTGACTATCCGACCATGCGGGTGCTTCATCTCTCGCACACACAGAGCATGCTGCTGCTGCTTGCTTGGGGAGCGTCACACGGGCGGGGTCGGCGGCTTATCCATCGTCATGCACGCGAGCCTTGCCCCGAGAACGACGTTGTCAAGGTAATCATGACACCTAATTCCATTGACAGCTTGAAAAGCAAATCTCCTGTACCGCACAAAATCTGCCCTCGATCTATCCGTCGTATCAGGGTCCAGCGTGAGCGCCCAGCCCTGGTGGCACGCGCTTAGGCTGCTTCTCGAACATTTGTAGAAGCTTGCCGCATGGTTCGCTGACACCCGTCTGTCCTAACATCATCTTCACAGGCATTCCATTCTGACACACGGTCCCTGCATCTCGACACTCGATATATGTATATATGTATATTTACATTGACCGACTGCGGCACGTCTGCAATGTCAGCCTACCCTCTACCACCCCCTATGAGTCCTTGTCAGACGTCTCTCCGTCGTCCTCGCCTTCTACAGCTACGCGCCTCCCCTGAACAGCCTTCTCTACTTCAGGAACTAAGCTCTCCATGAAGTCGCGATCGCGTCCAACTAGCGTCACAGTATTGTGGTCCTTTCCCCATCGTGGGTAGCTTCCCACCTTGACCCCTTTTGGCTCCGCCTTGGCAGCGAGCTCGGTCAGATATCCAGCAACGGCGCTCTCGGCCATCGGAGTCGAGATGAGGATCCGCAACACGCCTTTACCCTCTGGATCCGTCAATCTAGGTAGGATGCGGGGCTTTAGTCCGTCTAGCATCGCTTCAAAGAGGCGAGGCACTCCGGGCAGAATGTGCACGTTACCGTTCACGACGCTAACGGGAACCCAAAGCGACTCGCTGACGAAAATAACCTGATCTTCGTCTGGCTTGGATTCATCAATAGGTAGTTCAACCATGCGCTTCTTTGCTGTAAGCGCTGGAGACTCGACGTTCCAGTCAAAGTTTGGCTGAGACTTGTGCGGCTTCGAGAGGCGCTTCATACGCTCAAACGCCGCATCGTGTAACTTCAACGGCAGGCCAAAGGCCTTGGCTATTGACTGGTAAGTGATGTCGTCGTGACTAGACATCCGTTAGTTCAGCGGCTGGGTGGTGTAGCGAGTATGCTGCACGCACGTAGGACCAATTCCGCCACTCGTCACCACCATGTCGTAGTTCTTGGACATGCGTTGCACGGCTTCTACAATCTCGCCTTCATCATCTGCAATGACTTCGATGCGGCGCAAGTTGATGCCCAATGAGAAGCAGAATTTGGCAAAGTACGCCTGTGAAACATTAGTCCATGTACCACAACTTTAAAGTGGTATAGTCTACCGAGTTTGTATCGACTGTCTATGGTTCACGTCAGCTGTCAGACTAAGGATTGATCTACATGGACACTGAATACCTTGCCTCCAAGGACTTCGTCACCGATAATCAAACAACCTGCCGTGTGTATCAAGCTCTTTTGCTGTGTCGAAGCCATGACTGATGACGTTATCGATGGGCGGAACGAAACGGCGGAACGATGCGCAAAGTTGGGTATTGGACGAGACAAGTGTCTGGCAACCTGATTCAGTCGTCCGAACATGGATCAGGAGAAGTAACTCAGGGGAAAGAGGGTATGAGTAGCTAGGTGCATGAGAAGAAAAGGCTTCTACAAAGCTGAGGGTGTATGGACATGACGGTAGTGCATTAGCTAGCGCCATCCGTCCAGCTCAGGAACCCCCGCCAACAGACCCCACTAACGCGTGCCGTCCGTCAGACTTCCTCAGCCCTACACCACGTCCCCGAGCTTCGTCAAACACCCGTTGCGAACCCAAGTCTTCCCATCATTGTTCGCCATCATGGCAAGTGCCGCCTTCGTCTTACGCGCGTCATATCCACCGGTTCGCTAATACCTCGGCCCAGAGTTCGGAGGCACGACTGTACACCTTCTCCGATGAGACCAAAACCAAGCTACGCAAGTTCCGTCTAGGCACCTCGCGCGCCAAAGATCCCCAGGCCGTCATCTGTTCGTATACCTGCTGCCTTTGCCGCAGTCGTTCCTGCCACTGCCCGCCATGGGCCCACATTATGCAATGGCGCTGACGCCCATGCGCGCCAGACGAGATCGATAAGAAGACGCTCGAAGTACGCCAGGCAGACGACGATGTCTACTCCGACGTCCAGAGCCTCGCCGACGAGCTGCCCGACCATGCCCCGCGATTTGTGCTCTTGAGCTACCCGTTGACCCTCGTACGCTATGCCGACCATACACCGTGAGAGAGAGGCTGAGACTTGACAGGACTCGGGACGATTATCGGTGCCATACGTCATGCTATACTACCTGCCCATAACATGCAACAGCGAGGTGAAGATGCTGTACGCCGGTGCAAAGGAGCTGATGCGCAATACCAGCGAGGTCAACAGGATCATCGAGATCGACAGTGCTGAAGACCTGGAAGAGATCGAGAAACTGCTCAAGGATGTCTAGAGTGGGAGCAGATAACGACACGATGAGCAACGGCCGACTATGATGCATTGTGCGCCCACTACAATGACAATATCAACACATGGCACATCTATACAAAATTCCACACAGGGTCGATTCTACCAGCAGCCTACTGTCATCCCATCACACATGCGTCATTCCTTCTTAACGGCCCCTGCCGTTGCTGCGTGCCGCCTAACCCTCTTATAGCCGAAGTTTCCGCAAGGCTGGTCCCCACGCAACTGCGACGTTCACGTAAAGCAGCATCGAAAATGTGTGGATCGTGGGCCCAATCCTACGCGCGCAGTGATCATGCAAAGCATCCGTTATCGAATTCCTGACCATTAGCAACGGCACTCCCTATAGCTGCCATCCTCCCTCACGCCACACGTGCACGCTCCTACCCTTACCTCATTGGCCGGCACCCCCATTTTCCTACAAATTACATGTGGACCCCCACGATACCCAACCATGGCAAAAGAAAATCTCCGAGGCGCACACCACGCTGCAATGTCTGTATACGGCAGGTACGCTGACCCTTTTGATAAACCTTCAACATGTATGATTGCGGCACGTTTTCGCAAGTAGGGATAATGACTTGTGTACCCCTGTCCCCGCGGGTTTTTGGAGGGTCTCTCGCTTGCACCGGAGTTGGGAGATGGGAACACGGAAATGCTACTGCTTTCTGCAGTGATCGGCGGAGGGGAGTTGACTCGGTAAATTGTTAAGAGGACGTGAGTTGAAGAAAACGTTATTTGAAATGAACTTTGCACGGATATTGCGATACAAGACGCGCGTTGGGCTCCGAGCATCATGAGAATCGGGTCCGGGAAGCGATAATCTCTCTAAAGGGACCGATTTCTTTCACATGTTGAGTGGTGAGTCACATGGTAGGGCTTTTCGACCATGGGGTTTGTGCTTGTATGCGTTTGACTTGTCCCATGCGACGGTAGAAGCGCACCCTCCCCTTTACCAACATCATAAGGGGAATCGTGATTCCAACTCAAGTAGGTTGGATCCCTTCACGAGCAATTTCCAACGCTAGCTTTCTTCTTATCGCCAGCAATATTTTCTTCCAAACCTGAGTATCCAGTAGTACCTTTCTCCTTGTCTTCGACACAAACAACCTCAATTATATCGTAAGGCCACGACGCGTCTCTCCCAAACTTGGAGACAACATCGCGTCTGAAGAGTCGTTTCAGTGCTGTTTGCGGTTAGGGTAGTCGCGTAGAGTAGTCGTAAAGACTGATGTATAAGAATCCGGAGGCACGTTCAGGAGCGGTTGAGTTGACAACTCGCCGAAACACCAGCAGCAGGATTAACAAGCACCCCTTATAGTGGTAGTGGGTCGCCGGAGGCAGTACAGCTGCACGATGAACCAAAGGCGTTCTATTCTTCCATTGTTTCTGCTCACCAGTATCGAACTGAAAAAACATTGCTTCTATACAGTCTGATAGGGCGCAACAACAATGCTATCGTCCCTCCTCAATCTACTTATACTGCCCACTTGCTGCGCTTCCGGAGACTCGGTCCGAAGCGGTATAGTACATACGGAATGGGCAGCGCGAGAACGCTAATGATACCAAGCAAAGTTAAGGTCCAGTGAGTCCCCAGGTTTCTGTACATGGGAATGCCGACAACTGTCATGCCACCAGCTGCAACGTATCTGACCAAGGCGACAAATGTCAAGGCTGATGCTGCATATGCTTCGTAACTGTCAATGATGTACATGTATGCTGACATAAAGATACAAATGTTGCTAAAGCCGACAAGCAATGATGCTGCCAAGGGTGACCATATTGAAATGGAAGCCTATCATTTGTTAGACTTGTATATACAGCACGACCGGAGGACGCGTATGGTATACTTACATAGTCAGTCCAACCCATCCAGAAGAGTCCGATAGGTAATGTAGGCGCTCCAATCATGGCAAAGAACAATCTCGACTCGCGATGTATAGCCTTGCCAGATCCATCGTCTCCGTCTTCCTCAAGTTGTCGCACAGTCTTGTGGTAGGCTATTGGAACAAGGAGCGCCGAAAGGGCGATTCCGACGAACAATCCAACAAAGCAGATATTGGATAGTCCCTCATTTATACCAAAAGTTTCCGCAAAGATGTAGGGGTAACTGAAAGAAAGTCAGCGATTCACGCCCTACGCCGCAACCTGAAACATTCAAGAGGCACATACCCGTCTAGAAACGTAAACAAAATGATGTAAACAATCATCAAATAAAGTGTAAAGGCCATTACAATCGGCTGTGTGCAGAGAAGAAAAGGCCGAGTGAAAGACCTAGACAAGAGCTCACCGATGGAGCCATGCGATGCTTCAGTCGCGGTCTTGAACTGTTGATTGCCTGTAAGTTTCCGGAAGTGCTGTGCTTTATAGTGCAGTAGGCGAGGTGCGAATGACTCTCTTTTGCAGAGCAAGATAAGTGTGAACGTAACTCCGATCAGAATAAGGGTTATCCATTCCGTCCATCTCCAGTTGATGTCTTGCTCGTAGCCAATGTATGCACCTATCACAGGACCTGTTTTGCATTTGGTTAGTAAAACCAACAAGGAGCAGATCGTATTCATAGGGATAATACGAGCATAATAAACTTACCAAGAACTGGTCCACCAAATGCGGGTATCGCAAACAGTGGGAAGGCGAATGTCTTCTCCACTGGACTCCACAGATCACCCACGGAGCCACCTGCAACCGTCAAGGGAGTACTCGCTGAGAACCCAGCTAGGAATCGAAAGACAATCTGAGCGCCAAAGTTTGGTGCTAGCGCAGACCCAAGCGTCCAGCAGGCAAAAACGAAAAGGGAGCCAAGATAGACAGGATATCTTCCCAGAAGCTCAGAAAGGGGAGATAGGAGCAAGGCACCAAAGCCAAACCCTACCAAGAAAAGCGCAGTGGCCAATGATTCCGCTACTTCTGACACTCCAAAGTCGGCAGTCGCTCTAGTGAGCACAGCAGAGTCGATAGAAGATGCAAGGGTCGCAACGAAAGCGACGAGGCATACGAGTAGTGTCGCAAAGATACGGTGTAGGGTCGAGAAGTGCTTGGGGTTGAATGGGTCATCGGGTCCGCTCCAGTCAACCTGGTAATAGAGCTGGCTGTTACCATCTTCCCTCAACGTGATACCTGGGATCCGTGTGTACGGTTCACCTTTGTTCGGCTTACCGGGTGACTCCAAATCTCCCAATTCGTGTGCTCCGTCGGAAAAGCGTGCTGACAATGGATCTGGAACTTCAGTTACACGTTGTAGCTCTTCCTTCACATGTCGCTGTATAGCTCTGTACTGTAAGAAGAATGCCATCGAGGAAAGGGAAATGGCAAGCAATGCAGAGATGAGGTCAGGAGATGATGTCGCAGACTTTCAGAAATGTAAGAAATTGTGATGAGCTTCTTCTCCGTGACGTCCCCGAGCCATCATCGGATATTAAGAGTCTCCGATACATAACCGAACGCTATGCTTTAAAACTGGAACTTTTTGAATGCTTGTGACGGGAGATGCGACGGTGGGTCAAAGCTAGAGAGTTTTCGATCTACCGATGGCTGGCGCCTTGCTCCCCGAGACCGCGCTTTCCCCAAGAGAGCGCCGCAATTGACGTATATGTTCGGAAATAAATCTTGACGTAGCGAACTGGAAAGATAGGCGGCAAATAGCTTATCATGTAGTTGACTCAAGAAAGGTAAAACTATGCATATCAAGAATCGTATCTCTGTGCACATGCTGCTTTCTAAGCTCTGGCGCTCTAGAAAGAACACCACAAGGAAGGCGGCTCCCGCTCCACACTCTAATCTGCGTGTGAGAAAGAGGAACGCAACGTTCCAAGAGACTTTTCAAACTCATCGCCCATTTTAATTTCGCCTTCGGTATTTTCGATACTCATCGGACAACGAAGTCTCGTCCGTGGTGGCGGACATAAAGTGCGAAAACCCCGAGTGCGGCTGCGACCGTGAGGGTATCGGTGGCCGCGGAGCGGGTGGGTAAGGCAACGTGATTTTATCGGCGACTTCCTTTTTGTCAGCTCTGACCATCGCCTTTACATCCTCAGAATCGAATTCATCGTCATCATCCAGAGCCCTTGTTGTGATATATACATGCTATGCTCCTTGCCTATGGTTACGTCATCGTCTTTCGACACATCTCTTTCGGCCTTTGCAAGGCCTACAATATCTTCTATTCTATTCTTTCCCGGCTCATCAAGCTAAACACGTATCTGCTTGAATGCCGCTAAACTGTTTGTATTTTTTCTCCCGGGTCGAATCGCATGCCTGTTCAGCCTTGGACCTCTGGTGGTCTGCTTTATCCCTATCGTCAAGGGCGCAAGCCATGAGCGCGCAACGTTCGATGACGTAGTAAGGGAGTTTAGGGAGCATATCAGTAAAGATGCGACGCACAGCCGCAGTAGATACGATGTGCAACTCATATTAGAAGACTTTCACTATCGAGATGTACTTTCCAAACTCTTCATTGAACATGAACATTACGGCTAGATGACATGTGTCATATCTCGTTGCTTGGAAGAGAGTTCGTTATGATAGTTGCGAAGAGATGAACAAGCGCGAGAGCGTGCAGATTTTGGTATGGTGCGAACAAAAGGGGCTGGTTCGAGAACATATCGTGCAACGGGCGGCTATCTGCGTGTTCGTATAACACGACCTAGCGGGATTATCTAACCAACACATTACGTCTCGTTGTTAAGTTTGATGCCCTACTCAGGCTACGTGGCGCTATACACAGCTCGTGGAGCTCATCTTCACTAGTCTCGGGCTCGTATAGATCCAACAACGAAATCCAATTCGGAGTCCAGATCGCAAGATCAGGCTCTTTCGGCATTCTCAGTCTTCGCCGCGGCGTACTCAGCGTTAGACTGGAAGCCACCTTCAGGAAGCTTGTCAAGCATATCGTTCTCCTTGTCCAATGTTCTGAAGGTCCAGGCGAAACCCACCCAACCGAGGAATGTCAAGATGGCAATACTCATGTACAGCCATACAAGGAGTGGGTCACCAGCCAATGGTACGAAGGCTTGGGCAATGGCAGAAGAGAAGGCATGGGTAAACCAAAACATGCCTGTAACCAACGAGCGCATATTCTTCGGTGCTTTTGTGTACGCGTACTGCAAGGTTGGAGATCCGAAGTCAGCACATGCCTCGAATGCACATCATACACTCTAGGTCTTACCTCTAATCCAGTGATCGATGCGAAGATCTCCGAAAATGCAATGAGGATATAGGCTGGAACCTGAGTCCAGACCGAAAGGTCGGGTGGCTGGTCGCAATCTGTTGGAAATTCTCCACATGGCGACTTTTGGTAGATAAAGTGCTGAATGACTGCCGCAACAACCATGGAGAGCATGGCACAGGCGAAACCGGCTTGGATCTTCTTCAAGGGAGTGAAATTGATACCCCAGTGAGCAAGTCTTGGATAAATAATTTTGTCGAAGATCGGGATGGAAATGAGCAGCGTGAACGGATTCTTTAGTATACGGAGTCAGTATGTGTCTGCTGATACGAAATTCATACGTCGGAGTTCTTACCAGATTGTGCACTACATCGTTTGGTACACCGTTAAGTTTCATAGTAGACGCCTGTGAAACTAGGTTGCTAGTCCTTGAAGAGGGTCAGCGCCGGTTTGGCTCATATCTCAGACAGTATCGAGACTCACATCTGGCCATAAGGCAGCCAGAAGATCGGCAACCAGAAGAATACTTGACATGCTTTGATGCCACGTCGAACTTCCTCCACCCACGCATCATCGAAGGTCATCCATGCTGGTTTGTTTGCGATCTTGCTTGGCTTCGCAGCATCCCAGATGTTTGGATCAGAAAGGTTCTTCCACGTTCGTACAGGATTGAGCGAGAAGCGCCCTTTCAGAACCAAGCCATACGTTCTCATTGACTTGACAAGCACGTCACCCTGCGGAGGCTTCTTGACATAATGCTTACTGAAAGCAAGCATCAGAAGTGGGCAGAGGGCGAAGAGAATGGTTGGCAATGTGAAAGAAAGCCAAAACCCGACGTATTTCTCCGCGTACACTGCATCGGAGGTGAGCTTCTAGACAACGTACAATGAATTAATAAACTGCTTACCCATGGAAACTTGACCGACAAGTGCTCCAACGTTGATCAGAAGGTAGTAGCGCATGTAAACTCGGGAGTAGGTGATCCCTGGATCGACGATGACTCGTTCTCCGTTTGGTTCGGTGCGAATGAAAGCTCGCGGGTGGCTGGCCTCGTACTGCTCCGCAATCAATGGAGATATGCAGCACTTGAAGAAGCCCCTATATTTGACGAAGTCAGTATGTATCTTATAAGTACTCGTTATAGTGAGACTTACACGCCGGTTCCAAACAAGATCAATCCTAGGATGAATGAGGCAAGAGCTCCTTCGGGGTTTGGACCCATAACTTGAGGGATCGCGGCGATGATGATCAAGACATGTCCGAGGGTTGCGACTCCAATCGCAAAATAGATCGTTTTGAATTTTCCCCAGTATTCATCTGCAACCCATCCGCCTAGAGAAAGGATTTAGTACGATGTTTGCCCTTCGACACAGAGCATACTAACCGACTAGGGGCATGATGTAGGAGAAGAAGGAGTTGAATTGGACGAGGCCAGTACTAGCGCGCTGGCCCATTCCAAGTGCACCAGGCTGCCCATCACCTGCAGCGCCTGCTTCCGGGAAAGGTCCTGAAGTAGGCAGGTCTCTCTGAATGAAGTTGACAAATACCGCGGTGGTTCCGTAGTAGGCAAAACGCTCACACATCTCAACAATACCAATGATGTAGACTAATAGTAGTTTCGGACGTTAGCACATGCTACACAAAGCCTCGTAAAGAAAATGCGCGTACTCATCCAGTTGACTTTGCCATATACGCGGCGGAGCTGTTGCCAGTCTTCATCGGTAGGGTATTGCTCGCCATTAGGGCCAAGAAGGCTCTCAGAAGTCGACACAAACTTGTCTTGCTTTTCCAGACTCACACTGCCCCTTGTGTTGTTGTGAGGGGCGTGCACATTTGCCAGAGCGGCATCAACTATCTCCAGGTTGGCGCCTGTAGACATGGCGACAAGTGAGAATACGATAGAGCTGTCCGGGTCACTGTTAGATACTCATTATATAAGTCTCTACGCCTTATTCCTTTCGTTTTCGAGCTGCCTCATTCAGCAAAGTCGTGGAACCGTATTCCCATTCACGACGTTCTCGGCACCAAACAACCCTTCCACTACCCTGATCGCCCAGAGATAATCTTCTCTGGACGACGTTCGGTACTCGCTCGAATTTCATCCTGCTTTCTTGGATTTCTTGGGTATCCGGATATGCGGTTGGCGCCGAGCGATACTAAGCCTGCGCCATTCTTGAACGTTTGCAACCTGACCTTGGCAAGCACCACTTCGCCAGGCCAAGCACGTAATATCCAATGAAACGTGTCAAAGAGATGTAGAGGGGCTGTTGGCCACCTGATAGCAATCCAAGGCTGTAAAAGATCCAAGATCTGACAATATCTTGACATCCCTACTCTATACCGCGACCTTCCTCATCAAGCAATGTGGCAACCCTTGCGCAGAAGATACAAGTCGCGTGCGCATTGCCCAAGAAAATGCGAAAGAGTATCTTTACCCAGGCCCCACCCCTGAATGTGTAAGAGATCATTGGGTATCGTCGCAGTAGACTCTCAGTGAACACTCAACGCTGGTGAAGTAGGCAAGATTGTCATTCTCATATATCTGACATGAACAAACGCTATACCATGGACAGGTATGAAGCCAGATGCAGAAAGGAAAAAAGGTTCCATAGCAGCTTTGAGGGTCGAGAATGAAGGACGAAGCAAGTCGCACCCTCAGCCTGTGAGCGCCAAGCACACCCCGCTCAGCTAAGCAGCTTTTGACTGGTGTAAACTTCTCTCACCCGCCCACCTGTACAGCGACTCAAAAGCATTTGCAACTTCACCTACACGGTACTCGCGCAAATTTCCCAGTATGAGATGGCCATCAAGACTGCTCTCGAGCTATTGCAACCACCTTCGCCTTCCACCACATAGACACGGTGAAGACCTAGGCCCACGTTGCTGACGGTTGGCAAACCTACGAAACATGGTGTACGCCTAGAAATGCTTTTTTGGTAGATAACAGTTGCTTCCGGTGTTGACTACATCAAGCTGTTTGCGTCGTTACTGATAATCGTAGTCCAGACATACCGAGATACCCGGGCGTCCTACCGCACCTGCATCCGCCCCTCCACCCCTCTGCTGTCGCCACTACGATCCTTTCAAATCCGAGCGATAAGCGAGAAGCTCCTCTTCAGTTCTCCGCAGCTTCTCTCTTTCAGATTCTAGTCGTCTTCTTCGCTGATCGTTCGAGCCCTTCTGCGAATCCTTCTCTCTATCATAAGCCAAAGGGTGGTTCACCAGTAATCGGATCTTCCAGTCTTCGAATAACACGTCTTTCGCGACTCTTTTATTCCATAGCAGTGCGTTCACTACGTTCTGCAAACGTTGTGCGCATGTCGCATCAGCATCAACTTCGAGGCCTCGGTGAGGTTTTAGCGCTTTATTGAATTGCGATGGTCCTCGGAAGCCATTCTTGCACCGGTCGATCAACGCTAGGAAGATCTCACGACATGTTGCTTCGAGGAGTAGGGAGTCGTACGCTTCCGGACGAAATAACTTGGCTGCGCTCGAGTCTGCGGGATCTTTGATGTTCTCGAGATTGACCATGGCTAGGACAAGCTTCCGTACCCAAAACTCGGCATGTTGCTCTGCATCTATGATAGAACTATCAAAGTGAGGATCGACTTGAGGCGCTCGCTGTACTCTCCGCCTGTACTCTCGAGCGTTATCCCATCGGCTGCTGGTAGCAGGTGCCGGTATAGTATAACGGACATTTTCAGTATTTTGAATGAGTGGTGAGTACATGGCGGCTAGGTGTAGACTTGGGTAAGACGGCAGAAGACGGAGTTGACGACGTCCCCTTTTCGTAGGTCCAAAAGACATGCATCAGGGTACAAGCAACTTGTGAATACTAAAATGGAACATTCAGCGTCTGCCGGTCTTTGAAAGCTCAGCCGCTGGCGCTTAGACTCGGAACAAGCGCATAATGTCAGGATGTGACAGATTCTTCATATTGATGGTCATACCTAGCGAACCGTTGTTCAGGTATTGACAGCATTGCAGTAAAGTGAATCTGCTAGATCGGGCGCCTGCAAGTCGCGTTACTTTATTCACAGTAATGGATTGCTTTGTCTACACCATGAGCATGTTAGGCTTTCACGATGCCTTTACTGTGCTACGTCACCTTACGATACATCTAGTCTCCACTACCAAGTTGTTATTCAACCAGACAAGCAATCGTCCAGCCTTAACTCAGCAGATTCGTAGGTCGAATCTGTAGCTTTCATCACTGCAAAACAGTGACAGGTTATTTGAGTAAGTCACACAGGTCATGGATTCAATCCACACGACATCAGCAGCGAGAGTTTCATCTCCTTTGTCACGTCCTAGTACGACCTCGCGGATGAAGTGCTCAAATAATTCTTCGCCCGTATACACACCACCAAGGCCGCGACCATCGCCACCGTTCTCTGATATCACAAGGCCGACTGTGTGCACAAACCGATATCCATGGAATGATAGTCCTGAAGATGAAACTGGCCCACAAAGTCAGTTTGGAACTGCTGTGGAGAACATCATCAGCCAGCCACAACCATTGTCATACACATACGATACTTTCATGTGCGACATGAGGTCTACGGAACAACAGCATCCCACCGACATGCCCGACCATAACAAGTATGTTAAGTCAATACTCGCTGGGAGTAGAAGAGATCAGGACGTCCTTCAATCACCGCCATATCCGATACACGGTCAATACATTGAAGGACCGTCAGCAGGTGCTATGCATAACAATAAACGCAGCATCATACGTCGGCCGACAACAGAAGACTATCTCCGATCAGACCACCCACTACCCGCACCACCACCCGAGTATGATTCTGATCAAGACCTTCCTGTCATCGAGCCGGATTCCTATCTCCCTGAAAACTTTTACGATGAATATGAACCGCAGCAAGTCGATACACAGTTTCAAGAATCATGTCTGACCGTTCCGGAACGACACTCCGCAGCTGCCAATGCTCTGACCCACCCTAAATCCGCAATTAAGCCAAATTACAAACATTCACAACCCGACATCATCTCCAACTCGCACGTGCCTGTTCTTGCATACGAGCCAACTATGCCTGAACACTACGGCACACCTGAGCGTGTACCAACCATTAGCGTTGACATGTACCAGCCAGCTCTCGGCGGCTTGCAGATGGTCTCAGGTATGCAACGTAGTGATTCAAAGCGGGATCGCGTCAGGCGCTGGATGAAAGGTCACAACCCCTTTCGTCGGGGCCGAGAGTTTGGGCGCCAGCAGAAAGACCAATGAAGAACGCTGGCTAACAAGGAAACTGCATTCGAACAACTGATATGGTTTGGCAATTATTGAGACTGCGGAGAATTAAAAGTTGAACAGCAGCGCGAGATGCGTCGAAGAAGATGCTAGTGCAAAAGCGCCATACCATGTACATACGACCAGTGTCTTCGCACACCACAACCCCTTCTGTATTTCGGGTCGAACCAGGCTCGAAAACAACAGAAAGATCAAGAAGACCGAACGATAATGTATTTACATGAATACAAGTTGCAAAAACGATGAAGTATCCAGTGGTGTTCCCACGACCTGATACGACCCCACCAGCATCATGAATTCGCCTTCTTCTTTGACCCAAACTCTGAAACCTCACCTTCCAGTTCCATATGCACAAATACAAGCATGCATCATGCGATCACACCCGATCCTGAAAGTAGCGATATGCTCCCCACTGGAATCCCCGAACCCAATTTAGCGTCAAATCTTACAATGCCACCGTTCACTTTGCCTAGGCTACAGCGTGTGCGGCTGAATAGCCGTTACGCACATAAATGACATTGACATAAGCATTACTAACACTAGTGCTGTGATCGCATGCAAGAAGGCCAAACATCATTCACTCGCTGTTTCTCGTGAATATAAGCATTGTTCATTGAAACATCCGACACATTGTTCTCGCTTGTAGAAAGATCAAGATGCCGTTCGGACCCTTCGCCTTGCAATGGCGCGCGCCAAATCCCAACCCACCGCCTCCCACACGAGTGCCAGATGGTATAAGAAGAACCGACATCTCAACCCCGTCCGGTTCCCTCGAGCTCCTTTCAGCCCTCCCTCGATCCCCGTCCACCAAACCACCCCTTTTCTTCGCCCATGGCGGCTTCGGCTGCGCCGCTATCTGGATTTCATATATGCTCTTCTTCTCATCTCGTGGATATCCTTGCTATGCTGTGAGCTATCGTGGACATGGTGGCAGCTGGTATCCTGGCTTCTGGAAGATGTATTTCACAAGTCGAGGTTGCATTGCAGAAGACCTTGTAGCAGGCGTTAAGGAAGCCGAGAGACTCGAGGGTGAGCGGAGAAAAGTTGCGGAGAAGATTAGTGTCGTGTTGATCGCGCATTCGGCGGGTGGAGCACTGAGCCAGTGGGTGCTTAGCAGAGGGTTGTTGAGGGTCCAGGGTTTCTGTATGTTTGCTGCGGTACCAGGATTCGGATCGTAAGTCCATCTCTGCGCTGGTGTAACTTGTGGGTACTGACTGGAAAACAGGTGGACATGCTATAAATTCTGGGCTCTTTCTGCGCCGCTGAACTTGCTCTACCGTTTCATGCACCCAAGATACGTTTTAGCGACAACGAAGCAGGTTCATGACGCCTTCTTCTCACCCTCAACACCGACTTCCGTCGTCAAAGATCTGGAACGCCTTCTCAGCCCCTACGAATCTATGGGCTGGCCGATGCAAGCACTCTTCCCTTTTGTGACTGGACCAGACGTACTCAAGTCTATTACAGGATGGAAGTTGCAACATTCGACTAACGAAGATGGAAGCGGAACTATTGTTATGCCACGATTTTTGGTTCTAGCGGAAGAGTTAGACGTCCTCTGCACACCATCAGTATTACTTGATGCAGCGAAACGTTACCGTGCTGCGTTGCGCGATTGCGTCAAATCTGGAAAATTAGATGGTATCAGCAAGTATGATGTGCGCGTCATGGAAAACGGTGATGAAGAACGGGGCGGTGTTGTATTCAAAGTTGTGAAAGGGTTAGCGCATCATTTGCAGAATCATATTGAGTGGGAAAGAGGTGCGGAAGAGGTTTGGGCATGGATTAAGAGCTTGTGAATCTTCAGTTTTCTTTTCCGAATGCATGCGCATCGCATACCGCTCAGAATGCTGTCGAATTCACTCTCTCTTCAAACAGACTGCAAACGAGGTTTCCAGTGCGCTATTGCCGATGCCACCACGCCAGTGTCAGAATGGTTAACAATGTATCGACTTTTTGTTTTCTTGAGCAGGCGCGCGAGTCAATCATTGAGCAAGTCCAAGTTGGGTTTGTGACATGTGAGAATGTAGCGGTTGGTATTTGAAAAACGTTATCATAATTCCATTCGGCCACCTGCTGCCCATGATTTGACCCTCAACAAAACAGTATCCCTCTATTCAATGTCCAAGCCTAATCTGGTGCTGGATGCGATCGTCTGTATTTGCGGGGCGGCTTCGATTGTGCGCTCTATGCATCGATGTTGTTCTGGATAGCGGTCTCGAGAGCCTTGGGGTTGGCGCCAACGACCTCGGCGACCTTGGTTCCGTTCTTGAAAAGGATGAAGGTAGGCATGGCGCGGATACCGAGGTCACCTGCAACGTCGGAGGCTTCGTCGACGTCGAGCTTGTAGAAGCGCGCGTTGGGGTACTTCTCAGAGAACCTTGCGAACGGTTAGCGGCGGGTGGTTTTCACGGCAGGGCAGAACTTACTTGACGACCTGGGGAGCGATCACTTTACAAGGGCCGCACCATGTCGCGAAGCAGTCGACGACCATGAGGCTGTCCTTGACTGCCATGACCTCCTCGAACTGCTCCTTGCTACAATGCCGTCACGTTAGTACATGTTCAGCGGATATGACGTCGTGCATCGCATGTGAGATGCGACAGCAAGTCAACTTACTTCTTGAGGTTGTGTACGCCCTTGTGGTCTTCGCTCATTTTGGCGGTGTTGTGAAAGAACTTCTGGGTGAAGAGTGGTCGGTAGAGGTTTGCGGTGGATGTGGGGTTGATAGCTGTTTGCAGGCGCGCAGATGTGAGCAGTGTTCTGGTAGCTCTGAAAGACGACGGCGCAAACATAGTATATGTAGAAGCGTGGTTAGACAGCAGGGGAAGGACGATTTCAAAGAACTCGGCTGATGGACTGAACTGGCCGCCGTTGCCGATAACAATTCTGATGCGCTTATTTTTCGGCAAAGCCGTTCGAGTCCCTGCGCAAATCGAAGACTCGTAGAGATGCCGGGGAATGTGAGCGGAGATAGGGAAGGCGTTACTTACAATATCAAGGATTTGTGTGTATTTGGGATGGTCGACGGAGTAGGGTTTCTAAAGGGTTCTTAGGTTTGGCGTTATGATGATAAAGCGCGGATTACTGTACACTTGCGCCGCAGAGGGGCTGCCATGATAGATGACGTGCTTGCCCGACCGCCCGATTTGCCCCACCAGGGTCTGCCTTCTTCGTTAGGCAAGGCGACGGCAACATGCCTCCTGTGTACAGCCTCCAATACCGGATACGGTCAACGAAGACAACAACGGGGCAAACTTGGCTGTCATGTACACTATAGCCATGTAGCAGTCTGCTCTGTGTTGCGCGACGCATTCTAGAGTTACTGCGACCCCTTGCATGCACCCTAGCAGCACCACGTGGAATCGCTCAAACACGTGCGCACTACGTCACAGAACGCTGAAAGGCTTATTCGAGATCCAATGTGAGAATATACAAAGCTGATACAGCTGATTTAAACTAAGTTCTCTTCATAAAGAGTGGTGAACGCAGCATCTTCTCGACGCCATGCTCGTGGTATCTGCCCTGACTAAACCTTATACAATGTGGCAGTCCATATGACCCAAATCCAGGCTTCAAGCCCGTCTATATACTACAGATATTTCCTTACACGCCCAAAAGAACACAACCCGAAAAGAGGGTATCACAGAAGCAGCCCCAGGCAGCTTGTGGTATCACGCAGAAAAAAAAACTTTGAAACAAATGCCAACGCCACGCTATGCATGCAGTCTGGAAGATGATCCAAATCCAGTGGAGTAATCCGAGGGAGCACGTCCGTCCGAACCGTCGATTGGTCCAGGAACACATGCAGCCAAGCCAGAAAAAAGCAACAAACAGGTAAGGAAATTCGAATGAGTGGCTGTAGTTAGGGGAGAGACGTGTAAGGAAATGTAAAGGAGTGACAAGATACAAAGGAAAGCAAAATGAATGGCGTGGCTGGCATGCATGCATGTTCCTGGAAGAAATCAATCGTTAGGAACTGGTGTTTTACTCCTGCTCAGACATCCTGGGCGACCGGCCGTGTACTGGTGTACCCGATCGCTTCTGGATATCTAGAAGTCTTGCGGAACCAGCGCTGAGGTGACGAACGTGACCATGGCCTTTACCGAGATCGACGCTCTTAGCGCGCTGTACCAGCACTGGTTCCTCCGACGTTGGCGAAGTTGGTGAACCCGAGTCTGGTGACTCTTGCCCAACATCGGCAACTTTGGATGATGTATCCTCCGTGTCGTCTAGAAACATGCTGAGAAGGCCTTCAGTAGACTTGACGCGGGGCCGGCGGTGGATAATGGTAGGCTGACGACCGACACTGTTCTGGACGAATTCTCCTTCTTGAGCAGGTGGCAGGTCTTCGGATGGAGGCGCAACCTCCTCGTCGGACTCAGCCGCAGCATCTAGCGTCATAAGCGTGCTGCTAGCCTTGCGTCCCCGATCATCGCTTGCATAAGGGGATCGGCCTCTGTGGTCTGGCAGCGGAGTCAATCTCTTGAAGTATTCATCATCGGCCATGCCCAACTCCTCGTAGGACGCATTAAAATCGTCGTTCCGTAGCGGGGCAGAAGACGTCAGACTAGAGCGCATCTGCGATCTGTTTGACGATCGCTTTGGTGGTCGGCCAGAGAGCCAAGATCCCTCGGAGTCGACTGAGGCGAGCGATTGTGACATGACGTTGATGGGTGCACCTGGACTGACAGGAGAATCAGATCGATCTCCGGGAAGCGACCCAACCTGGAGGTCTGAAAGATGTTGGCTTCTTCGGCGGGCAGCAATGATGCTCGTCGAGGGGACTTCTGGTGACTGCACGCGTGAATCTGGGGGTGATAGAGGAAATTCTGGAAGATCCTCTCTGAATTTGGACATTGTCCGTCGGGGTACGCTGGAAGGTCTCCGAATTTGGATAGGTTGAGTAGGAGGTGCAGTTCCAACCAAATGAGCTGGGAGAGGTTGGCGAGACATGGACTCGCGCGAAGTGTTGGAAAAGGAGATCTCGGATGGCGTGGGTCGTGCTTGTTCTTGCGAGTTGCGCTTCCCTCGTCGGAATAGTGATGCAAATACACCCATGCGTCTGCCCTCTGAGCTACGCCGGCGCGTAGAAGAGCCCGGCTTTGAAGTGGCAAAGGTATCGGTGGTGTCAATGGGATGCAGCGAGCCGCTTCGAGTGGGATCGGGTCCATGCTCAATAGAGTCTACAGGCATATCGTTTGCGAGCTTCTCCGAGATGAGCTCGGGTAGAATCGAGGCGTTGGATGGGCCGCGGGTGTGTACGTGTGCGGAAGCACTGCCTTTTGAGTAACGAATTTCCCGAGCATTAGATACTACAGGCTCTTCAGTAGGGCTTTCCAGCGGTGTCGGCAGCTGGGTGTTGTCATTAGTACGAGGCGTGACAGGCATGTTCAGCCGCTGCGGCTGAGGTGGTGTAGATGGGCGGACGTCTTCCATGGGAGCAGGCGCCTCGCGCTCGATACCAAGACCAACCATGCCTGTACCCTCCTTGCGGGGAGTGGCAGGCGTTCCTCTTGCTTCAATGGCATTCTGTTTCTCTGCACGACGTTCTAGTCTTCTCCGTAACCGCTCCTGATCAGCCTTGGCCTTCTTTTCTCTCCGTCTCTTGTCTCGTTCTAGAATATCGCGTAGGGCACCGGCATCAAGTTCGTCGGCGAGGTCATCGATGCGGCTTGTCCTCCTGCTCGCCTTCTCGTCTGCACTGCTGCTAATGGGTCGACGTGTGGACTTTTCGCTGTAGGTGTTTGGTGACATGCGGTCACTGCCGTAGTGATTGGAGCCGACGGAGACGCGGATGGTTGGCCGTGGTGAGAACATGTCGAGTGCACTCACGCGGAAAGCACGGTTCTCTGAATTGCCCGACATGGATGAATGGATGGAGTTTTCGAGGGGCAGCGATACGTTGGACGTGGGACGCTCGAAGCGGTGGTTCAGGGCGCCCTTGACCTTCTTGCTGTCGCGGCGGAGCATGCCTCCAGAGTTGGCAGCGGGACGTTTCTGAGGCATGGGGAATGACATGGCGCGGATCTCCTCCTCGCGGACGTGATCATGTTCTTTTCGCCTCTTGCTCGACTTGCGGCGGACCAGGGAAGAGTCAGTAGGCGGATCCCTGCGCATGGACTGGGGTCGCTGGAGCTTGCCACGGTCCTTTGCAGAGGGCGGCAGGCTTTGGTGGGAGTGCGAGGAGTGGAAGTTGTAGGGGATGCCGGCATGTTCCTGCGTTATTGGGCGCAGGTGCGGGCTGTGAGCAAGGCGGTGCTGGTTGGGCAGGGCGGTGATGTCTTCGGCGCTCGACGGGGGCCACTCTTTCGCAAAGGCGGGCTCGGGAAGCGACTTTTCAACGTCGCGCATCGAGGCGGTAGTGGAGCGTGAACTACCCCTTCTGCGGCGCTGGCGCTGGCTGGACCCTCGTCGCGGTCCATTGCTGGTCTGAATCGTGTTGGTTTGCTCTGCGACAGGCCGCTTCCTGTCTGTAACCTCAGTGGGTCCGTCTTTGAACTTAGCGGCCTTTCTGCGTCTTCGCCCAAACAGCCACATGGAGCTGCGAGAGAGCGGGCGCCAGGGCAGCGGCGACTGTCGAAAAGAAATGCAGTTGAGCGTTGAGTCGCGGCCGTCGCGTTGGGCGGCGCGGGCGTGACGTGTGCGTGTGTGTGCGTGATAGCGATAATGCGTGCTATCTGAATACGGGAGTCTGGCTGCACGGTCGGTTGGGCTGCATATTGATGGGCGGGCTGGATGGGGCGACGGGTAGCTCTTGGCGCGAACGTTGGAGCGGGTGGGTGTGAATGCGATGTCAGGTCAGGTCAGGGACGGCGAAGGGGAGGAATGTGAATGTGAAGGCAGGTGGGAACGAGCGAGGACGCCGGTTGTGAATGCCCTGCCACAGCCTGTGTGTGATGTAAGGGACGATCCGCTCGTACTCCTAACAGGCTTGCACAGTGCAGGCGTGCCTTCAGGGCTTGGTTTGGTGGGCTCGACCCTCGCTGATGTCGATCCCCACCACCAGGCACACCAAAATAACTTTCTTTTGTTTCGGGCATTTGCCAGCCCTGTCCGTCGCGCGACTGTAACTGCTTTTACGATAGCACATTCACCTTGCTTCTGCCCCGGTGCTCCATGCCGTACCACGGCATCGTCGCTGTCTGTGACCTGCGCCGCCCAACACTGAACCACGACAAGTCTGCCACAACCAAACTCTGCCACGCCGTCCGGTCGATCTCGACATGGCGGCGCCGATGAACTCGGCTCAAAGGCCCTGTCGTTAAAAGCTGCCTAGTGCCTCTTCGACACGAACGCCGAACGCCACCCACACCCAGGAGCTGGGCTTCGCTCATCAAGCCAGCTGCCAATCACGCGCCCCAGCCTGGCCAGGACATGGACAGCTCAATCTCTCGACCAACATTCTCAGCTGGTCGCATGGCTACGAGCCACTTCGATGACGATGGCCTGGAAAAAACATATCTCGTCAGGCCCAGGGCCTCTGCAGCGACAACACACCTCGCGACGGTACCGTGCGTGCATGCCACCGTGCTGCGGGAAGTATCGAATATCCAAAATTCAGCGGGACATGGACAGCCACGTCGGTCTTGCAGGCCAACGGCGCAATTGTCTAGCCAGGGATTTCGAATCCTCCTGCAGCTGTCCCGGCCAGAAGAGCGTCGACAACAATGTCGTGCGCTCCTCCACTCAGGTACCCGTGTCTCCAACATGCACCTGTCCCATTCGTTCCGCGGGGATTCCTTATCGTTGCGGACTGCACCGTTGTCGGGCGGGAAAAACGGCTAGTCACATG